TGTTGAAAGTAGTGTTGTTGGAAAGAATGCAAGAATTATGAGGCCATACTTCTCAGAAACTATAGCGTCGAGGTCCTCGCTGCTGTCAAGCTTGAACAAATCATCCAATGCGAGAGCGAATGATCGTGCCATTTGACTAAATACCCATCAGTCTCATAACACAGCTTCCAAACCCATCAAACCTACGATTGTGGTCGGCCAGTTGGCACATATTGACTATCGAGTTCGGCGTCGGACATGATTGATTGTGAAGTTAAAGTATCTCGAGCTATCTGGATATAGGGCTGTAGCTTAAAATGAACCCCGTAATTGAGATCTTCGGGTACGCAGCACGAGATTGAAATTTGGAGGTTGGGTATGGAATGTCCTTAGAATTGTAGATGGAAAAATCGTCTTGTAATGATAAGAGTTGGATGATTTCTAGAAAAGTAGAAAACCTTAAGATTAACAGATTCCGAGTTCTTCTTGTATGTGTTAATGAATCGTAATAAGTTTGATGCGGATCTCTTGATGCGGATCCTTTGCTTTCATAGATTGGAGGTTGGCACCTTGAAGAGAGATAATAGGGGCTGCTAGACTAGTGTCATGTGAAATTAATGGAGAAGCTTTTGGTTCGTTCTTTCCATCAGCTGGGGGTTACAAATGACGAGGAGTGGATATATATGTGTATATATGATCAAAATTCAGGAACAATCTTAAGGGCTTTTGGTTCATGACATTTTAATCAAAATATGAAAACGTCTAACGAGGTGAAGTTGTCTCGAACGAGAGTGGTAAGGGGAATAGTCAAGTGGAATGTGAGGAATGAATGCGTATAAATCCTGTCAACTAAAGCCACTCAAGTAAATATAGATCTATGGAAATAGAATAATCAGACCAGCTCTATGCTGGTAAATTGATGTATTGAAAAATTAACCATAGCTAGATAACATTTAGATATTTGGCATGAAGATCATCATTAAGCAATACCCAAATTGGCAAAGGTAAGGTTTCCTCTGAGGGGCAATATTCCTAGAAGGTTTTATCGGTTCATGAAGCAGATGAAAAGCAAGTTCGTAAAGCATTGATGTGGCTATCAACAACGCATAAAGGTGTGTCTTCGGGAAAAGGATAAATGGATGCGTAGGATACTGAACATAAATAGGGCATAGATTGAAAGTATATTTGAATAAGATGACAGGATACCTCTTCAATGCCATGCACACATTAGAACACCTTATTCTCCATTTCTCAAAGGATTTCTCAAAGAGTTTAGACGACCCCTTTAATGCTAATAAGAAGCGACAATTTCAACTTGGGTAAGTATTCTGTTGGAAATACAAAATCTTATAAGAGGTGGTAGGCAGCCTTTTTGAGCAATAGCAGACTCGGGTAGGTAGATAGATAGGTATCGGGACTAGAACACTTTACTCCAACTACCTTCGTTCATCGTCATAGATACCAGTAGATGCTAGATCGATAGTAACTCGTACTGTCAACTCATAGCGGTAGATAACTCTACCCGTCATAATCTAATGAGTGTCTGGGTGAATAGCTGAACGATCTACGGCGCTGTTTTAGGTTTAAGAGAAGGGTAAAATCCTTGACACTGATGACAATGCTGAACTCAGTATGTTGTATATGCGAAGCAAATATAGTGTGGGAGTGTAGCTGGCTTGATTGCGAAAGACTTGCGAGCTGGAAAGAAAAACATGATCAAATCAGTATGTCCAGGTATGTAATACAATACATACGTACTTCGTGGGTTGGTAGGTAGGTATGTATTCTTACATACATAACTTCATGTGTCTACTACACTGTACATCGCATCTTTCGAATTATTGGAATGCTTCACCGACGATTCCCAACAGGAAGATCCCAAAAAACTGAGGGATCTTCAAATATACCTAGGTAGCCGACCGAACGCTGGCTTTAAATTCCGAGTCCATTTCCATTTCCATTTCCATTTCCATTGATTGGATCTGCTTTTGTTTTGTTGTATCTTTTTTTATTATCTTGAATCTGTCACGTGACTCCATCTAAAAAAAATTGGGCTACAAAGCTACCTAGTAGGTATTGTTGTGTTCAGAACAGAACATGCGAATGTGAAATGGTATGAATAACCTCATACTCATAAATTTGATCATAAATCAATCAATTGTTGTCCCCATCAACCACGACCAAAATTTCTATCAGTCGCGATCAATTCTAACTCTTGATTAAGAATTAATTCTTCAGTAGGTTTTCGCATCGATTACATCGCTTTAAATGCATCATTAATTATTTGAAAAAGGTTGTCTTGATACTCTCAACCTTTTATCAATTTAATCGCGAATTTGATCCACCTAACTTTCCTCTTCTTCGTCGTGGCTCCTCTTCACCCTCCCAAAAGTCGTGGAAATCCCCTCGAAAGCTGGCGAGGAGGATACCGTGGCATGAATACTACCACAGCCTATACGCCTCTTGAATGTTTATTGTTATTTCAATCTTTAGTCGCATATGGCACCGATCCAAACTCATTTACTCAAATTTCTCAACTCTTGACCAATAATTCCCTGGTTAAGGATGGGGAAACATACGATGCTGGAAGACTGAGTGCTGATTTACTGGGGGATTTATATTTACGACTTCTGCGAGAGGAATTGAAGAATGATGCAGAGCAAGATGTGCAAGAAGACACTGGACCGTCGCCGTCAAAAAAACGAAAACTCTCCAGTCCACATTTGCCAACTATCAAGGATGCCCAACCGTATCGAGAAAAATTGCCAATTTTAGTGGAGAGGTTATATGAGCGGTACAAAGATTATATGGTACGGGCCATCAGGGAGGATGAGGAAAATTACCGAGCTGTTCAACGAGATATTGCGGCAATTGAGAGAGGAGATTGGGATGAGAGAATATTGAGAGAAGAACGGGCGGCCACGGAACAGAATGGGCACAAACAAATTGCGGATGCTGGCATGAAGCCGAATGGTACCACTAGCAATGTTCCTATTACAGAGGAAGGTATATCGAAGGAATCCAAACCTTTGGATAGCAGACTACAGGATCCACGGCCGACAGAACCTAGGCTTCTGGAGCCCCAGCTGCCACAAATCAAGTCATTTGAGATAGCTATTCCTCAATCATTACCTCAAAATGTAAGAGAGCAATCAAGAACAAAAGCATCTCCATCTCCCGGTCCATCTCCAAGAACCGAAGGTCGACCAGAAGGTTTGGCTATCAGTGATGTTTTAAACACTCAAAATTCCACCCCCGTTCCTCCCCCCAAAAATGTCACGGAACAACAGCCTCGAAATGGTATGCAACATGGGGTACCACCAATAGCTCATCAAAGATCTGGCAGTCATGGTCCACATGGTCCATCTCCATTACAAACTCAAGCTCATTCGCCACAACTTGGTCCTCCTCCTTTACAATGGGAACCACCATTCCACCCCGGGGGTCCCAATCCTCCACAGTTCCACAACCCTCAACCTGGATCGCCGCATCCATCTCCACACTCCCAGTTCTACCCCCCACCGTTCCCTTCATATCCTCCCCATTCGTACCCGCCCCCTAACCATCGAAATTCCCTACCAAGTCCACATTTACCTCCGCCCCATCATTCTGTACCATCATCTCCACTAAACCCACAATATCAACAAGGCGTTCTCTTACCACCCCCTCATACAATGGGTAGACCTCCAAGTACTACTGGCACGCAACTAGACGCGTTGGCGGACGTTGCTGGGCAGCAATATCGCGCGAATTCTGGATCACCTATGGCTCAGCAAGGACCTTTACCTCCGGTCTCTTTGCCTCCAGGGTCTATGCCACAAATTCCACCTCACATGCCATACACACATTCATTCCCACCTCCACCTCCACAAAGACCTCTCTCCTCGACTGGCCATCCTCCTCCACAATGGATTCCTCCCTTCCAATCACCACCATACCCGCTACCATATCAACTTAATGGACCTCCTAATGGACGACCGCCATTTCCCCGGCCAGAACTTGTTGCTCCGGAGAACAGGCAATATAATTCACCATATAATGCAAATCAAAGTCCACGGCCTTCTCTACCCATTAATAATTCAGTGCAGCCAAGACCGCAACTATCGCAGCCTCATACCCCGTTGTCTCAAGCACCTCAGACATTCATGACTGGAAGTGGCACTAAATGGACACCAAGACCATCCGGTGCTACTCCACGATTACCTAGGGAGCCTTCTCGTCCACAAGCCGAAGCTCTTAGTCCTATATTAAAGCCTAAAGTATTACCTCAATCAGTAGAAAAGTCTCCACAAAAGAAACATCGGCCAAAGCAGGATCCTGTCAGACCGGGCAACACCAATACACCGAACACGTTACGCAAGCGAGCTGGCAGTATAACCTCAACTCCCACTATTGGCCCATTTAGAAGGAGTCAGTCGGTACAATCACATGCTGACGAACTCTCCTTGGACAACGAAGGTTCCGGTCTTCACTTCAAACAAGAAGTCGCAACACCCCGTGGCGTTGGTGATGTAGCCGATATAGCGACTGATGATAGTACAAGTCGACAACCCAAAATCCCACAATCACCTCGTCAAGCAATGAAACGAAAGCGTCTTGATAGTCCCGAACTTAGGGAACCCCGTGGTCCACCCCTGTTCGTTTTATGGACTCGTGCATTCCCGAAGATTAGTGTATCTGCCTTGGAATCAATTAGTGGTCATCGGAACGCGAGCACGTTTGCAAATCCCGTTAAGGAGAGAGATGCTCCTGGGTATAAAGATCTCATTCTCCGTCCACAAGATCTCAAATCTATTCGAACGGCTATCACGGCTGGACATAAAGCTGCGGCGGCTGCAGCTGCAGCTCTGGCTACACCAGATGATCAAGGCCAATCAAGTGCATGGCTGCCTATTGCTGAAGATCTCATTCCTCCAAAAGGCATAATAAATTATGCTCAATTTGAAAAAGAATTGATGCGTATGTTTGCCAATGCTATTATGTTTAATCCCGATCCTGATCGTGGATTTGGTAAAGCATTTGAGAATAAAAGGAAAGAGTCTGAGAGGGGAGCAGTTTATGAAATTGATGAGAATTCATTGGTGAAGGATACAAGAGCTATGTTCATGGATGTCGAAAAGGATATTGGAGCATTGAGAAGTGCAGAAAGGCGAAGCGAAGAAGCTGCAGAAAGAGAAGCTCTTGGTGGACCTTGGGGTATTAGACACACTAATAGTCATGCTGCACCTGATGATGATGATGACGATGATGAAGCTGACGAGCTAGCAGGGGATGGAGATGGCGTTGTCAGCAACGGAAGTGGCACAATAAAAAGAAGAAGAAAAGCTTGAGGTAGTGACTTCACACTGTAGTGTTATTCGTCCCTCAAGGGGGTTGTAAATATTATTGTGCTATGAGACATACGTTAATAATGAAAGAGAGAAATATTCTCATCGAATATATTGGTTCCTGAGTTTATTTGCTAGTAATACAGCGATACTGGTGATTAATGACGATGCTTTTATGATGGGGGAGAATTTTAAAGACCAAAGTAGTGTCATTTTACATTGAGTTACGGAACCATGCATAGAGAGAGGATATGGGTTGTATGGGTCAACTAATGATTGGACTTTTTAGACTTTTCCTAATAGCATGAAATAGTTTACGGAAACCTCACTAGACTCTGGAGCCCCCGATTAAGGACCTTAGAGAGTCAAATTTAGAAGACTTACTTAAGGTTTCGTTTTATATGAATGAGATTGATGGATATGACAAGCTTCAATAATGAAATTTGATCAATTTATATTTCAGGAATCATTTATATCTATTGCGGAATTGAGAAGGGGGGAATAAGGAATATCAGAGCTGGCATGCCAATTGCTCCAGAAATCAGGGGAAGAAGTACCAGAAGAGCAAAGATGAGGTCTTTCTATTTGGAGACAGTTACTGTATCTATCCTTCACTTGGCCAATTGACATGTATCTCGCTGAACCTTGATGAGATAGTGGCTTTGTAGGATTTGATTAACGACTTATCGTTTGAGGATGGGAGTGATTCACGTAGTTCTAAATGCTTGCTTATCGGGCTGAGATTGCTTAAAATGATCTACCTGGAAAGATTTCGAAGCAGCTGTTACGATAGAAGCCTCATAAAACCTGTAGGTAGGATGCTGCTGAACAAACACCACCGAAAGTAAAACTAGCAGGAGTGTTGTGATATCTAAGAAAAAATGTTCGAGTACCTGGATATATAACAATTTGCCTCGCGAAATTTGTTCGGGCCCCTTGACCCTCAATTCCATGAACCAACGCCTCTAATACGTGAACTAAACGACTAAGATCTTTTCAATTTAACCATATGTACTGCACAGCATCCGGGGATCAATCCTGTGATCTATACACTCGATAGTTGGAATTGCACCCTCTCCGCACCCCTAAAAACAAAAAAAGAGAGCATGAAAACTTAGCTTTCCTCGGGCGATTCATGAAGTACAGAAAGCATAGAGCTCAGGGAGCTGACGTCACTACTATAGTAAGACCTAGTAACAGTTAGCAATCTCTTACACGCAACTATACCACCAAAATTTCAGTAACACTCACCTGTCATCGTCTCTTCGGAACATCCTGCTATCTGGACTCGTTGCATAATCTCCATTTGCATCTCTTTCCCTAGACCTTCCTTCATACGCATGATCGTTCTCAATATCTCTCATTTCCCTTTCCATATACTCATTGTCACCTTCCAGCTCGCTTATATCCTTCTCCAGATCGCGTAATTCCTCCGTATCACGATATCGTAAATAGTCTGCCTCAGTCATTACTTTCATCTGTGGTATCGAATCTGCTGTGAGATGTTTTCGTTCTTCAGATTCAGAATTCCTGCTCCGGCTATGACAAAGTTCTTTCTCTCTGTGAATTGTGTCGCGCGAGTCGGATCGTCCACGTTGGTTACTATAGTCACTACCTGAACAATGAATTAGTGTGCACTTTCGCAGGGGAATAGTGGAGGAACTCGTCACTTACCAGACTCGCCGGAAATCATGGAACCAATTTCTTTCCCCTCATATTCCTCCTCAACCTTACTTGACCAGCAGCCCATATTTTTAGGTATTCTATTAGTACCTAGGTATGTAAGAGTCCTTAACTTTTGGGTATCAAAATATACAGTGTTTGTGTCAGCAACGTGAATAGAAATCAAGCACCAGGCTTCAACTAAAGAGTCAAAAATCTTTATGAGAAGCGGCGTGAGAGATGTACATATCACCAACATCATTGAGAAAAGGCTGACGCGATTCCATTTGGGTCGAGACCTTAATTGTGGTTGCTCGTGATGTTGGATGTTGGGTTAATCGCAGCGTGGCGATGTGAACAAACGCTGGCCATTGTCACGACCTAATTCACCAAGATGTGTTCATTTTCATTCATTAGACCTAGGTAGGCATACGTGATAAGAGAAGAGAATATTGATGGATGAAGTCATTAGATTTATACCATCTATCTATATGTCATAACAAGCTTTCGGAAAAATTTGTGTAATCGTCCAAAGATGTTGGTTAAGATGTAACCTTATGAGCCTTGAAGCTCGAGGATAAGGATAATGATAAGGATGTTGTCGGGGTCTAGGTTTAAATTTTAGCGCTTAGGTAAGTCGTTTTACAGGTGCCTCGAGAATGGACGGCCCCTGAAACGCGCTCAAACTTGCCGATCAAAAGCCTACAACGCAAAACATTCATTTTTACCGTTTGACTAACATCCTGTTCCAGCTTTCCAGAGTTTTCTCGTTCAACAATGAGGTCAAGGAGGAACGCATAAGAGCGAAATGATTAGCAAGGACATTGAATCTTCTTTAAGGAATCTAGATTTGACGCTTCAAGTTTGTAAGCCACTTCATTGCATCCTGGAACATAGAACCCGCGCGATGGCCAAGCGCGATGAAGAAACTGGACTGGACGCGCATGTTATTGTCTGCAGAACTATTACTGTCGCGCTCTAGATCTGGGAAGATCTAGAATCTAAATCATTCTCAAGATCTGTGCAGCTTGTCAAAGATATGACAGCACGGATTATACTTTTTGAAGATATTGAGCAAAGGCCTTTTCATATCTTCATCCGTTGTAGTTGCGCAGGTTTGCGCGAGTTTGTCACATTTACTAGAGATGATAGTGGAGTTTAATCTCTTGGCAAGCTCTCCGTCCTCTTCTCAAATTTCTTTTCATTGGTAGTTGCAGCCCATGATGAATATTGTGGGGATTGTTTCCGATGAAAGTTTCATCTGGACTGATAATGTGCATTTGGTGATTTGAGTCAGTTTGGTAGTGGTGAGCTCAAACTTGCTCATTGCCATTGGCTGATGTCTTGGCAATGGGTTGATAGTTGAAGGTTTCCTATTTCTCGAGCTCGATCGTTTACTTTTGATATTCGACTTCATTGCTGGCAATCTATCTTCTTGTTTGTAATACCGTTATCCAATAGACATCATGGAGGCCATTGAAGCTCGCCATATCCAAATGGCGGATAATACGTCAACCATGGAACCGCATTGGGGATATGTTGCTCGTGTATTGCCATGTACAAATGATGCTGGTTCATGTGAATATCTGGATTCTGTCTATGTAAGTCATTTTGCCAGTTGTCCTGCTCTCAGAACTCTATTATATGCGGCTTCCTACATACCACCTTTCATTCCTTCTGGTAATATGATCCATATCCATTGTTTTGATACTGACATTCTCTAGCACACACACGATATATCTATGCTCTACACCTTTATCTTATGGGCAGTAATAGGGGGCATTCTGGTTATACTCACTACTCTACATTTCATAAAACCTTCAGGGCAAGCTTCTACCAAAGCTAGAGACTCAGAGACACAAAGCAGCGCGGGCAATTCATCCTGGTACTATCGTGCATGGCGTGGAACAACGGCTACTTTCCGACGATATCTCCTTCCAGAAAGCTTTATCAAATTCTTTGGCCATGTTACCAGGTTGCAGGTTCTGATACTAGCAATCATGCTAGGTTACTTACTCATCTTTACGTAAGTATTGCGCCCCTTTGAGGACAAATTCTGTACAATAGTAATAATTTTCGACAGATTCGTTGGAGAGACCTACAAAAGATGGATAACTCCTGTCAAAAAGTCGACTCTGTTCAATACCCGATCCGGCCTCGGTGGTTTCTCCGACCGTTTAGGCGCATTCGCGTATGCATTAACACCATTTACGGTACTCCTTAGTACTCGGGAATCAGCTCTAAGTCTCGCGACCGGAATTCCTTATCAATCGTTCAACTTCTTACATCGCTGGATTGGACGTGTAATTTTTATCCAATCCGCTGTACATACGTTCGGTTGGACACTTATCGAAGCACGTTTATACCAACCGCAACCAACTACATGGCAAGCTTTCATTAAGGAGCCATATATCATTTGGGGTTGCTTTGCATTATCATTTGTTTGCTTTCTGTATGTTTTCAGCATCCGAAGAGTTATCCAATGGACAGGATACGAATTCTTCAGGAAGACTCATTATGTCGTGGCTTGTTTATATATTGGTGCATGTTGGGGCCATTGGCAACAATTAAAATGTTGGATGATCGCCTCTCTTGGATTATTCTTTATTGATCGAGGGGTGAGGATCTTGAGAACTTTGCTAATTCATGTTGGATATTTTGACGCCAGTAATAACGCAGGTAAGCACTTAAATTGATCTTTAACAATTGGTTTCACTGGTTAACTAATTTAGGCCTCGGATTTCACCCTGCTCAATCGACTCTTCAGTACTTTGACGACAAGGACGGTGGTGTCGTTCGTTTGGAATTCGACCACAAACACGCCCCATGGGCTCTTGGACAACATTTCTTTCTCTGCTTCCCTGCTCTCAGTATCTGGCAATCACATCCCATAACTGTGGCATCAGTGCCCTCAGATCATCACACATACATTATTCGCTGCCGCTCAGGCGAAACCGGAAATCTCAAAAAGCTAGCCTTAGGTGGTCAACTCACCACTCCTGTAATCCTCAGCGGTCCCTACGGAGAACAATTATTGAAACCAACAGAAGAGCCGACCAACATTCTAGCTATAGCTGGTGGAACTGGCATTTCATTAACACTACCTCTCGTTTTGGCGGCTACTGCTAGCGATGCAAAAATACACGAAGGACGAGCCATTGATTTTGTTTGGATTGTGCGACGGAGTTCGTGTCTAGACTGGATCAGAGAAGAATTAGAGGAGGTAAAACGGAGGGCAAGGGATGCGGGAATGAATCTTAATATTCACATCTATGTTACACAAGAGGAAGATCCAGAATTGGAAGGGAAAACGGAAGAGGCTGTTATCAATGATGAAAAGACAGTCATGGAGACGGATGATAAAGCCATGGTGAACTCTATATCAAGCTTGAGTTTGGAAGGGGGTTCTGGAAGTTTCAAGGTTTCATATCTGGGTGGCTGCAAATGTTGTCATCCTGATTTGAAAAAGGTGGTTACTAGCTTCATGCAAGAGAGAGCGGGGAATGCATATAGAACGAGGGTCATCGCGAGTGGACCCAATGGCATGGGAAAGGATTTGAGGAGTGCGGTTGCTGAATGCAATGATGGATGTGCGGTTTTGAGGGGGGAAAAGAAGGGTGATGTGGAGTTGGTTTGGGATGCAAGAGATTGATACCAGCACGCAAGGAAATTTTGGAACAAAAAGCATGCTAATGGGGCGTGTCAGATAAAAGTATAGATATGACTTTACGCATTATGACTTTATGTACCGCTTATATTTTCGATATAGTAGAAAATAATAATAAAGCAATTAAATTTCTTCAGAGCTTCGTCTATTTCCTTAGGGCAATGCTCTTCGACGTGGATGAAGTAGCGATCGCGCTGATTCAGTGGAATCATGTAGAGATCTGAAATATACAGATACTCCATCCATTGGCTGCTGGCATAAACCACTTCAGCCTTCTCCCAACAGCCAGGTTACTCTCCGCCCACCAATGACTTCCCCCAAGCCTTATTCGCGGAACCGGAAACGACAAGTTTTATATCCGATGACTCAATCTCACTTCCCAGGGATATAGGCGCTTATTTAACGCACAAACAAGCCCCCTCGCCTACTATCAACCCATTTCAGAACCTCGAGGTTCACCATAGGGTCTGCAGGATTAATGCCGGTCTATCGCAATAAAATATCCGGGCCCTTTACGAAAGCACTCAAGTAAGAGTCTAGATTCTGCATCGATTCCCTGTCTAATTACTGAAAATGACTGCGAGAATGGAAAAGTGTGGGGAACCAACAGGCTCTGTTGAGACTTGGGATGACCGCTTATTATCCGAATTGGGAAAGGGTTATTGAGAAATGGGTCTGGGGTAGGCTTAATTCGTATTGATTCGGTACTTTGGAGAAGATGGGGTCTGGATGAGGGTTTGTATTACCGAATGAATGGGGTGTGGCGATGGGATTCTCAGATGGGGAATTAGCATGGGAGAGAATTGGGAGGGTATATAGGAGATTATCCTTAAGGAGTGGGAGCAGCTCTGAGAGTATCAGCATTTGGCAGCAATCTTTGAGTTTCCTATTTTCAAGCACTCAATTTATTGTCAATCTCATTACTGACTTATTATCACACATTCGCTATCGTTGAAACTCCTTCTTTATAATATACCGCGAAAAGAAATCCATCCCTGAATATAACTACATCCCTAATCGCACAATGGCCGTCACTTGGAAAACACCTAAATTAACCCTCTTAACACGATTCAGAACTACAAGGTAAATGCTCCATTTCTCACTCCTCACGCACGTCAAATTACTGACACCCAACCAGCTCCTCTGCTTCCAAATTCTCATTTTCCTCTTCTGAAGACAGCGAAAGCACTCTCGATGATGAAGCCCGGGCACTGAGAAAAGAACGTACAGGACATAGTGAGTTCCGCTTTTTCCAGCTGGCATTGTGAAGACACTGACATGGACTGAATAGGTTGCAAGAAGAAGAGTAACATGGAGAAATTGGAGAGAGTGATTATTTTCTGTAGTTTGTTTTGTTAGGGTTTACTTTCTTGGGCTTGGGCTTGGGTTTGGGATCTGGATTTGGATTTGGAGTTGGATCTGGGTTCGGGTTTGGACACGAAAATTCGACTTGGTGCAATGGATAGGCTAGGAATGGCTAAAACTAAAATCGGATCTGAGGGATTGCGTCGACGAGCGCGGCATGATATGGGAATTTGTATTGGATGAAATATGTGGTTCAAGATCCCTTCTAGATTTGGGATTTTTACCTGTGATCTTTCTCACGTGGAAGAATTTTTCAATGCATTCACATCCCCAAACCAACCTTTCCATGTCTCCCATCCATGTTGAAGTCGAAAAGTACTACTTCGTCCACTTACATTCACTGCGCGAAGGTGCTTATTAACTTCGCTGGTCCCTTGTAATATTTCGTGTCATTTGTATGAGAATTGCTGTTATGATTAAACTTTTCAGATATTCTCTTCGATCCAGAAAGTCCTAGATCAAAGACCAAGATCTAGAAAAGAAGAGAGGAAAGCGTATGTGTATACATTTCATTTGGAGTATTTCGTCCTCACACATTCACCTTCTCGATGTCAATATTATTTTTGAAAATAAGAGTATCGAGATGTCTGGAAGAAAAAAAGGAGGAAAAAACCAAGAAAAAACTCTTCAACAAATGAGTGAATGATTCTCATTCAATACATCGAAATTCTTCCTCATTTCGGTAAAGGTTGTTGTAATGATTTTTGCGCCTCTAGCTTAAACAATTTTTTCATTACCACCAACCTCCAAAACCATATACAAAAAAAACATATACCGGTGCAGCAAATTGGATCGGACAACACGGTCAAGCAAGTATCTACTTGTTCATTTACTGCACAGTCGGATATCCTTCTCATCATAGCCAGCAGCATACTCTGTGGCAGATCGTGTCGCACAAGTCACTACTTGCAAGAACAATGGAGCCAAACAATCTTTACAGAGGTCCGAACCCATCGATCCAGTCAATGAAGGCGAGAGAAATGGTCGATCAACAAGTTAGTGGTGAATCTTCGAGCAAAGATTATCCTCTTCCTGTCGATCCTTCTAGCAAATGTGCATTTGATCATTTGACAGAGTCGCAAGCTTCTGTTGGCGGTTGTGTCCCCGGATCTAATGACTGGAAACCAGTTGAGGGACGAGGCTCCAAAATTTTGGAAGATTCAGACATCGAAATGGATATGGGAGTTACAGGCCATGGAAGTGGTGAACAAATTGACGTGGTTATTGAAAGTGTTAAACCACGAGTTCGATTACCGGTAATGACGCAAGGAATTCTCAATTCCGTAGCCATTACACAACTTCAAGATGAGCTTGAGGATGTCAAGAGAGAGCTAGATAAGCAGAAAGCAACATCTGTGCCATCAAAGGATGAAATCATTCTACCAAAGAGAATGGGTCTGACGCAATTGATGGAAATGTTTCCAGCAGTGGGAGATCAGATCAATGCTAAGATGGACCAGAAGTTGAGTGATGCTCATAAAGAGTACGAGATGAAATTCAAGAGGTTGCAAGATGAACATAATGACGAGCTTTTGAGAATAGGAGCAGTTGTAGGCGAGACGGAATCAAGACTAGACGATGCTGAAGAGAAGTTGAGGGGTTTGGCAGGATCTGGTCAGAGATACTCAAATGAGTTGCTTGGTAATGTCTTGCCTGGCATTCAGAACTCTCATGGACCTGCAAGAAACACTATCAATAGCAGACAATACCCCAATCCAGCCGCACAGAGTGTCAACTGCCAAGCTCCACAAGAGTTTGTTTTTGGTTCTCCTACCGCTCTCACAAATCCTTTCCGAAACAATGGATTGGCAAGTGGGGATGCTTCTTCTACCCCTTTTACAAACCCTTTCCGAAACAAGGGATGGACGACCGGCGATGGTCAAAAAAGGGGATGCGATGAGGCTATTCAACCTGAAGTCGGCAGAGATGTCAAGAGAGTGAAGAGAGAGCAGTTATAATAATGAGAGAGAAGGCTGACTCGAATGATGGAGAGAAGACTTGTGACGATTTGAAGGAATAGCTATATCAGGGAGGTAAATATAGGGCAAAAGCACCATTCTCAGTTGATATAAAACGAGAGTTTGGATAATTGTATCATCAACTTACTGGTTCCTGCCGGCTTCAAAATTACATTTGATTATATATCAGTTGCAAAGTTTGAACCTTGCAGGAGCTATACAGCTGGTCCCAATGAAAGGTTAATGTTTCGGGAAGTGGGAGGATTTTATGAATGCGTAGGGCTTCGAGAACGAGAAATCTTCTGGCTTGCCAATGTACATAAAAAATGGAGGATTGTCTGATCCAGATCGGGGTAGTTTGGCAACCTCATTAGAGCTTCATCTGTCTTTGCGTCCGAATAGCTCCTTCCATATCTGATCAACAAAACTCAACCAAGTCCCAGAATTCCCTCAATCAATTTGCAGAGTGTGCGTGATTTCAGGACCCAGTGAAGTAACATATCTGAGAATATAAATCGTGTAGCATGCTTACTACCTGACTGTCCACCGTCTGAATCTAGGAACGTTAAAGGTAGGGGAATTGGGATCTCGGAATACTGTCTCTGCCAATTGAAACTTTCTCGCTTATTAGTTATTCTCATGCTTCCAATAAGGGTCGTTGGGAATGGAGATTGTCATTAGCATCGTGATGTACCTATATGCAGTGCAGTATAGCTATAAAACGCGTGCAGCCATAGTGGAGCATTAGCATGTTGCTGCTGCTTTAACATCGCGACTGGAGTGATCTTAAAGCAGCCAGATGGGCTATCACACCACCACCACACGGAAATAACAAACAAATCCCTATGCAATCACTCTACAACGAATCTACAAGATTGTTCAAGTGCACCATTGATCCTTAAATGCAATAAGAAATGATAGACTCAAAACAATCTCAAGTCTCGAGCGTAAGAATCATGGTCGCTCTTGCGGATCTTCACCAGAGACCGACCACCCGTGCTTTTCTGGCATCTACGTCGTCGTTCTTTCCATACTGGCATAGCAAACATGAGTTTGTTGGACGTTTAGTATTTGTCCTCTTTCCTATTATAGTAATGGAACTAGGCCAAATGGCTTTCTCTATTGTGAAAGTTCATTTATCATCTCCTCATGTCACTTCGCCGAATCCATACAAACACCTTGGAAATGTATCTCGCATTACCTACAACTATTCTTTCTGCCTCTCTTCACACATAGCATAATTACTTCTTATTGCTTACTGCTTTTAATACCTATTCCAGCGTTGGATATCATAAATTGCTCATACATTGCTCACATAAAGGCTGCCTCATCTACCTTCATCGAAAATCTGTGGCTTACTACAACACCACACTACTCATTAAAATCCTTATGAACTATCTCGCTGAGTGCCTTCTATATGCTGGAGTTATCTTAGGGTTTGAACCAGACTCGATACTCACTCTTGAACAGAACTTGGAACCAAAATTAACTGCTGGTTTATATTCCGAACCAAATTTCCCCTTGACGATCACCTACAAGTCTTCACCCACTCGCCGACCCCTTTCACATATTCAGCCCTGGACGTGGTTCTAATTAAAGTCTCAAATACACTGATATCCTCCGAGATAGTTCGCCGTCTCGGACGACATCTCACGTTCTGTGATGAGAGGATTTTGATCGATACAGAGCAAGTCATAATTCAAATGACGGCAATATCGCCATATCTCGATATTCGACCACTTAAACAATTTGCGCAGAACAAGTGCTTTCGTAGCACTAATTCTTACTCAAGAACGTACCGTGCACTATATCATTTATGGTCAACACTAGCAACTCGACCAACGCCACGGCACCCATTAATAGTACCCTTCAGGCCTGGCATGACTTGCAAGGGCATGTTATCGACAAGAAGTATGACGCTGGCTATATCTTATTATCATTCTTGGTCAGCCTGGTGGGCGCCTGGACTGCATTTGAGCTGCTCAATCTGAGGACAACAAGAAAGGGTCGCTATAATTGGTATGAATCTACCAATCTCTTAGGAAGCTATTATATTAAGTTGACATTAGGACGGTTCTCGTGTTTGCTTCGATAGCAATGGGAGGTGTTGCTGTTTGGTGTATGCATTTCATTGGCGAAGAGGGAGTTATTCTCGGTGGAGGTGATCCTACTTTACAAATTTCATACAATAAGTCTTCCACCTCTGAATCGTTCTTCCTACCCGTTATAGTTTTTTTCATCGCATTCTGGACTGTCGGCTCTCACGAAACGATAGATCTGCCCCGTGTTGGTCTAGGTGGGACTTTAGCTGGGCTTGGAATATGCGGTATGCATTACCTTGGACAAGCTAGCATTTCGAACTATGCGTGCTTTTATAATATTGTATGGGTCGTCATTTCTGCATTCATAGGTATTGCAGGCAGTGTAGGATCTATCTACCTATTTTTCCTGTGGCGCTCATCCTGGGCCACATGCTGGTCGAAGAAGGGTATCTGCGCTTGTTTACTTGCTTTTGCCATATCCGGGTTACATTGGTTATCATCTATTGGGACGCATTACCGTCTTCACAGTCGCCCAACCCCTCCGGTTTCGAATCCGACCGAGCATTTTGCTATTATTGTCGCTACAGTTTTGGTACGTTGGATTTCGCAGATTCTGTGGTCCATACTGATTGATTAAGACCATAGTCGCTGCCCTTGCCAACATGACATTAAAATTAATGCTCTTTACCCGAAAACGAGAAAGTATCAACAGTTCTCAAAAGCTCACTTTGTTTGCAGCCATATTCGATAAACATGGAAATGTATTGATTGGTCCACAAGGCATTCTGCCAAATCGAAAAATAACCAGTTCCTTCATTGAGGGCGTAAGGGAACTCATGCTTTACTCTCGTGTTCCTGATGCTAATGAATTTTAGTCATTAACTGAGGTCTTCAACACCTCGCATCCAATATTTCTATGGATTTTTAGAGCATCGAAGAATTGGCACTGTGTTAAAGATATCATTCCGGCAATGCGCCTCAATATCAGTGCTCACATTGAAAAGCATAATCTTAGAGGTAGAGAGGAAGTTAGTCTTGTGGATGACGATGGCGACTTGATCAAGGACTATTCTATTGTGTTTCGAGAGCTTTTCTGTATTGCAGCCGCCGATCTTGCAAATGATCTTCGTATACCCATGGAAAAACTAGGCCCTTTGTACGACGATGTCATTGGTACCGGGCAGAAAATTCCATTTTCAGCAATCATTAAATCTCGCGTTGCTATAGTAAGTGAATTGGTAGAAAAAACAATTGGGGATATCCAGCATAAGATTAAGGGTGGTCGCCGCGCCATTAGGAGGCCGAGGAAAGACGTCGAAAAAGATGCAGGAGCAGGAACTGGCCAACTACTCTTTCTTGTCAAGAAAGTTCAACAACGTGAAGCAGAAGCTTTACAGGCAGCGGGATATCGGTTTGGGAAGATTGAACAAGTTCTATCGCTGCTTTCAAACACCATGAAGATTAAGGATGAAAATCTTACCAAGCATCTGTCGGAATTATGGAGATTTGCAAATCAGGATGAGATGTTAGATCCAGGTTGTCATCTTGCATGCTTCGCAATTCGAGCTTCTGTCCGAGGAGGGTTTGATATTGTTGTCAGAAAAGATGCTAAAAGTCAGCTCCCAACTATGACCTTGCCTTTTGAATCACTAGAGCAATGGCAGATGGACTTCTTGACCGCGATGAACACTCTCAATGTAACGGAATGTCAAAGGTTCTTAGCCAAAGCAGTCAAAGCAAAAGAGCTACCTACAAGGGAGAAGACATTTTCCAACCAACTGCTTACCACGCTCCAATCGCTAAAATACGAAATCGGAGATCCTATCTTCAGTGAAGCATGTCTCATATCTAAACCGATCGAGGCTCCCTGTCGTGGAGCTTCCGCAAACCATAGACCTGGGGTAGGATTTCTAATCGCCTTTCGACTCATGGTGCCTATTAATACTCGCCGTGCGCCAGGGAAGAAATGCGCGTTCGCGCCACTCACCCTGTTTAAATTGCAACAACGCGTTTACAAAAATTCTTTAGATCATTCTTTTTTTGTGCGTGCAATATATCGAGAGTTCTCGCCGGTATTTGCAGCAACATGTCGCGATAGGCCACAAGATAAAAGACTCCTATCACAATGGAGACCTGCCAGATCTGGCGAAGAATTCAAAGTCGAAGTAGTGGAGGAACATGATCCGTTCGGAAACCTTATTACCAGAATCAGGCCCAGCAGGGAATTGCAATCACGACCTACTATGGAACGATTGAAAACACTCTGGGATGTCAGTCTCGGGCGCTCCAAAGATGAAAATGGTTCTAGTGATAGGCCAAAACCAATACGAGCGGCTTCGTATCAATCCATGGGAATCTTGGTCAGTACAGAGGTTGAGAGAGATGTGAAGCTTAGCTCGGATAAGAAGGATAATGGGAAAGGGAGAGGATTTGAGGCTAAGCAGGGAAATAGGGGAGTTACGTCGGCAGTTACAGAAGATGTTGAGCCGCTGACGTTTGTTGATGAATTGTTTCAAATTTGTGTTAAGAATACGGGCATGCCTCATTGAGTACCTAATTAAAGTTGATGAGAAAGGGGGTCATGGGTGCGTGGATGTGTGGGTGTATGTATATCTTCTGTATTGTGGTACTACTAGATCAGACTGGATTGCGTTTTTAGGCGTGAGATTGGATCGAAATTGATATTACACCCTAGTAGCTTTATGAATAGAAACCGATGATGTTTGGAAATTCGAGCACAAGATGTGTTGAGAGTATCAGTCTATTCTCCTCCTAAACATCTGGATTGATGTATCAATGTATTCTACAACGAAACAAAAGACATTGTGGGGCGATACCTGTGTCAAGGGTCCAACAACATTCAATGATCTTGTATGACTAGTAGAGCCACCATTTGGAATAATAATTGAATGAGTTTCTAGGGCTGGCATGAAACTTTTCATCAACATTGGGAAAGGAGGTAGGTATGCTTATTCAGTGTTAAGAAAACGAGAATTTAACACCAGTGAGTACCGAGAATGAATTTGATAACTGCAAGTGGTATGGATGTACGACAAGGAGTAGGGAGATGGATATTCGGCGTGGGTGGACTACACGTGGTAGGCTCAGATGGGGCGGGGTTTACGATGTGTTTTGAATCGAGCACCGAGATTTAGAGCGGGAAAAGAACTAGAGATAGGTTGGTTGATGTATATTGATGAGGAAGTAGAGGAGGATAGGAGGATAGGAGGATAGGGAGATTGATATGTGGAGGTAGATACTACGAAGTGAGTTGAAGAGGGGGGGTTGTGTATTAATCTTGATGGTTTTGTGGATATTTATTGTGAGAGGTGGGTAATGAGTGGGTTTTATGGATTGGAGAGAAGAAATGTGTCTAGATTTATTACTGATGCTAATAAACAGCGGCGAGCATCATGATGAAATTGATTGGAAGTTCGAAAGTTCTAATAGGGTTGTGTTGAAGGAGTTGTATCATCGACACGTCAGCATGTGTATCATTACAGTAAAACACTATTAATAGAGATCTACAAAACTGTACAAGGAGAAACTTTATTGGATTAAGTAAGTATGATACCTCTATAAATCAAACGAAAATTCTCAACTCGGAATACAAAATTCAAACCGTGTCATTAAGAAACCCTGCTGGGAAAACAACTTTTCGATTACGACGAACTTTAGGAACAAATGGGGTGGTTTTGGGTCCTCCTGTTTTCGTTTTGTGTTTGCTTGTTATATGGCTTGCACATGACCCTTTTTTCAGATAACCACTAGCCTTTTCATTGCAGTATGGGCAGAACCATGCAGCAGGTTCATCTTTTGGTGTTTTTGGTGCTTTTGGTGCTTTGGGTGATTTGGGTGATTTGGGTGATCTTGGTTCTGGTGATGGGATCATGAGACGATAATCTCGAGGGGGAGTGCGAAAGCGAACGTTTTTTGCTGGTGGAGGGGGTACCTCTTGCACAGAGTCATCGGAATCATCAGAAACAGACCCTCCAGGACTCATTTTATTGTAGATTCTCCAATATTCCGGCGAATCGATGCTCAATCCTTTCAAGGGATTCCGAGATTTACGAGTGCGACGCGATTCCTGCCTATTATGTTCTTTTCTTTGATTATCTGGCTCCTCTGGATCCTTGCGCTTCATTATTTTGTCCCAACGGGCTTGACTCTGACTCATTTCCTCTTCCTCTTTGGCTCTGGCCTCTTGTCTCTCTTTTCTTTGCCTCTCTTGTTTCTCCTCCTCCTTTCTCCTTTCTTCTCTCTCTTTCTCAACTCGCTCTTGATTCTCGTTCTCCCTCAACTTGCGCAATGCGAATCCTCCAGCTGCTCCTGAATATGCTTGTGGTATCAACCCATGTGTAATACGGATAAAATCATAGAAGGCTTTACCCTCTGGCGGAAGATTCTCTTTCTCAAAAAGAGTACCCTTCCACCAAGCCCGATCTTTCCAAAAAGCGGAGTTATCGTCAAGTTTATCTACGGTGGTGTTTACACCAGCATATTCAACTTGAAAAGAAGGATCACCACGTATTCGCAGGTCCTGTTCAATATCTATGTTTGGATCCAAAACAAATTTGTAAGGCTGAGCTCCCACTGGAGGCTTTGAAGCTCCAGAAGGTTTGTCCGCATCTCCCGGTGGTGGAATGTTCCTGTCTTTGTTGCTATCAACATCCACTGGCTGAACACCAACTTCTTGGGCCGCAGCTGTGTCTGGGGTATTGGCTCTGACAGGAGATGCAGGACGGGCTCTTTTACGGCTTCTCTCTTCATCAATCTCAAGAGATCGACCACGTTTACGAGCAGGTTGAGGTAGTAGTGTCTGTTTCTCCAATTCACCACCAGCGGCTGCCCTCTTTCGTGCTATTTCCGCAGCCATTTTAGCTCTCTTATCTGCACGTTGTTTGGCTATTCTACGGTCTTCTTCTTCTTCCTCTTCAATTTGAAGACGAATTTCCTCTGCTTCGGCAGTCTCAATATCAGCCAGTACCTGCTTTCTGGCCACTTCTGCGGCCTCTGCTTGTCTCTGTATCTCGACTTGTCTCTCATATTCTAATTGTTGTTTCTCTCTCGCTTGTTGACTCCTCGTGCTGTCGGGAAATAGGAAGAAACGTTTAAGCCATTTATCTGCTCTGGCTCGTAAAGTCTCAGGCTGATCTGCGGGTGGCATGTATACCTTGAGGCTCAGGTCTGAGGGAGTGTAATCATTAGGTTGCAATTCTTCCTGTGGTTCAAGAATTACGGCGGGATCGCCGGGGTTATATCGCACTTCTCCTGGCATACGTTGTCTGTCAACGAGGTTTAATGCCCTTTCACTCAATGCTAGGAGTTCTTTTGCATCAATTCGATCCTTGGGATGATATGAGAGGCATTGTAGAATCGTTCGAACCAGCGTTTTCGAATACTCCTGTTGTGTTGCGATAGGCTCTGTCAGCAGGTCTGCACCAAAATAAAGCTTCAGTCCTTGATCAGTGGGCGAGTCTGAGATGCCGATATTCCAAGCACTGTTTCCGAGTTCTCTTCCTGTTATCATGTAATATAGCAGCGCACCTATTCCAAAAATATTACAAGGTGTACCAATGCTACGTCTCTCCATGCCGGGATATTTTTGCTCCTAATAGAAATGTAAGCGCAGGATCTTGTTATCAGGTGATAATTACAAACCGGAGTTGCCCACTTTGGATCAGCACGTCCTCGGACACGAAACATCCATAATTTGTCCATAGGATCGCTGGGGACTACTGCTGCCTTTTCAAATTTCCCAAGCTATAATCAAATCAGCGCCATTCCTTCACATGAATGCTTGTACGCACTAGAAATCGTGTGCCGTTACTGTGCTCCGTTTTGGCATTGTCCATTGTACAAAATACTAGATAACTTAATGCCTGTGACTGCTTCAAAAGATTATGAAGTGCTTACTGCTTTCTGGTCTTATATCGAGATGAACCACTGCCTTGTATTGTTCTCGGGTTTCGTAACTTGCTCTTGACGAATCACCATGCTCTAGTTTCATACAGATCTTCGCCATACAACCCATAACGCTCCAAAGATCATTCTCTGAAAGATATTGTTCGCTAGGAAGACTCATTAGAGAGTGGAAGGACTACCAATTCAAAAGACTTACCCAAAATTGTTCTCTAGCCACTGATTGAGATTTCCTTGTTCATAGTAGGTTGTGTATGTCCTTCCTACTGTTTCCGGGGCAAACTCGTGAACATACGCGGGATCGAAGGTATCATCCGCGCCAGTACCCAAGTCTTCTTCATATGCTCTAGTTGGTCGGATTATATGACCGTCATCGTAGCCAGTACCTCCTCGTACGTGATCGAGAATGGACGCACCATTTTGTAGCCTTGCTTTTGCTTCAGGACTAGATGCTTGTTTTACAACAATTCTCTCTTGATGTACATTACCTGACCTTTCGATAATCCCCTTCTTGAAGACCACAATACCCTTCCCTAAAACCTTGTCCGGGATCCATCTAGACTTGGGCAATGTATCGGCGTCCGCATTGATATCCCATCCATAAACACGGTTCATCCATTCCTCCCCTCGTTTCTGATCCTTTTCAAAATCGGAAAATTTCTCCCACTCTTCAGCGGTTGGAGGTTTCCTTACACCCCTAAAGCCTCCTGGGTTAAATCTATTGGAAGCACCGGCAGCCATATCTTTGCGCAAATCTAGAAGTAAAGTGAAATCGCAATCTTCCCTCTTGGGTGTTCTTACAAAGCCATCGATAATTTAATTGATATTTCCCATGCATTATGGCAAGGCAATGAGAATTCAGCGAACAAAGGTCCTGAACCTGAAGGGTCGGAAACTGCAAATGGATGAAAGAATTTTTTTTCCTTGCATTGTGAACCAAACCCGCATTAGGAGATTGCAATAATGAGACAGAAGATTGCCGAACAATAAATTTCACCGGAATTGGATGATTCGACCAGTGTCTATTCTTCTTGGTGAATATTCGTTCGATCAGCACAAGCAGCATTATCTGATTGGTGGACTCAAACTTCCAGACTAATTGAAGAACACTCCATAGGTTACCTACCCTTTGCTCTCATGTTGCATCCTAATTTGAACGAGAACAAGCAATCGAGGAAACTATTTATTCTGAATTTGATTTCTTCTCAACATACGCACTCGCAGTATATGAAACAATAACACAAATCAAATAAGTAATAGAGACGTAATGCTATATCAATTCAGGTCTAAGGTGCGTGTGTAAAGGAGTTTTGAAAAGTTGTAGTTGAGTTGTGGTCTTCATTGGGGAGTGCTATCCTCAATAGGGTTAGTGCTCGACAAGTGATCTGATTGGACTTATTGAGAGCCATCCCGACCGAGAATGCAGGTGTCATTATTCTACCCCGTGACATATTATTTCTACCTCTGAAGTAACATTTCTTCAATTACTACTATAATGATCTTCTGAAATTGGGTTTGTTCATTAACTACTAGGTAGACTTTAAATTACTATAACCCCCCACCGAAACCCAATTATCAGATTCACCAGCGCAAAGATCAACCCCGTGCAAACAAATGATCACCAAACTTAACCCGATCCCTCGCCCAACAATCCAACATCTGTACTGTTCAAGCTAAACTTATACTTCGCCTCTAAAACATATGGGCCATCTTCCGGACCCCAGATCTGTTTTCTACCCCATTCAGGCTGGTTGATTCCATCAATCCAGTCCTCGACTTCCATGACTACACATCCATATTGCTGAATTGTACGTGGTCGATCTGAGACGTTGAAAAGTCCTTGAGTTTCTTTGAGAGCCATGGATCCGTTTTGTCCTCCGCAGGAGTATACCTGGAAAGCGTCTTGGTCGCTGTAGACGTCGACTTGGATACCGGACCAAGCGGAACGGAGACGTGCGACGGGAGATGTGTGCCATGCAGCACGAGTGGATGGATCACGGTTGGTAATATAGGCTGTGTCATATCCGGTGCAATTTGCACCGCAATTTCCTAGTAAATCTGGGTTGGAAAAGTTGGCGCCGATTTGTTTTGGAGTGCTCCAGAAATCGTTGAGTGATTGGGGTTGGTTCGCGATAATGTCTCCAGTTGGAATTAGGATACTGTCTGTACCAATTCGTTGTCCACCGTATGGCAGATAAAGAGAGTGGTTGAGAGCAGTAGCGGTCTCATTGTTGGCGAAACCATCAAGGTTCCAGTATGTCTGTTGATATGTTAGGGACTCGTGTCAAAGAAAACAACAAAATCGTTTGGGAAAGGAATAAAAAACATACGTGCGAACTCAACATGATAGGAGTTTTCTTCGTGGTAGCAATAGCAATCATCTTGAATGACCAGGTCATGTTAGTCAAAGTGTAAGTGACATAACTGACAACCTCTCCTGGAAATCCTTGTTCTCCATCAGGATCTATGGATCTCAAAATTAGCAAACCATACAAATCAGAAATCCAAAATTAGAGGAAACCCACCAGTCAAACTGAAGGTAATCGAACTCGTGGTGTGAGCAACCACAGTCCAATTTCTCCAATCCCAACCATCTGGACCACCATGCAACGTATCAACTCCCGCCGGGTTATCCGCTGTCGGATTTTCATTCGGCAACACGTTGTACGTCTCTCCATCAATAACAAAACTCGAATTCTTGATACGATTTGCGTATCTTCCCGGTACACCACCAAAATGAGGATGTTGTCTGTCTACTCCATAATAGCTTGCGTTATCGAAACCTCCGACAATATCACGCTCGATACCAGAGGTATCGTTGATGAAGAGATTGGAGATGGATGCACCGTAGGCGATGAAGTTTGCACGGATACCTGGAGCAGAGAGCTCGTATTTGCCATTGGCGTCGGGACCGAGGGAGGAACCCGCGATGGTGCTGTTTCCAGCTACTCCAGTGTAAGATTGACCGGGAGATTGAGCTGCAGCAAGGCCTGCTAGCGAGCCAAAGAGCACTGTCGATAACACCTTGATTGGCATCATGTTGTAGAGTTGCTTTACTGGGAAACAACTGGGAAACAACTGTTCAATTGGATGTGAGAGTAGAAGCTTAGAAGTGGTGTCGCTGTTATAAAGGAGCAAGTTTGGCGATGTAAAAGACGGTGTTGTGTTCGGGGGGTGAGGGTTAGGAATACAAGACTACGTCGATTAAGCCGTAGATCGCCGTCTCCACAGTGAATTTAAAAGTCGGAGTTTCTGGGGTATACTGATCATCCGATCGTTCAACTATCTCAGGAGTGAATGAACAAAGAAGCTTCCGCTTGACTATATTCTTAATTGACCCAAAGTCTACCGTGTACAGGATTCTTCTCGAAGCGTTGCGTCGTCGTACTAGATATCGCACATTAATCCACGAACAATCAACAATCACAAAAGTTTCCGAACAAAGCAAACAAAGCAATTGTTTGACAAGTCCTCCTGAGATACGAAGGGGAACTACGACTCTTATATCGCATTGATACCCCAGCTATACGACTGCCCCGCATGCATCTCACTGCATCTACCTACATCAACTCATCCATAACACTAGCATGCAGTGAAAGCTAGTCCTAGACAATCCACCTCTTTCATTCATTCAATTCGTTAATTCACCGTTTCCTCCGATCAAATGATGCGGGGGTATCATCGCTCACCTTGTACTGCAGGCTTGTCGGTGAATAGACAGAAGGTAGGACTAACCGTTTATACTTTCCTCTCTCCGAATTTCCCAGCCTGCTGCTATAAATCCCTTTCCCCGGATCCCGAATCATCGATACATAAATAAGTTCCTATTTAACCATATAAATGAATCCAGGTACAATCCTTGGCTTACCTGGAAATCCTCACGTAAAAGCTTGACTCGTTCTCCTCGTTCCTGCTCATCCCAATTCTAAATTTCCATGACGTCCCAATTCCAAGATTGTGAGTGGTGCGTTTAAACTTCCTCCCGCCATCTTTGTACTGCTTACTGGTCATCCTCGGTACTAATAAAGAATGCGGGGTTTGCCCCAACCTTGTATCGAGATACTGGGGACCCCAGATCACTCCAGTTACCAACAATTATTAAATTATACGGAGAGAAGCTTTCATCCGTATATCTGAGTGGCCAGCATTCCGTTGACATATCCGTTTGGTATATTAGTGACCTGAAGCTTGTATCCCCGCATCTCCTACCCTGTACTATTCGCGCGCATAAACTACCCATCATTGATCTCTACTCTCCACGGAAAATCTTCTGACCGATAGGCCAGCGCGATCCAACAATTTGTACTCCATGCGCCATGTACCTAGATATGCAGGTATGCGTTCATATACTTGTTATTGATGTGGTATCGCATGAGCGTCGTACCACACTGGCTTACGTGATAATTGGAATGATGGACGAGACGAGTGAACTTTAGTTACAATACTGCAGTGAGTTCTACATAAGCTATACACGTATCAAAATGGACAATTATGCTAAAAGATTCATTGTTGTCCACCACTTCGATTTCCGTTCTTTATAATATCTACACAAGCGCGCTCGATTTCAAAGCAAAGGATTTCCGAGAGATATATTTGACAAGACTAAACACGCTCTTACACACTTCTGAACTAACCCTCCACTACAGCTTCCCGCCCAGCATATTCATGCTCATGCATCAATCAAATTCTCCTCTTGCCCATCTTTCGCCTTTCCTTCCTCACTGTTGTCCGTTGTATCCTTGTTGCTAGCACGTCCCTTGCCCTTGCGGTCAGCTGCAGATCGTTGGTAGAACTCGGCCAAAACCTTTTGTGGGATGCGGTTGAGCAATTCCTTGGGGTAAATGCGGAGTAAGCTCCATGCTTGATCGAGAGACTCATAAATGGTTCTGGATTCGTAGGCAGATTGTGAAATGAAAGTACGCTCGAATTTCTCCAAGAACTCCAAAGATAGCTTATCCTCTGAAGACAAAGCCTCTTCACCAACGACAGCCTTCATTGATGCTGCATCACGACCAATGGCATATTTAGCGTACAACTGGTTGGAAACATCACCATGATCCTTTCTGGTGAGCTTCTCTCCGATAGCAGACTTCATAAGACGAGAGAGTGACGGCAAAACGTTGATAGGTGGGTAGATACCACGGTTGTATAATTGGCGATCGATGAAAATTTGTCCCTCAGTAATATAACCAGTCAAATCGGGAATAGGGTGAGTAATATCGTCGTTAGGCATAGTCAAGATAGGAATTTGAGTAATGGATCCGTTTCGACCCTGGACACGACCAGCACGTTCATAAATGGTGGACAAATCCGTGTACATGTAACCTGGGTAACCACGACGACCTGGAACTTCTTCACGAGCAGCTGAAACCTCACGAAGGGCATCACAGTATGCGGTCAAATCAGTAAGAATAACCAAACAATGCTTCTCCAATTGGTAGGCGTAGTATTCGGCGGTGGTAAGGGCAAGACGAGGAGTAATGATACGTTCAATCCTATGGAGCATTAGTCTGGTGGTCTACAGTGACAGAATGATATAGGACTTACGTAGGATCGTTAGCCAAATTCAAGAAGAGAGTGACACGCTCAAGACTTCCGTTCTCTTCGAAATCACGGGTGAAGAAACGCGCAGTTTCCAAGTTGACACCCATAGCTGCGAAAACAATGGAGAAGTTCTCCTCATGTCCATCGTGGGTACCTTTGTTTGTAACACCTTGTTTCTGTACCAAACCAGCTTGTCTACAAATTTGAGCGGCAATTTCGTTATGCGGTAAACCTGAAGCAGAGAAAATAGGGATCTTTTGTCCACGAGCAATGGAGTTCATCGTATCGATGGCAGAGATACCAGTTGAAATCATCTCTTCGGGGTATACCTAATATAAATTAGTCAAGAATGCGAAATCCAACCTGCTCGTCTTACTCTTGAATATGGATTGATAGGACTTCCGTTGATGTCCAAATAATCTTCTGCCAACACCTTTGGTCCCTTATCAATCGCTCTTCCAGATCCATCGAAGATTCGACCCAACATATCCTCAGAAACACCGAGTTTGAGACTTTTTCCTGTGAACTCGACAGTAGACTATCAAAGCGTTAGCAACGGTCGCAGGTACTGCGTGTAGAGCCTTGCTATACCTTCTTCACATCGATACCGTGAGTGCCCTCGAAAACCTAGCCGCTGGTTAGTATAAAGTGTTGGTTTACATCGAATTCTCAATTTCGTACTTGGACAACTGCTCGATCACCTGTGGATTTATAGAATTAGCAAGTAGTTCAGCATGATCAATGGCACAAATACCACATACCTCTAGCTTCCAACACTTGTCCTGACCTCTGTGTGCCATCAGGTAGCGTCAAGCTAACGATCTCATTGTATCTTGGGAATTTGACCTGCGATATTATCAGAGAACGCTCAAAGACCCCCTATCCATCTTCCTCCACACTCACATTCTCCAAAATAACCAAGGGACCATTGATACCACCGATAGTGTTATACCTGATTCGAGGCGTAACACTGTACGACGACGACTCTCTTGGATCTCCCATTGTGGCGATCTGGTGTGCGATTTATCTGAGTTGTGAGAAGGAAAATTGGAGAATATGCTTCAGCTCATAAGAAGCTCCAGCGATTGTTGTGCTGGTTAGTTTCGTAGATGACGAGCTTGGTTTGTTTGAGAGGTTGGAGAGCTTGAGATGCTTCAGAGTGGAGCTTAGCTTGTTTGAATCGAGGCAATTGCGATAAGCGACAAGGTTGACCAATATCACGTGATAATTCGCTCCTGGCGGCAAGTCGAAGTGCCAAGTTCTCTCTTGATTTGGTTTAAGGAATCAGTGAAAAAGCATTTCAAAGTACGCAGTAAGGCTATGTATATTCGTTTGAGGTCGTCAAATCATTCCGGGAATCGCATTTCAGCTAGCTATGCTATACATGCACTATTTCACGATCGTGCTCCGTTTTCCGCAATTCCCACCGAACGCCAGTCATCCATCTCAATTTGTCATATACAGTTCTGACCCTTCTGAAGGTATCCATCGCGTTAGTTATGGATATCATTTACGACTTCTTGCACCAATCACAGCCTTTCCAACGCTACTTGCATTCGGCTTCCCAATTTCCCCAGTAATCCATTGTCCAATATCAGCCAATGCATCTAAATCAACGCCAGTCTGCATCCCCATACTCTCTAATAGGTAAACCATATCTTCTGTGGCTACGTTTCCAGTGGCCCCAGGACTGTACGGACACCCACCTAGCCCCCCTACACTACTATCGAAAGTTCTGATACCATGCTCCAAGCTCACAACAGTGTTGATCAATGCCTGTCCATAAGTATCATGAAAGTGCATTGCGATATCCTCGTTCAGTATTCCCGCTGATTGCATTGTACGTAAAAGCTTCTGAGTCTTAGGTCCCGTACCCATTCCAGTCGTGTCTCCGAGATCAATCTCATCCGCTCCCATTTCCAATAATTCTGTCGCTATTTCCGCCACTCGGTGGGGATCTACATTGTCGCCTTCGAATGGACAGCCTAGCACAACTGATATGTAGGCGCGAACTCGCATTCCAGCTGCCTTTGCACCTTGTATGACTTCTTCAAATCGTTTTAATGATGTAGCGATGTCACAATTAAGGTTCTTTTGTGAAAATGACTCAGTTGCTGCTGCAAAAACGGCCATCTCAATATATGGCTTATTGGGAGACGACTTGAGTTTCTCCGGACCATCATCAAGAGGCACGTCGGCAGTATTGTATGCGTTTCGGTTTTGAGACAATATATTCAGGGCTTTGTCAAGACCCTTCCTATTGGGTGCCAGGAAGGAGTATCTGAGTGGATTGGTCGATCGATTATTATTTTGCAAAACATGTTCGAGAATCTCACTCGCATCTGCCATCTGCCAACATCCTAAAGTCAGTCACTGTTGATCTAACTTTCAAGACTCCCAACTTACCTGTGGCACCCATTTCGGCGCAACGAAAGAACCAGCTTCGATATCCTGCAAGCCCGTCTTTGCAAGTCTTTCAATCAACCTGATTTTCGTTGCTAAAGGTATAATTGTTTTCTCGTTCTGTAAACCATCTCGGGGTCCAACTTCCACCAATTTTACACGATTGTCACCATGTTTTTGATTCCCATTTGTTTCGCCTACCAGAGGATCGACTGCTGTTGCGAGATGTCGCAATTGACGAAGCTGTGAACTAGCATTTCGGCATTGAAATATGCGCCGTGATAACATCATGAATAAAGTTGCATTGTCCAATTTACTTATTACTGGTGGTTTTGTTTTTGAGTAGAGCTTGATGGTTCATCTGGGGAATTGTGCGGGGAGAGCTCGATACATGGGCCGACGTTAAGCCGATTTCTCTCTGGTTAGGACCAGCCAATAGTGAAGAGACAACTGACATTTCATCCCCCATAATATTCCGCGAATAACCGTCCAGTTCTCCGAGTAGACTCTGGCATTACTTGTGTCTCTTTGCAAGATGGAATAGCCTCTATATGGACAAATAACGTATATGAACGCAAATTACCCTCGATTTTTGGACATTCGATCTCCCTTCACCAGATCTATTATTAGACGAGTCAATAAGTACTCAATATTCATCGTTGGAAATCACACATAACACGTAAAACAGCGAGTGATATCAAATTTAATTAAAAAAAAAGGTATAAAAGTTCTATTTTCCATTTTCCGTATCAATTAACTATAGTTAAGCGCTTCAAAGTAGCTCAAGAAACTCCCCTAAAAGTCCATTCAATCACCCATTACATCATAGCCGCACCATCGATACCAATGACCTTTCCGTTAACCCACTCACCATCTTGACTTGCCAAGAAGCAAACAACTCTGGCAATATCGATGGGGAGACCGACTCTGTGGAGTGGCGACCAGGTAGCGGCATACTCATCGACTTCATCGTCGTTGAGGTTGGCGCCGTTAGGAATGTATTCACGGCAGACCTTGTGGTACATATCGGTACGGATTCCACCTGGAGCAATGCAGTTGACGGTGATCTTCTTGTCACCAAAGTCTAAAGGATTGTTAGTACGGTGCTTGTGTGGGAGAAGAGACAGGAGATAAACATACCAATAGCCATGCAGCGGACGAAAGTCTCGATAGCACCCTTGGAACCAGAGTAGACAGTGTGTTGAGGAACACCCTTAGCTTGACCAGTGATGGAACCCATCATGATCAAACGACCTCCAACTTCCAAGTTCTTGTAAGCCTCTCTGGCAACGAAGAATTGACCTCTGGTGTTGATGTTCATGACACGGTCGTATTCCTCCTCAGTAACATCCTTGATATGTCCGAAGGTAACGACACCAGAGTTGGAGCAAACAATGTCGAGTTTACCCCATTGCTTCTTGGCTTGAGCAAAAAGGTTGATGATATCAGAGACGACGGAAACATTTCCTTGTAGGGCAACTGCCTCGGAACCGGCCTTCTTGATAGTGTTGACGACCTCTTGAGCAGCGGCATCGGAGTTGGCGTAGTTTACAATAACTTTTGCGCCGCGACGACCGAGCTCACAGGCCATTTCGGCACCGATACCACGACCTGGTTTGCAATGTTAGAATGGAACCTGGGAAGGAAGGGTAAGATCACGTACCTGATCCAGTAACCAAAGCAACTTTGCCCTTCAGGCTGGCGCTCTCAAGACCGAGAGGACCTGGGACCTTGGTGTAATCGATCTTCTCCTTAGTGCCATTGGTGGCTCCGTTTGATCCGTTTGTAGCAGACATTTTGGTTGATGTTTTGGAAGATTTGTTTTGTGAGAAAAGTACGTGAATGAAATGGGTATTAAGAGTATTGCAAGATTAAAGCAGAAGAAAATGAAGTAAAGATGATGATGATAAAGATTCTACTTCCTGAGAACTTACGGTCTCTATATATCATTTCTGTGCAGCTAAAAATACCAACAACACAAGTCAAGTGAAGTCAAAGCAGACCTAAGGTAAGCCGTCACCTCAATGCGCAAACACAAGGATTGACACTTTCCATATCTGATCTCGCTCTCTTCAAAGTCCGTGAGGAGCGAGCTTGCGAATGAGACTATAATTTCCTGCATATATTAGAAAGTGTCCGTCGAACAGCGATGATCGTGCTGGACTTGCTGATACATATGCGATGCGAAGAATAGCACGGCTTGTTGTGTCAAAGTTTGGATGGTTTTGCGGCTGATGTAGCGGATCCGAGATTTGACGTTGTGCCGCCCTGCCGAAATAGTGAAGTGGTTTACGGACTTCCAGCTTCAAATTGATGAATTGATAGATAAATGGTGAGGTGAGATTCCAGTCAATAAGCCATGGCATGTTGTTGCTGGGGAAGTGATAATACAAGATGTACTCAGCTCGGCTTTTCCATGGCAGTCTGCACATCTGACCTCGGTTACCTTGCAAAAGCCCCTTCATCGACGTGAACGAGATAATTTGGCCATTGGGTATCCATAAATTGACTATCTGTAGACTAGAAAAGAGTATACAACTGTCAATGTCGTGTACTGAATAAAAACAAAATAAAACTCCATTTTCCATGTACGATAGGGTCAAAGATAGAAGTTAGCGGGGGTCGATCATAGTCCGTGCATGGGTCCATTCCCATGTCTATTATCCAATAATCAAGCTAATCAATGCTTCATGTATCAAGACCTTCTCTATGGTTCTTCAAATGGCTGGGTTTGGGTCAAACGCCCACACCATCCTGTGGGGTTGTCCGATCAATTGAAGTTATGACAAGCACCACGCACTACACACTACTCAGATACACACTACTCGGATTGTTTGTCAAACGCGAAGACCGAAACCGAAAGAGAAAGAGAGGAAATGGAAGAGGTATGTTTCATGAAATGGTATTCTCACTGACGTCTGTTGTGATTTGGAAGCATTTTTTTAAGGCGATGCTCCTTATATTTCGGCATGTTTATTTGCAAGGTGAAATTTGGAAATAGTCCAGCTCCCGCCTTCGAGACCGCTATCAATAGCTGCAATTCCTCAAAACTCAAGTCCATCATCTTCGATCTTTTGGCAATAGAGGCGCTGGCTCGATACAACACATGAAGGCTCCAATTATCTAACTTAGTATACTAATATGGTATAAGTAGATGCAAGCCAAAGAGCTCGAATCGCGATATTTCGGCCTTCGTGTGCTCGTGTCATCAGCGCCTAAATGCTCCGTAGTCTTGAATGATCCGAGCCCACGTCCACGTCCATTAGCACGGCCCTGCGCTTCGGGAGCTAAGTACTATACACACGACGGGATTCGCGCTTTCATCTTCTAGAAGTCTTTTATAGAAGCTCTAGGTAATCAGAAGACTGCTAACATTCGTTTGACTTTGTGTTCTCCCGTATTCAAACTTGGCAATGCTGGGCGATGCTGGGCGGTGGAAATTGCCACGTGACGTGTGCCTTGGAGTACATCCAAGTGAATCTCCTGAGGAATTGAAGCTGTATTTATGATGTGTAGATGGCGGGTGAATTATTTGATTTCCGAACTTTGAAGCAGTGCATTGTTCAAACTTCATACAGCTGTTGGCTCTGGATATAATGTTAGATATGGCTGACGCATGTCGTGGAAGTGTGCTTTAGCCCGACTGATTGGGAATCTCAACTGCTGCCCGTTGCCCCATTTCAATGATTTCGATTTCGGTCAAACGAGGTTGTATTGGAAGGATAGATCACCCACAACGTCCTCAGTTGGTATCACCGTCGACGCGTTAGTGACACAACCGTCGTACGATGATACACATCGCGGCAATTCTGTCAAACAGGACACGAAAGATCAATCTGACGTAGAGAAACAGAAGCTAATAAATAAATAGTGTATTTTTGGTATCGTAATGTAGAACCAATTGAATATTCTAGTGCTGGTATAAATAAGTATGAAGAATAATCATTCTTCATGCGCTTTTGAAAATCCCCACCCATGGTCTAGTTCCCCCGGAAAGAAATCCTGCGATCGTTCAAGATTCGCTCGGAAAGGGCTTTCTACCCCATACAACATAACTGCAAAGGTTAGCATGGCATGATTTATGTGATGATCAGAACTTACATAGGAATATATGCGTGAATATTCCTGTTCCTCCCAGATTCCTTTGCTTTGAGAAGTAATTCCTTGACCTCTTCCTCATTCATATTCGATCCCTCTACTACAGTCCGTGTGGTTGAATACAACCATCGCTTTATGTCCTTTTGCATCATTGCACCGATTTGCTTCTCTTTTGCCCCTATCGCCCAATCATTTATCGGATTGTGGTAGACTGTCTCTGTTACCTCTTCGAACCCAATATCTTCCAGCCATTCCATGTATTTTGGGATATTAGTCCAAGGTCTGCTGCCAGCCTCGCCCGCGTCAACACATGCTTCGAACCATCTGGCAATTCCACTACTTTCCATTGAGTCGTCAATGGAAGCTAGCGGGAGTTTTGCATCGAGAATCTGGAAATAACCGCCAGGCTCAAGGGCATTGTAAGCCATTCTGAAGACCTCTTTCTGGTCACTGAAACACATCATCAGATCACGCATGTGGACGAGATCAAATTTGTGTGGAAAGTCCCATGCTTCCTCAGCATCAGCAACGACAAATTTGCAGTTTTCGGGTGTACTGTTCAATACTTAGCCAAAGCTCACTAATATTGAAGAATGAGCTTACTTTTCACGTGTCGAAGGGCTAAGGTCGGTTCCAATAACTTGCGTATTTGGGAACTCAGTAGCTGTTTTGGTTAGGGTTGCATTCGGACGATCAAGCTTGACATTACTTACCAAATTCAACTGCCCATATCCCATGTCCAGTCCCAACACTAAGCAGAGGTTAGTAACTGTAACTGACAGCTTTAAGATGAAGAACCCTCCAATGATGTATCTGAGTGTGGTAAGGCACAATATAAGGCTGAGTGATGGGGATCACGGGACTAAAAAATGAAGAGCTTTACTGACTCTAGGACATGCTTCACCTCTTCTGGGTTCAAAGGTGGCAAGTATATTTTTCCATCCATCATAACTTTCAGCAACTGGTGCTGAAGATCTGGCCAAAGTGAGCTTCTGCACAACAAAACAAACACACATATGATTAGAATCTACTGACCTAACCTATCTTGTTCGAACTAGCAAAGTACATCTTTCAGCCAGGGCATTTCTCGAGTTGGAGCACAACTCTTACCTTATCGATAGGAAATTTATATTCTACGAGAGTTAAGTTAATATCCTGCATCGTGCTATGTGCGGAGGATGAGACAGAGGACTTACTTTTATCTTTATCTTCGTGAAATGTTCTCGTCGTTTCCGGGCCATATTCTTCTTCACTATCGGAGAAATATGTATCGGCAACCTTGAAAGCATTAGTATGTCCTGCATATATCTTATGTAGTTGAATAAATCCGGAGGCCACGAACTGCGGGATCAACTTCTAGCTCAACGGCCGTCGTTTCTGTAACCACAATATCAAACCCGAACATGATGGCGAACTTCGTATATACTTTGTATCGATGACTAAAACGGCGTGCAGAAGTAACTTTTTCGAGGAAACACTTGATATATATGAATGATATTGTGGATGCAAGAGTTTAAGAAGTTAACGATGTTTATCAAAGGTGGGATTTCATGTCAATTTTCTAACGATTGGAGCAAGCGATGAAGATCCCCAAAATGAAAATATCGAATTCTAATTTCTCTTACTCCCACTTTGCACGCGCAACAAAAATAGAGTTTGAAGCTTTTGTGGTTCTGGAACGCTACCGATAAAAATATGTAAGACTGGCAACGGTACTGACCACAGTTCGCAATGCAAATAAGATCGAGCATCGGTACTGTGCTGTATTTCAATCAATATTTGTGCCGCCTATGAAGAGACGTAACTTCCCTTAACCCCTGGTTCCGGGGATGTATTTCCTTGTACCCCATGGTTCAAATTCGGTACTTAGCGTGGGCACAACGGACGCTCGATTCAAAATGGTCAATTTTCGTTTTTTGAGAGATTCGTTATTCGAATCTTTGGGGATATAAACTAGTCATGTAGAGACAGTCTAGACATTCTAGATACATTACTGGACCAAGTAGTTGTTCGTAACCGATCAGATTGTAGCCTTGAGAAATGTTTGGCGATGAATTACGATATTGTACCGGTATGTAAATTCAGCCCACCCGCCCACCAGCCCACTAGGTGCCATAGCACACTCAACACTATATGAGTTGTGGAGGCTCGAAGTTCTAATACATGTCGTAAAACTTGTACATGTAACGTTAAGCGACTTAAGTTAGGCATCTAAAAGTGGAATCTATTATATATCACCTAACAAAGATATGTACCTAGCTAATGCTAGGGCTAATACTATGGCTAATGTAACATAGCAGAACTTGATCAGCCATGCTCGCCATGCTCAAAGGTGTATCCATATGTGTATACATACATACGAAGCAGAACGAAGGAGGCTCTAATAAATCTTGCATGTCGTCGAACATATGCAGCCTTCAACTGTCTAACTTTACTCAAGTAGAATCACCCTGTCAGATGAGGCTTATCAGGGGCTTCAATCGCTAGACCTTCCTTCTGAATACCTAGATGCAAATGCATCATCAGAGCCACACACACCCAAAATTTAAATGCTGTCAATTTCATTTCATTTATTTAATCGCATTGATCGCATTAAAATCGTCTAATCCACTATGGTTAACTCAATGAAGGTAAAGCTAATCTATCGGATTACTGTACGATGAAATTCTTCCAGAAGGTACGGACGGAGTATACCCATCATAAAAACTGTTGATAAAGAATGAAAGCCTGAATGAGAATGCGTATGTGGTTTATTCTTCATCTCCCAACACGAATGATATTCTACACAAAATCCATCATCTCATGTTCGAGTCGGCAAGCGTCAGGATTCGAGCCCCGATTGTAGGCAGGACCGTCAGCTTCGATCAATCAATTTACGGTAAAGCGCCACCATGCTGATTGCTTCCCGTCTTGTATCCTCTGAGTTCGCCTCATTCTCAATCAATATGAGCAACTTCACCCACAACCACGTATGTGGACAATACCATCGACTGTTTAATTGAATCTTGGCAACAAGGAAAATGTCAGGATGGATGCTTCCATGTACAGGTCTTTGACGATTGATGAATACCAAATACGAGTCGTACATCTCCTTCCAAAATTTTGCATGGAATCAGATCACACCTTAAACGTGCATATTGAATGCGAATTGAGATGTGTAAGTTTTACTGACAGGCCTCAGTATGAAGCTTTGTCGTATGAATGGGGTTCACCACGAGATCGCCGGATGATCTTTATTAATGGGCAGAAATGTTTAGTTCGAGCCAATCTTTGGTCCGCGCTTAATCAATTAAGGAACGAATATACAGAACGAATCCTTTGGGTAGACGCACTCTGTATCAATCAACATGATACATTTGAGCGAAACCATCAAGTGGGGCAGATGAGCAAGATTTATGAACAAGCGACAAGAGTGATTTGTTGGATAGGCGTTGATGAAGGGGTAGAGTTTTCTTCCGCTCACAATGTCGATACGACGGAATTCGTTCCATCCATTGCGATCAGGACTCTTCAAGCTCTCAGTCGGTCAGGTAGACGATCAGACCAAAAATTACCTACCACAGGACTGCCCTATGCGCTCTTGCCTACAAGCCCAAGTCGCTCCCTGGAATCATTATGTCGATTGTTCTATCGCCCATACTGGAAACGACTCTGGATCATCCAAGAGTTAACTCTGGCCAAAGAAATATTGGTTCAGTGCGGTGAATATAATTTCGAATGGAAAGATCTTGCTCGATGTTGTGATAATCTAGACCAAATCTCTGAACATTGGTTGACTATTCGAGACAAGAAAGTATACAGATTGGTCTGTAAGATCAAGGATAGTATCCCATGCCGGTTACATCGGCAAAGGAAGGAGAGACAAACGCACGGGGAGCGCGCACATCCACTTCTTGAGCTTCTCTTTACATACAGCGAAGCACAATGCGAAGATATTCGTGATAAAGTTTTTGGACTGCATAGTCTTACCCATGACTGCTGTAAACGAGAAATACCGGTCGATTATGGAATCTCAGTTCTCGAGATATGCTCAAGGGTTCTGAACCATCATTTTTCTGAGCATCAATCACCACTGTTTTACACAGCTAGGCATACGACCGCGGCGCTACATAGGCTTCTAAAGGCGCCAAAACCAGATGAATACTTGCAACGGAAAATGCTAAATTCTACAGCCAAAGCCACACTGAAATTCAACGGCACTCTAGAAGGTACCATCTCATGGTTGAGTCCCGCATCCGACGATCTACCACTCACAGAATGGGTCCTGCCTCATCAAGGCCACGAAACGATTATAGCAGAAGTGGCTCAAATCCATGAAAAAATGAACGCATTAGGATTCACAAAAAATCTGGACACGTACCGGCTCTCCCACATCGGCCATGCCAAATACAGCCGCGCAATTCCAAAGGGTAACTCATATATCGAACTCCACTCGCCCATCACAAACAACATCTCCAGCCCAAGCGACAAACCATCTTCAAGTTCTTCCAACCTCGGAAACAAACTTTTAGGTTTCGCAAGTAGCAAAATACAGCAAGCGATAAAATGGCGCGATCTCGATATCACGTTTCGTAAAGGCCTCGATTGGACTCCAATTATTGGAGGAACAGATAGTAAAACTCGCGTGCGCATCTCTATCTCGAGTGAAAATTTACTGCACTACGTGCCGCATAATGCAACCACAGGTGATCTGATGTGTCAAATTGATGATAGTGATACGATACTAATATTGAGATGGGATGCTACTGGAAAGGAGGGGAATGGTAGGTATGTGGTTGTGGGAAGGGCAAGCGAGGTACCGCATGCGGGGAGGAGGGAACAGGAAATCTCGAGGTATGGAGCGAGGGAAAGAGTCAGAGTTTGGTTGGATGCTCCGACATTGCAATTGTTGAGTTGGGAGGAGGCCTAGTTTTTGAGTGATTCGCTTTGGAGATGGGCTCGAGATATTGGATTCCTGGCTGTCAGTGGGTTATGATTATATGTACTCTAATGATTGATGAAATAAGCCTTGGACACAAGGGAACTTGGGCAAAGTATCAGTGCACTAATGGAAATGGGAAACGGTACGGTGTTTACATCAGGGTAAATTTTTATAATTTCTAACTTGATACATTACGCATCACGTTTCTCGTGAAAGAGTCAAGAACTAATGATATGCTATAAACCCCGACTCTATGTATAGCACATTCCTCATAGTGATTTATCAATAGCAAACTAAGTACCTACACTACTACCACACTGTACAATGTATTACTATACCTAAGTATCCCCAATATCTAAATCTCACCTCCCAACCCAACGCAACAATCTCAATACATAGCTAGAGCTGCCCACCACCACCGGCGACGACAACAACAGACGACAAAATCAAAGACCAAGGCCATTAAAAGATAAAAACATCTACAATGTCCCAACATTTACCCACTAACCATGCCAAGCAAGTTAAATCTAGATAAGATAACCTAGATAAATACCCGCAGTTCGAATTGTAGTGTCGGATTAGTCAAACAAGATATTGTTCGCGAAGAACAGAGGATACCTAGGCGTGCAAAGGGGATTTTTGAGATTTGGAGGAAGATAAAGGGGAGAGGGAGGGGTGCGCATCGTGCTATTCTTGTGTTCTTAATTCTACGTTGGTGTTTGAAAGAATTGGACGTTGGGTGTTCCATCTTGCTATATGAAGAGAAGCGAATGAACAAAAATGAAAAACGAACCCACCCAAATCCCGCCGCTCAAGTAATCCTCACCCTCCCTTCTCACCGCCATCTCGGAATCGGTAATTTGATCCCCTCGTGGGTTATTCGAAAAGTGGATGAACTCGGATTAGATTGCCATGTGGAAGGTTCGCGTACAGGTGTTGCTCTATATACCGAGCATGGGTTTGAAAAGATTCGGAATGAGGAAGGTACGCCATATAAAGAAGAACATTCGAAGAGCGAGGAGTGGAAAGGGTTTGACGAGGAGCTGGTGGAAGTTTTGACGGTTATGCGGAGGCCTTGTAGGAAGCTTTGAGGATAGACTAGGAGAGATTGGTTGTGGTTGGTTGTGGTGAGTTGCAGATTGAAGGTTGCGAGAGAGAAATTTTGATTGATCTGGAGAGAGTTAACATCGACTCTTTGCTAGCCAACGCACTTTATTGTTGCGATAATAAGAACTCTAGGTATTGTGAAATCAATGACGGAGATTGGTAGGAGCAAGTCTTGTATTCTCGTCGAACAGAGAGGATTGATTATAACAGCATTAGCTGGTCAATCCCACGATTTATTCATAGCAAAGTTCTAGATATAAGGTTCCTGTAAAATTTCTCATACAAATACCTAGGTAACCTTCACCATGGTACAAAACAAGAGATGAGCTATCTATCTGGCAATAAATGCCGGCCGCAATTTATGAAAGCTAAATAACATGATGAGCTTCACAATGAGATCACAGCAGAGATTGTTCACCACGGCTAGTGAAAGTGTCAAAGTCATAAAAGTCCATTTAATGAGACTGATATATACTCGCATTTAATTAATATAATTACATTGCAAGAAAATGCTATCGATAGGTATATATCAAGCATTCTAACCCATTTTGTATACGCTCAACGCCACTAAACGCCGTTCTATGCCGCATGCAAGCAATCCACTTGGGTACCATAAACTTTCAATACATTAATTTGGCGAATCTACTTCGCCATGAATCTGAGCTCCTTGTGGCTCCTCTACTGGAGAAGTAACGATCCTCATTGCTTCAGCTAAAATGCTGAACCCCTCTTCGATTTCTTGCTCGGTGATATTCAAACTTGGTACGAATCTCAAAGTGTTGGTTCCAGCAGTGATAATCAATAAACCTCTCTCTCTAGCAGCTGTGACGATAGGTGTGGGGTCTTGACTAAGTTGTAATCCCAAGTGCAATCCTTTGCCCCTGATTTCTTTGACCAGTTCTGGGTACTTGGATTGTAAGGCTTGGAAATGCTTCTTAAATATTTCTGACTTCTTGAGAACATCTTTTTGCAAAGATGCGTCAGAAAGTCGAGAGACAATGTAATGAGCTATCCTGGATCCTAGTGGATTTCCACCAAATGTGGTTCCGTGATCACCAACCTTGATCTTCTCCGTTACATTCTTATTGACAATTGTTGCTCCAATGGGGAAACCATTTCCGAGTGCCTTGGCAGTGGTAATGATATCTGGATGAGCTGATTTTGGCAATGAAGCATGGGCCCAGAAGGTTCCAGTTCGTGAAAGTCCACATTGAATTTCATCATAGATGAGGACTGCACCAACCTCACGACAACGAGCTGCGAGTGCGGTAAGGAATTCTTCGGTGGCCACGATAACGCCACCCTCTCCTTGAATTGGCTCTACTATAACACCACAGGTCTTCTCCGTAACCAAGTCCTTGATAGCTTCCACATCATTATATGTTCCATATTTGAATCCAGGTAACATTGGTGAAAATGGCTTCTGATATTTTGGGTTTGGCGTGGCAGACAATGACCCCATGGTTCGACCATGGAAAGAGTTTTGAAATGAAACGACTTCATATTTGTCTCCTGATGGATCAACGACCTTTCCGGTCTTTCTGGCGAACTTTATGGCAGCTTCATTAGCTTCACTGCCCGAGTTGCAAATGAAGACAGCTTGGGCATCGTGCATTGAATTGGATTCGAGAGTCTTCTCAATGAGAAGTTTAGAGAGAGCCCCGGTCCATGGATTATGATACAAGTTGGAAGTATGCATAAGAGTGGTTCCCTGATGTAGTGTGAGGAGTCAGATGAGTCACTTGAAGGAGAGTGAAGGGCAGAATTTACCTGTTCTAACATTATCTTTGCGATTTCTGGATCGCAGTGTCCTAGAGCATTGACTGCTATACCCGCTGTGAAATCCAAATATTTCCTGTTTTCCACATCCCAAAGATGACATCCGGCTCCCTTCACAAACATTGGTGGTGGTCGGACATAGGTGGCAACCATATATGGAGCTTGTTCTCCAATGAGATGTGCTGTTTGCGAATTTGGTGAAGGATCTGGATGCGATATGTTGGCCTCACTCTAGATATCGTGTTAGGAAATCGTGAAACAAGTGGCACATCAAGAAATACATCAATAATGTGCTTAGGTTCATCCCTTACATTTGTAGCATAGGCCATTGCTTGTGAGGCACTTCTTTTTATGTAGCCATTGATAACGGGTGATACATTTCCAGCTTTCAAAGCAGCTGTCACTCTTTTCGCGGACAATCGAAGAGCCATTGTGAGTTATGCAAAGAGGGAGAAAAAGAGAACGTTGTGCTGAAAATTATATCTGACTCCCAGCAACAATGATGAGTCGAACTGAAAATATATATACTAGGTATGTATCAAAGGACCAAAAAAGATACCAGGGAGAGTCAACAATCTAAGCGTTATCGGAGCTAATCATGCAATGCAAGGATAAAAAGTTTACTACGGAGTAAGTCCCCATGGAAATAGAATTTTTACCTAAATTTATTGTCAATTAATATAGAATTCCTGCAACAACTGCATTTTAAGGGCGTAAATTCTGCCAATATATACATTTTTATATGTCATTGCTCTTTTCTATTTTACAGATTTCTACCGTCATCTTTCTTGACCCTGAAATATTTTCTGCCACCGCCTTATCGTGGCTCTGTCTATAATAGGACTAGTGCATCTAGCCCCACCATCCAACATTGGGTGAGGGCGAGGGCGAGGGCATCACGATGTGAAGCTTGGAGCTTTGGAGCTTCAGGGAGCTCAAGCAGCAAAACCACATTCATCCCTCTCCTCTCCCCTCTACATTTATATATCCCTTCAATAATATACATTGATCAAGTATCATTCCACCATACGGAGAAGAAGTAAGAGATTTGCATTACTAATATCATCTTGAGATCGTCGATTATGTCTTTTTGATGAGGAAGTTGAGGAAGAGGAGGGTCGAGACATGTAGGGGCTTGCTTGCTGTGCTTCTGGGGAAGAACGTCGATCTATGATTTCCCTGTACGTCTTGGCCAAGTCCTCCATCTTATCCTTATAGAAGTCGAGATTGTGGGCTCTCAACTGTGGTTGCAAGGTAACTTCCATTAATTCTTCATCGCTGTCCTCGATATCCGAATCATTGGTGGAGAGGTTTTCGTCTGATGAAGCTGGTGAGAACAAGCCGGTATTTGAGGGCAACTTGTCTGCTGCTTCGAGATTCTCGAGCGGTTTAGGTTTTGATTTTGAGCTACCTCTCTTTGATGATGTTGAGGATGGGGCAGATGGTCGGTTCTTCTTCACAATTTGGTAGGTGATGTTTGAGTTGCGGGTTTGGAGCACTCGTGGAGAATCCATTGTAGTATAATGACTCTCAAGTGATGAGTCTAAATGAAATTATTGGTAAATGCGAATGAATCGAGAATTTCGTGATACCATCTCATTATTTCTTTATACACATTTTTACCGCCGCAGGACAAACAGCGTTTACCAACATATGGACTGGACCCGTCGCGACCATAGCGCTGAACAAAAACTTCAGTTTTGTACCTTCTACAGCCCCAGCGTCACCTCGCATGATTTGAGCCTTTTTTAGTTACTGGCTAGTGGTCGAATGAGATTCAGAAGCCTTCTGTAAGGTCTAGGCTTCTTCCATGCTAGAACAAAGATTCTAGCGTTAACCGCTATTTGTTTATGTTTCAACAATTCCGCGCGTCAATGGCGGCCGCATTGGCTTCTCTCTTGTCGGTAGCCGCGAGTACCCATTTTTCAGTGCGACTTTGTAGGGCGTTTCGATGTTCGACCCCAGATTGCCAGACCAGCCAACCTTAAATGCTATGACACATCTTTACATCTCACCCGGACCGTTCAAACGTAAGATTAATCGCTCAAATTGATGAAACAGATTTTATTCAGACGCTTTCATCGACTTCATCATCGCGCATGCCAATATAAGGATGGGCCAATCACTTGATGTTTAAATCTCGCAGAATTGGAAGCGAATTGTTGAACAATAAACAATTCTTATGCCTGCTCTTTCAACGGTCTCAGGAGCTCGAAGCAGCAACCTATCTGAGAATCGAGTTCTTGGCCAAATGTAACTTTGGGCTAAATAAAAGAGCGGCCTGCAGTCTATGTCAGATTGATCAACATAAAAGTGTCATTCATCAGCGGAAAACTATGCACAACTCATCGATAAATGCATCGAAAGGTATGCTGTTTGTTAACACGAGGGGAACCCGTCTCACTCCATACATCCTCTAACACAAGGCTTACCCCGCATTAACAATTTTACCTCCAGTAATGCATCTTTAGCCAATTGAAATTTATTTCTGAATGTTCATGCCGAGCCAAATGCGGCAAAAGGTCCATTGTGGCAGCACTTGAGGTCACACTCTATTTTACCCGGTGTAGTCACCACTTGTACATGAAGGGCTAATTCTATGCCCAAAAGAAAAACAAATACCACAATTTGCCCATCATAAAACTATCATGTTTTGTACTTTTATTCGGTCATTCAACGAAAATGCCTGCCTCATCGAACTTCCCAATATCTCCCTCACGTGAAAAACAGTCTTCGATCGCGGCAAAGGAACTAGACACGGCCGCATTTGAAGTTTCTACATGCGAAATAAATCCATCAATTGAGAAATCTCTCCTTCGGAAGCTTGATCTACATGTTGTTCTTCCACTTATGATCTTGTTTGTGCTCGCTTTTCTCGACAGGGTCAATATTGGTAACGCAAAGATACAAGGGATGACTGAGGAGTTGAAGATGGCGGGAAATGATTTTAACGTTGCCCTCATGATTTTCTTCCCGTCGTAAGTTTCTATCTTGGCTCTTACTGTTCTGAAACTGCAAAGTCAAATTGAACTCCATACGGTCAAAGAAAGATATTCCAGATCTATTAAATAGCCAATAACATTATCATGCTACTGAACCACGCGCATTACTACTGCTAACCAAATTTAAAGCTACATCTTCTTTGAATTTCCCTCCAATCTAATTCTTCGTCGCCTCCCACCATCACTTTGGTTGACTATTATAATGACCCTTTGGGGGATCATAACAGTCTGCCAAGGTCTAGTGCGTAGCCAGAGTGCATTGGTTGGTTTGAGGTTTCTTCTCGGACTCTTCGAGGCTGGTTTCTCTCCTGGCGCTGTCTATCTGATTTCCATGTACTACAAACGCTATGAATTGCAGTGGCGCCTTAGTCTTTTCTTTGCAGCCTCAATTCTCTCTGGGGCCTTTGGAGGTCTTTTTGCTTATGCTCTAGCTCATATGAATGGCATTGGTGGCTACAGTGGCTGGCGTTGGATTTTTATAATCGAGGGACTTCTTACTATAGTTGTTGCTCTCTCCTTTAAAGTCCTGGGTATCCTAGTTGATTGGCCCGAAACTGCATCTTTCCTTACATCATCGGAACGGGAAATGTTAATCCGACGATTAAAAGATGACATGGGAGAAGGTACCCAGCTTAACACGCTGAATAAAGAATCTTTGAAGAGGATATTGAGTGATTGGAAAATCTATGCAGGAATATTCATGTATATGGGAGTTGTAAATACTGGTTACGCTACTAGTTTTTTCATTCCGACAATCATCCAGGAAATGGGACATACAGCGATTGGTAGTCAGGTCAGAACTATTCCTATATATTGTGTGGCTACAATTACGGTATGCTGACTCTTATCTCTTTCTCTATTGATATCTTTTGCATGTAAAGTTTACTGAATCCGTGTACAGTGCCTTGTAATAGCATACTTGACCGATCGTCTTAGGCATCGCTTCGCCTTTACAATCGCTGGACTCGCAGTTGGTATCATTGGATATGTGATCCTTCTTTGCCAGTCGCACGTCCCAACTGGTGCTAAATACATGGCTTGCTTCTTCATAACTACGGGCGGATATATGACGCAACCAGTCACTTGGGCATGGGTTGCTAACGTATGCTGTTCCAACTTTCCAAAATCCCCTCCCTATCAATATTTCCCCTCAGCTATCCCATTCTCATCGCCCCTCACAATAAATAAAAGCCTACTAATCTTCAAAACAGAATATGGCAGGGCACTACAAACGTTCCATTTCCACCGCCCTTCAAATAGGCGTGGGAAATATTGGCGGTATTGTCGCATCTAATATCTTCATAACAAATCAAGCGCCAAAATATCCTGTGGGTTATGGGGTTTCTCTCGGAATGTTGATCATGTGTGGAATTATGTGTACGGTTTTCTTCTTCGGATTGAAGAGAGAAAATGGGATTAGAGATGGTGGAGGGAGAGATTATAGGTATAGTGAAGATGAGGAGAGGAAGAGGAAAAATAGAGAAGAGGGAAAGGAGGAGGAAGGGAATTGGGGGGATGATTGGCCGGGATTTAGGTTTGTTTTGTAGGCTGGGTTGGAAGGGTTTTTGGGATGGGATACGCCGAGTTCCCTTTTCGTTTGTAGTTTGGGAATAAATACTTGGAATTTATGTGCACATGCATTGAACTAAAAGTTGTACAGCAGTCCCTTTCGAATCTTCGATAGGTTGTATCGAGAGCGTCTACTGAATATTCTTTGTAACTCAATACCCACTCTCTCATTACATGCTGCTTCTCTTTCATTTTCTTCCATCTCAATTCCTAAGATGCCTATCTCAAATGTCAACCCCGCCCCCTGCCCTGAGATTTAAGTCGGTGGATCACAGCCCCGTTTGAATTCGTACCATTCATCGCATTTGCAGGAACGTCCTTTTTGGAATGCGATTTCTGTTTATGGTGGAGAAAAGGAAAGGGGACGGAACGAAAGTCTAGTGGTATGATAGAGGTGGAGATATGGGGTTAATACCTACTTGGAGTCAGTGGGTTGGTGATGTATGAAGAAGATAAGGTTCTTGGGGAGTGAATTTCTGAACCGGGGGGTGGGAAGGACCTCGGGAGGAGGGGGAGGATGGATAGTTGGTGGCTGGAAAGGGAAATGGAAGTGTGAGGGGAGTGTGAGGGGACGGAGAGGAGAGAGGAGATGGAACGGAGAATGTTAATTTGTTGTTGGATTTATTTTTCTAATTTGCATTTTGGGTAGCCAAAAGACTTTTTGGGTAGCTCAATATGTAATGAATTGGGAAGATACACCAAATATTCAAGACACATGGAGATTGGTTGGAGATGTGAGGCTCTATTTGTGTGGAATATGTTCACTCTTTCTTCTTGGTGAAAGTGCTCAATCTACACTGATTCCAAGCTTGTCAGTAGACATATCACAATGAACGAAGATCATTCTTATCCATCACAACAGCAAAATCCATTCACCTTTCATAGATAGCACCACAATGATTCAAAAAAAGCTTGTATTGATGACTCTGAGATTCCACAGTGAATAGGACACAATGAAGCTGCCGTACAAGTTTTTCTTGTGGATTCTTCAGCCAATTCTTTCTTGATGACATATTCACAAGCAGCATTATTCACTCATTTTTCGGCCCCAATATCTCCGAAATTACATGAAGTCACAAGACAAGATTCGAACTCGGCTGTGCTGAGAACCGAATTCGCACAACTGTAGTGATTTCAGGTTTATTTAAATTCAGGAAGAGAACTTACCTTTGAGATTTTGAATCTGTCAACAACAAATCCTTTTTGAAGTTGAAATAGGAAAGTCTTTTCGCACAATTTATTCTGTATCAGCACCTTTAAAGACCATCATCTTAAAAGAGAAAGGCTGTTGGCTTGATCAACACATTCCAGCAGGAAGAAGATTTTGAGTAAGTTTCTTTCCTTTCACTCAGGCCAAGTTCTACAGGAATTAAAACTCTCGATCTGAGAGCTAGTGTTATCAAATCATATTGCAGCGTTTTGATTTCCAGTCAACACCTGTATCAACTCAGTGTTGAAAGATACTCTCGAAATTGATCAAGCTAACACAGGATATAGGCGCTCATTCCTTCACCACTCAAGCCTCACCAGTCAATCATTCGTTGAAGTGAAGTCCATACAACAAAAAGGCATCGAATTATCCGGATAGCATGGCGGAGAACTCCAAAGGACAAGGCGAAAAGCCATGGATTCCACCCAATCTGGCGGCGGTACTTCATGGACCAGTGCCAAAATCACAGCTAATACCAATTGATCACATGCCTCCGCGGGAGCTTTCGAGTCAACAACCTCGGTCTCGATTTGCCACGAAACCAACCATGGAAGAGATGCGATCTCGATTCAGGCGTTCAAGAAGCCCCCCTCGACCTCGACATATAAGGGAGCCACGGTCTATCAAAGAGACTCGATATCGGTCCATGCGTTCAAGGAGCCCAATCCCACCTCCAAGAGTTGACAAGTTCTCAAGACTTATCCAAGAGATGCAACCTCAATCCAGTTTTCTAAACAGCCCGCTTCAACGTCGAGATGGCATGGAGCTAAAGTCTGTGGAAGATATGCGACCTCAAACCAAGCGTCGAATTGAATTAATGGGCATGTCTGTCGACACATTACAGATTACCCCAAGATCTATTCAAGAGATGCAACCTCAAACCAAGCGTCGAATGGAAGACTTAATGGACATGTCTGTCGACAAAGTGCAGCTTACGCCAAGCTCTATCGAAGAGTTGCAACCTCAAACCAAGCGCTCGATTAGCTCACTTCGACGTCGAAATGACATGGAACTAAACTATATGAAACACAAGCGACATCAACCCAAGCGTCGACCTCAGGATTTGGTGGAGCCAAGGTCTATCGACAAATTGCAGCTTACGCCAAGATCTATCGAAGAGTTGCAACCTCAAACCAAGCGCTCGATTAGCTCACTTCGGCCTCTGATTGTAATGAAATCAAAGTCTATTGATAAGATTCCAACCCTGGGCGAGGTACCCAATGTTCTAAAGGTTTCACTCAAGTCATCAAAGACCATTCCAATACCTTCTACTGACAATTATTCCAAAGAGCAGAAATTTGGAAGACAAACATTTCACAAGTTTTCTGATCTTCCATTAGAGCTTCAGATTATGATTTGGCAGTGGTATGGAAGGATCCACGCAAACAGTAATCCGAACATCATCAAGATTTTCCGCTGTTTCAGACCTGTGCTACAAAATCTCACGGTGAGAGAGAATCCATCAGAGCGGATCCCATACTTTGCAATAAGTTACAAGCTTCCTCCCATCTTTTATGTCTGCAAACTTACTTTCACAATTGCGAAAGACTTATATGAGAATGAATTCCAAGTAATTCCAATGATCAAGGATGATAAACAATTGACATACTTTAATGAAGATAGGGATATCATTGCTTTGGAAGATGCTCAGGTATTGAGAGATTGGAGATACAACCGCCAGACTGAAGCTGAATCCACCGGAAGAGCGCACATGAACCTATTCCGGCCTGCAGCCGAAAAAATCACAAGAAGAATCAACATGAAACATCTCGTTATTGGTGGAACAGACAGATCACTGATCGAGGCGAGGCAGCTGGCAAGGTTTTATGACTGCGAGTCCGTAATGTTGGGGGTACCCTATTTGGTTCGCAGCAGATTCTTCTCCACGGAGGAAAGAAGCAAACCCGACCGTGAAGCTATCTCGACTCTTCGTGATCGACTTTTACGCTTCTGGAAGGAGGAAAGACGAAGTCTTTTTGTTAGGGAAGACTATCGCAGAAAGCCTATCCGTCCAGTGGTAGTTGAGCCAAATTGGGACCCGACTGAACGAACGATATCCAACCCAATGTTCTTTATCTGTACAGATGGTGAAATTTTATCTCAACTGGTACGTATTGTACTTCAGAACATCCTCAGTTAATTATAAGCTCTGAATTACTGACCAATGTGTAGCACCGTTTACATCCTGCGATCACAAATTTCATGACACCACCCCCAGGAGCGAAGAGTTCTATCACTTTCATGAACGATATGAAGTTCTCACACAAGCATGCAAGGCTATTTGAGCACCCGTGGGAGTTCGTTTCAAAAGAGTAGCTAGGAGTTTATTGAGGGTTTGTTAGTCTAAAGGATGATGTGGAAAAGCAAGCGTGCTTGCAGACTTACCATCAGTCCGCTTCATTTACTGTAAATTAAGGTCCAACATTGCGGCATACTTCGTTCAACCACGTGGAAAACAAAATAATTTGGAGTTCAATGAACGTGGTTCTGTTTCCTTCGGATATTCACGGAATTGGAGAGACTAATGGTCTTTCACTCAGGTTCATTCGTTGATTGGAACAGCGGGGGAATTCTTTCTCTGGGAAGATTGAAAGACTACAATACACCCTGTTTTCAATCTGAAAATCTAGCAAGCTGTATGTCATCTGTGACGCAGAGACCTTTGTAAATAGCACAATTACCTTAAAATTATTTTTATAATTTCCCACTTGATAATGTGACTATGACTTGAGCGTAGCACCACATCATCTAATCATAAGGTTACTTTTAATGCTCTAGTTACAGGTAATCCTTTCTAGTAGTCTGAACTACAAAAGTCTCAATAGACTCCATAGAGTGGAATAGATATTCCATGCATTCACTTGAGCAATTAGGCAAGACTTTGCATGACCTCGGGAAGCCTCGGTAGGTGGCGCCCACTCAAATGTAAAAGGACATTTATACAAAAGGAGCCGTTCTCTTTTATTGAGCATGTTCACTAAGAAACTGTCTTTTGATAACTCCTGTAAATGCAAGGCTTTATGTGAGCAGCTATTATAGTGCTGTGTGAAACCGGGATAATGTGATGGATGAAACATTATTCATCCATGATACCTTTAACCAGAATATTCACTTCTTTGTTACAGCACCGAGAAATGGTACAGCTGGTCATGGTATAATTGGGAATATTCATTCTTATCATAAGATAAGATATTATTGGAATTTGTGGTATTCAACTATTGCAAGTGTCCTTCAGCTGTCTCGGCTAATAAACTTTGTTCTCATGCCAACAACTTAAGGACAACAATTTCAATCTTCTTACTTTTCAACTCGGATTCTGCACACTTTTTCTTTTGATAATCTCATGCACGTTTATTAATCGAATTCTCATACACTGTCCACAACTTTACCCCTTCGACCTGACAAAAGCTATTCATCATACCTAGTCACGACCATTTACATTACGAACTTCGAACTCCATCAACTTTTACACCATTACCTCCAACATGGCTATTCTCACCCAGTTTACGGTATTCCCCAAGCTTTCTGATGATTTGAAGGCTATGATCTGGGATTTGGTTTCACAACAATCTAGTCGAATTCGATTTGAAAGCTACCAGGTTCGGGCTCATAGGGCAATATTTTCCGAGAGTAAGGTCAATGAGCTTGTTCCTGAGAGGGATAAGCTTTTTCATGGCAAACATCCTGCTTATCCCCGCCCTTGGAGGGTTTCGGCTGAAGGCAGAGTCCCTTCTGTGCTTATAACCTGCCGGCAATCTCGCTATTGGGCAATGAAGCATTATCGTTTGGAGTTCAAGTATCAATTGTATAGCAAGGCTCTATGGTTCAACCCTAAAGTTGATACACTAATTTTCGATAAGCTTAATACATTGCTTATTTTTGTTGAGGGAGGCTGTACCAACAATATGCTAACTTCGTCTTTCAAAGACAACACTAAAATGCCTGTCGTGGAGAGAATAGCTTTGCTTGAGTCTCATCTAGCATATCGCTGCCATCTTGCCATAAAGAGTGCAAGGAATTTCCCTTACTTGAAGTCGCTCATTACGAGAACCGATGACATTGTTCCTGAAGCCGTTTTGCCTTCTCTTAGAGTCCAAATGAACCAGCTATGGTATTCTGATGAGTGGAAGGCAATCAGAGCTTACAGTCAAATTCCAGGATTGCGAACTTTGACGGCATATGAGATGATGAATACTGTAAGTTTGACGGAACATCTTCTTTTCTTGTATGGATGACAACTACTAATATTTTCTAGGGCTTAGCAGAGCCATTTGGTCCTTCCAATAAACCACCTAAGCGTCGACGAAGAAATATCAAGGTAGATCCAAGTCAAATGCCACCAGTTCGTCGATCAGATCGAATCAAGTCTATGGAGACAAAACAATATCTTGAAAACTAGATAAATGCAAAGACAATGCTCCCATTCAAGACCCTACTTTACAAAGGGACAGCGGATTTTGGGTTTCGCGTTCCGTCGTACAATCTACCACTCTACTCGAAGCTTCTCAGAGCGACCTGTTATTCTGAAGGGGTTTTTGTTCATTGACATGCCTGGATCGACTGCTACGTCTGAATGAAAGTCCTCTTTGCTTATCCACCCGATCTATTCAACAATCAAGTATTACGTCTTTGCTTCGCCTTCTCCTCACAACTACATTCACAACATCTCGAAGCATCCCATTGATGTTCCTAATTTCAAATAAAAAGAACCTAGCACTTGCGTGGTCTCGAGCCCTTCCAAACCGCTTTCATACGATATTCTTCTCGTACCACTCGTAGCTCTCAAAAGTTCATCATGCTGCAGTTGTGTCTTCCACATGGCAACAAATCTCGACGGTTTCTCTGGACCATCGCTTTTCCTTATTACGAATCGAGAATCACTTTTGTCGAAGTACTTCATACATTGACGATTGTCGCCGGTAGTGGCAACATGGAAACTTGCACAACATGGATTACTGGTTCTTGGGGATTTCTCTTTTCAGAAAGCACTAGGATACTTAACCGCTGGGTAATTTCTTGACAGCACGTTTAGTCAGGATAGCTGGTGTTGAATAGAATCCTAGTTGTTATCTTATTTGTGGTTGTTTTTTCTCTTAGAATAGGATCCGCTGGGTCCCTGGGCTGAGGCACATTTTCTCAATACGATATGTTTTGGGCATAGAGGGGAATATGCAATAATTACCTTGGTAGTTGAATTAAGCTTTCTCAAGAACTGAATTCAAATTCCATCTATTATCTAAGTTTTCTCTTGAATCATATGTGATTGACGTAAAATAACGAGGTCTCAGTGCCGTGTACTCATTACAAATTGTCGACCCCAACTCTTGCAAGGAAAATGTGAGATATGCTCCAGTACCTAGCTAATAGTCCAAAGATCCATTCTTTCTCGTGTTATAAGAATGGAAACAATATCTCCCGTCTTTGTTGTGTTCCATTAAAACACCATAGATCCCAGACCCCTCACATACACCCATTAATGTTTTCCACTCTGCGACGCTCATCATATACATGCTCATGCCCGAACCCATAAAATTCGACGCCTTTTCCGCTGCCACGGCGATTTTGTAACCACACATTGTTACGAAGTAATCTTCAAGCCATTTCCTGCACTCTTTATTCTTCCATTCTGTTTTTGGGGCATCCTGGATCTTTTTTTGAGGAACTGGTATATCATGTTAATAATCTAATGAGGTTTGAGATCTTGGGATGATAGTGAAGGTGTACCTTTTGATGATGATTTACCGCTTGATGAAGATGCCTCAGATGACTTGCTATCCATGTTGGTACTCAGGTCTGAGAAATCGGACATGGGCTTTGCACCACCTGTTGGCGAGTTCGTGGGTACCATGGGTACCGCGGAGTTATATGGGGGAGGACCCGTAACGTCGTCATTTGAGTCTCTGAAAAATGAATATACCCTGATTGAGCGGCGACTACCAGACATTGTGAAGAAATGTTTGTATGGATATTCTTGAAGGTGGTAATTGAATACTTGGTTGTATTTCACAGGAAGTGAGTAGATAGCAGTCAGTGTAAGAGGAGAAAGATATTATGGCACATAAGGGGAAAGCGAGCTTTTGTACGAAGTGATGTAGATTCTAGTTTTAAACTAACCTGAAGCCAAGGTCATAGATTTATAGTGTCTTCCAAAATAGGATAGTACATAATATGATTGACATATATAATACACATCTTTCGGGTAACTTAATCTTATCTTCAATTTTTGTGTATGTCTTAGGTAGGCACTAGAAGTTCCTAACATTGAGTGACATACACAGTACTACATATGACGATGTAGATGGTCACGTATCCTAGAGTTTGATGAGTTAGGTATGGGGACTATAGGAATGCCATTTCCCAACCTTAAATTAGCATCGCTTGGCAAGTCTTCAATTCAAAATCTATGTTGATCTGGCATACCCGGTTATTAGAAAACTCAAATAAATGGTTCCTTCCTCATCAATAATGCCTGAGAAGAAGTCTCTATTGTAATGGGTTGCATTCTCGCCCGGCATTGGTATTATGATGTTCCACTCAATACACCTGATGGAGCCGAGAAGTTTACGTGATATACAGCCTATCCCAAGATCGTCTGACCGACGTTTTTGTTAGTCTCTTGTACCAACATAAATACCCCACGAACCAGGACTTGACATCTCATAGTGATTAAGCTAAAAGGTTTCCATGGATCATTGATGTGCTAGAACCGTGTGCTAATTTGGTGTATATGAAGTACCTGTCGAGTTTCTAGTAAAAATCACCTGGAACCTTGAAAAGTAGCCAATTTCATGATAATGAAGACACATAATTGTTCTAAAACCTTTTGAACGAAAGCTGATTCTATATTACATAATTTCTGAACCGAAAATATGTCAATGACCCACATATGAGAGCCATAGCCCCAACTATCTATTCCTAAACACTACCATCTATTTCCAAGGCCATCTATGAGTAAAGCATTATTCCGCCAGCGACTAAAGCAAGTAACATTGTTCTTTATCTAAACTGATTCCAAAGCTTTCTTGGACAGTTTCTTGGTGTTATATGTAGAGCTGACGTCAAATAACGTGTCAAAAAAAGAAAGTGTTGCGTTTGCACTACTCCTAGTCATTGTTAGTAGATTGTAATATTGGAAGTGGAAGGCTTTTAACTTACATTGATCGCTGCTCACCTCGTTGCACGGCATCTAGAATATCATCAAACTTGACAATACGAACTTCGGGGGATCCTGGAGTGGCAGTCCCTTCTCTGATACGGTCAGCTTTGGCGTTGTAAGAGAGCCTCTTCACCTCCCTGTCAGACCAGATCTCCTTGAATGTGCCCCACCAAGTTGGCGATCTTTCTGCAATGACTACACGCTTGACCCCATCCCAAATGGCCAGTATCTCCGTCAAAACATCTTCTTCGCTCTCGCCACTACCACAACCGGCACTCATCGAAAACACGTTTTCGACCTTTTTGATCTCTTCAGAGATGACATAGTCTTCTTCCGCAAGAGTTTCGAAAAGCTCACATGTGCTACTGCCAACAAGACTTATATAGTCTTGCTGATAATTGAAGTAGATAGGATTGCGAAGAATACCTCTGAATATAACCGTGTATATTTTGAGTGCTTCTTTTCTAGAGTCGCGACAAACGTGCAGAACCACCGGCATGATATAATGACCCCGAAACCCTTCATCTTCTGATCCATCTTCGTCGCAAGGTTTAATACGCACAATCTGTCGATCATCCGCAGCCGCAGCCCAGATCATAAGCTGAAGTTCCGTCGGTAACCTGGGAAAGAGACAAAATGAACGCCGAGCTTTGAAATAAGGATCCAAGTTGTGGTCGACGCCGATGATGAGAGGATTGGGAGTTTCGAATAGCTGCAATTGGCGGAGACTAGTCTCCATTCGGAGAAGATCGAAGGTTTGTGGATGCATATTTGTAATATTTGGTGAGTTTCTGCGAAAAGTTGTTAGTTCGAAGAGAATGCGGAAGTGTTTATAGGAAAGTTATGCGCCTTAGTACTTACTTTGATACGGCAGTAGAGATCAACCAAAAACGTGGTAAACACTAATCTAATTTGCTTCCCACCGCCGTAGTGACAGGGTAGTGTCCTTCTGGAATATGCCTTTCTCTTGTGTTTTGTTATAAAGTTCAATGACTCTCAAGTAAATCAGAGAGTGGTAGTGTTCTTGTCTGATCTGTAACCGAGGTTTCACCGAATTATAAACACAAGTGATCGAAGTGAATAGTTAGACAAATTGATAAACAAAAAGATCTGAGTGATAAATGTATCAGAAAACAAGTGCGTCAGAGCAGGGATTAAAAATTTAATTTCAAAAGACTGTCAAAAGTCAAAGAATTTAAGAGCCTTATTAGCTTTACTGACAAACTTGCTTCACTATCCAGCTGGCACATCGACAGTTATTGTCAATTCGAAAACAACAACATACACACATTATACAGCCAGCTTCATTGCAAGCCAAATAAGCCATGGCGGTCACTACACTGAAGAGATTCACATGCTTTCCCCAACTACCTCTCGAGCTCCAGATGATCATTTTGTCCTTTTGTCCCTATGTCGACAAGCAGGTCATTAATATCACAGACGAACGTGATGTAATTCTAGGTAGAGGTTCATATAGAAGCATCTCTAGAGGAGAACATAGATCGAATCAACTTGCCGTGGATTTCCCAGAAGCAAATTTTATCGATGTCCAGTACAATGTTCCCTCACCTTTTCAAATCTGCCAAAAGTCCAGAAACGTTGCTCTTCAGCATTACCGACGAGTTGCTACTACATATGGCGATACCAAGTACGGATCACATTTCTACATTAACCCTCATCGAGATTCCATTTTTTTTGAGGACATAATCACCGTTTTACCATTTTCCGACCTCCCGACAATTGATTTTTGGAGGTTTAACGGAAAAACTCTTTCCACTCCCGACGGCGGAACTCTCTGTACTTCAGTGGCCACTTATTGGGCCAAGACTGAGCCTCCAAGTGTCGATCATCTCATGTATACACTGTCCAAACTCCCAGAAGTTAAACATTTATACTTTCTTAATTGCCCTTCTGGACCATTCCCTGTGTCAAGTGTGTCGCAATATATCATACAGTGGATGAGCAGGGATAGAATGGAGGAGCTTGCTCAGGTATACATAAATTTGCTATTGGGGGTTACAAATGGTGGAACGCTTGATTGTTCACCAGACTCAACAGATATCAAGGAACGCAGGGGTATCTTCCGGAGCAGCTGGGTGTTGCCGATAGTAAGCTGCATTACCACCGAAGAATTTTGGTCTCTCAGCAGAAACAAAGGCTGAATGATTGAAGGTAAGTTGAATTAGCACTCTGAACTTGAATCACGTTTCCACAAGACTAAACCCTAACTGACTATATCTAGTTAGAAGATCCTTTGGCCAAGACTAAAAATGTGAAGGATCGAGAAGCACGAGCATATTAATCACCTTGTTGCCAACATGGGATACACAGTTCTACATGGCGTCGGTTATTTTTCAGTGGGCCTCTTTTTCTTCATTTTTCTTTCCAAAAAACGACTTGAATAGGAAGGGTCAAGAGGCCTTGTTTTCAATAAAGGCATGATGGGCCAAATCTAGGGGAGGAACCGTACACAATGAGTGTGGCAGGCAAGTCTTAGCAAGCAAATATTTTGGGAGTACAATTTAAGAAACAGAGTTGGTTATGTAAGGTTGCAGCTTGATACAACTAAATTGCTGAGTGGAGTTATAATTTGAGAATATGATCATTACACCTACTTTCATAAAACTGTGAAACTTGAGATAAACGTGTTAATTCTTAAGCTTCTGGACCTCTAGACTTCTTTATCGTAAAAAGATGTGATGGTCCTATAAGCAACGATCGTTGAAGACAATGATGTCGACAACTGACTATGAGCCATTGCAGGGACATGAAACGGTAGTACAGTACTGCCAAATGACAAATGAGGTTTTATGCACTTGTACAGCAAGTAAAAATGGTACCATAACTTCATTCAACAACTCACTTACTCAAAACATTAACCATAAACCTGACTCCTGGAATCATCTTCTTGGGCGTCATCTCAAAAGATAGCCGAGAAAAAGATGCCAGCTTAATGTACTTATTTACAAAAAGATTTTGTCGACATTGTGTGCATCAATATAGAAATAAGTATTACAACTCAATATGGCATCTCTGTTACATCAAATCAAGATCCGTCAGAGGGATAAGAGAATATAAAATTTTACTTTGAAACAAAAAAGAAAGAGAAGAAAAAGAGCAGCTGCTCTACGTGTTGCGCTCGAAGAACCCTTCCATGATTCCAGGCCCAGAGGATGGCAGTCCCTTCCCGAGTACCAATATCTCATGTCTATCCCCTCCTCTGGTCTGCCTCTTCTAGTAGACTTCCGTCCTGTTCTTTGCGAGGAAAAACCTTCCAGATTTAAGCTTTTGGGAACTTCACCAGCCGAAATACAACTCATAATATGGGAGTTTGCATCAAACAAGCCGACATGTATGAGGCACCAGCATAGAACCCACCAGAAAGAACTCATTCGTTTAGAAAACCTACAAGCGCTAGGTCGGATTGTATATGGGGAGGCATGTATAGGCTCTGGCGGAGTGAACTACTATGATGACTCGCTAGCCCTTCTTCGGGTATCCCATGATTCTCGAACCATCGCAAAGAAAACGCGATCTCAGCCATATCTTACAAAGTATAGAAATCCAGTATATATTGACTTCTCAATAGATACTATGTTTGTTTTTGACTCTAGGGCATGATTTAATACCATGGCTCTCTGATTTCCACTTTGATGCCCGATTCTTGTCGCAGAACGAGGGTGCAGGACGATAAAATTTTGGACGCCAGGACTCGAGGGACTATAGATCAGCACACCGCGAGAACAAGTAGTGAGTTTTGTCTTATTGGGAGGATGTTACTCGGATTCAGCAATCATCCAGGAAAAAATCGATAACCAGTACCCTAAATCCCCCAAAGTACGGGTAGTGAGAGGATACTATCGACAAAATGCTGTTCAACTGTCTCTTGCAGGAGCACATAAGAGAGCCTTGAGCTCTAAAATTTCTGACAGTTTTAATATAAATCTCTTATGATTTAGAGAGCATACTAGTTTAAGTCCAATTATAAATTAGTATCCACAGGCGGCTTTTAGTTCGATCACAAGTAGGTTAGGTTTGATCCGTCTAAAAGGCGCAACAGTTAATAACATGGAGAATTTGATCATGGCAAAAATCAATTGCCATGTAAACTAGTAAATAAAACAGCGTTGCCATCGTGTGACCATTTAGAACATGACGATTCGTGCCGAGTGCAGAAGGGGGGGGGGGGTTAATGAATGACTAAGCTGGAAGACCCACACCCTAGTCACACCAAAAACTACTCCCATTTATCACCAAAGTGTTTTCCATTAATTATCTCATCTTCCACGTATCTAGTCCACCCATAGTATTTGCTCATATGGTCCGGCACATTTGCGTGTAGATGCCTCAACCATTTGACTATTTTTCCATCATTGAATTTATCTCGAACAACATGACGTGTATCTCTCTGTAGCCTCTCCACTCTAGTGATAGGCGTCATAATCAGCTGCAAAGCAACCAAATGAGCAAGAATAGCGTTTACAGTATCGTTGGATATCCTCGTCAAGTCTCGAAGGTCTTCGTGCGACATCTTAATGGAGAAAACATTGTAAATGGATCGTAATGAGAAATACGCTACGTTATTGGCTCAGCTTTTGAGTGGAAAATCTACTTCTTTTGACACTTACCATCTCTAGAACTGGTTACGAGTGATCTAGCTGTGATCAATAGTGCTCCGTACATGTCTAATTGCCCTTGAGATTTACACAGCGGGAACAAGTTTTCGATCGATCGACAAGCAGACTTTGCGAACTCGCCATGAATCAAAGGAGTCTGCTTCAACGCCGAATCCATGGAGTTCACCTCTTGGTTTCCCCATAATTCACGAAAGATAAATGCAATCTGCTGACTTCCCATGTACGTCGCTATTGCAATAGTACCTCGGATGAAGGTCATATACTCAACAAGACCGTCCGAGATAAGCGTGGATTGGAACAGTAAGATGAAGCAAGTAGCCAGCATTGCGTTTCCTTCCTCGAATGAATTGACTCCCGAGGAAATCGCCGTGTTGAGACTTGCTATGGCTTTTATGCGATGATTGATAGCGGTGCAGGTGAGATTACGGGATAAAGTCGAAGCTGTAGAGTCAGAAACAAGGTCAGAAGCCGATAATGCTAGCATGGAACGAAGAAGATAATCATGCTTGTACGATATTAGTGATCCAATCGAAGAATCTGGTTAAAGAAGTTGCTCACGTTCGATGCGATACTTGGTATCTCATGCGTCCATACGGAGTCGTTCCCAATGGGATGATGCGGGTATGCTTCCTGAATGAAGTGGTGGAAGAGCCGAAAGTCGACCATGCTGAAGACTGGACTGGAAATTTGAATAGAGTTAGGTATTTGAAGATTAGGTGACGATCTATGGATTGAAATCCCAGAGTAGGCTGATTGAATTTCCGGCCATTCACAACCAAGCCCTCTGTGGTCGCAATAGTCACAGATTGGGTGGTTTTATTTGCACTGAAGCTCTTATTAGTAAATTAGATCATGAACAGGCTCCAGAGTAATACTTTAATGCGGGCTTTCTTGCAGTTCAGACTAGTGTAGGCAATAGTATTTCCTGTAATCTATATACAGGTTAGTTTAATGGTGCATATCAAAAAAAATTTGAAATATGTATGTATGTATGTGGTATAGAATTCAATGTTATTGAAAGTATTCAATATTATTTATTTATTTATTTAATATTATTAGCAATATATTGAAATATTGGAATTCATTATACAATATTTATTTCTATTTATATTAAGTTATAGAATGATTGTTTTATATAATTTTAAGTAAGGGATGAATATTCTATAGTCTAATATGAATAGGAATGAATATTTTATAATGAATTTTAATATTTCAATATATTGCTAGTATTCATTAGGTATATAAATATGTATGAGAGTGGTATAACCTTTTTTTCAAATGTATTAGCTGTAATATCAATATACTAATACGCGTTATAGTTTCATTATAGTATACTAATGCCTACACTGGTTCAGATATCCTTTTCTAGATTTCTTGTGCCCCTTCCGGGCCTTCCTCTCGCTGCTGACGAGAGTGTCAGACAAAGCTCCCAGCGAAGAGTCTCGTAGAATCAAACTTGATCCATTCTTGCAATTATCCATGGTCAATTACTCGGCGATATATGCTCACAGATATATTGATTTTGCGCTTATTTGGATTTGCAATGATAAAAGGAAAAGGGGGCAACGAGCTCTGAAAACCATTGGAACTCGTGTAGCCTTGAATCGGATTCTTTATAAACATTGAAGTCATGTGCTTCTCCATGTCATTCTAGTTGTATACAGATTTCAGCCCTAGTGATATATTATACTGCCTAAAACAAGACCTGTCAGCCGGTAAGATGTTGTGGCTACTTTAGCTTGTTTAGCGAGGGTCACTCCAATAGGGGAAGCACAACAAGGCTATTCCTTGCATCTCATTTCGAATGACGCTAGTCTTCCAAGTCCACAACGCCACAACATCAAGAGTCTAGATCCCTCGACGTCAGGCTTGGATGTACAATAGAAAAAACGAGTAAAGTACTCACGCAAGTTTTAATTCCAACATCTGTGGCTCCGTTCCAAGATTACAAGATTTGATGCTGAGACCCGAAAAATGATGATCACATGACTCAAGAATCGCACATCAATGTCAACGTCACTTCAGTTGAACGTTCCTTTAGCAATTTGACTTCAGCGAACAAACACCATACTTCTCGGCCAGAAAGCAGCTATGTTCCACAGGAGATCTAATAGCAACACTTCTAATGAACATGATTACAGTATTTCCGAGCTCATGTTTTTCTTCACGCAGGAGTTTGCACATCCACCGTTGTTGAATCATCAGCTTGATAGTGGCCAAACGTCAAAGCTGCTGCTAGAAAAATACTAAAATTGGTGTTGATTGATCTGTTGCTTTCATTCGTTCCTGTTATAGAGGTCATGGATATATTCTCTGATGTTTGCTTCATTAAAGTCTGCGGTCTAGTTGACAATAGCAAACAGATCAGATTGAAATGGCAGGTATATACCTCAGTGGCATTTCTTGAATACAGTTTCCTTTTCATCAAATTTCTTTCTAGACTTTAATGGCAAGCAAGAAACTACTCACTTTAGAGTAGAGAGACGAAAGAAGATGTAACCTTTCTCAAGAGACGTCTCTTCTTATCTCTAAACAATGATATAGAAAATCATGGCAACCCACCTTGATCTTTTCTTCTGAGTCTTTCGTACATACCCCTCAACTAAACTTCGAAAGTTTGAGTCATGAAATATATAGATCTTATCCCTACTTCAATACTTCCAAACTTTCATGCCAAGCACTGATAATGAATATGTTGTTCCTCAAGTTTTATTCCTTTCTATTCAAATGAGCAAGACAAGGTCCGAGCTCCCAGTCATCTGGTTAATTCTTCAACAGCTCAGCCTTCTTGTATCCAACATATTCGAAAGTTTAAGGGCTTGCACAATCTGAACCATCAATTTTTTTCTCTCCTAGTGGTCCAGCGCAGCATAGACCCACCTTCTCAAACACAAGTGTTTTGGCAAGAAAGCTGGAAATCTACTCTTGATATATTACATTTTACGGTATCCTCGAAATTTCAAACTCTTACAGCTCTTTCCAAATATTGTGACCCTTCCTTGTACAGGATACAGCTACCAGTCATTTGCTCAGCCGCAAGCCTACATAGACAGACCATCACCGTTCTGTATCAACCCGATCAAGTTCCTTCAGTGTAGAAAGGATTTACTGGCGCGGTAAATGTGAGTTCCAACCTTACGTCTTGCTCTATTGACAAGATCTGTACTTACGTATCCACTGGCAGTATGGATTCACAGCCCCCGCCTTTATCTTCGAAGCAGACTACTCATAAAGAAGGAGGTTCATTGACAATTCATAATCTCCCACCGGAGATATGTCAAGCGATCTGGCAGGTATCATTGAGCAACAATCGGGTCATAACAATACACTGAGCGTATAAGGCGAATCAAGACTTGGGCAAAGAAACCATTGCCAATGACTTTCATGCGACCTACGATAAGATTGAGGCCCTAGAAGTGTCTTCCGAGTCGCGCACCCTTACATTGAAAGATTACAAACTGTGCTTCGGCAAAGACATGCGCCATCCAATTTACTTCAATGGTAACAGGGATTTTCTCAAATTCACGAGCTTGACACTTGCAGAGATCACCTACTATTCAACTGGCGATGTTTGGAATACCGATAGAGTGCGAGCTGCTAACATCAAGCGCATTGTCGTTAAGATGCCCAACGATTTCAACGTCTTGACGCATCCAAGCGTCATATGCGAACCAGTTTTGCTGTGTTGTGCCACCCTGTTGTTTGCTACCTTGGAAACCATATTCGTACAGCCATCTTTCGTCATGAATCAACATTCCGAGGCAACCTTCCGCGCACGATTTGAGAGAGGAATGCAAGGAATACAAGAAAAAAATAAGTATTCTGGTCCTCTTCGGGATGGAGAGCCTTATAATATTCCTGAAATTGTTTTCGTTTGCTCCCAGTGCGATCCAGATTTCCTCAAGGCATATCAATGTTGATAGTCTATGGTGTGGATAGCTATTGTGCGAGAAGCAGGGGTAGGACCGTGAAGGGACTCATGAGAAGATATTTTGTATTTCAGGTAAAAAGGATATGGGAGGAATGGGTTAAGTTTGATGGGCGAAGCTGTACTACTAAAATCTATCATTGTACGAAACATTCATCAGATATGTAATTTCATCGTTTTAAAATTGATTCATAATACTACAGCACTTCAAAATTAGCGCTTTTTGCATTCTTGCCGTACCAATTTCTTCAAATTCATCTATTTAATGATCGAAGTAACTCTGCAGCTATTGTTCCTCATTCAAAAACATTCCCGAAAATTCAGAATAACAACAATTCTCCATCATGTCTTCTGCACAAGAAACACAATCCGAATCATCAAATCCCTCCAACACTAGCAGCACTAGCAGCACTAGAAGCTTCGCAAGTCTTCCTCGTGAGCTCGATGACATTATATGGTCTCAAGTTCCAATAATCTCAGGTCCCCGATTAATCGAAATTCGTGCCGATCCCACTGTTCAGTCCGGCGAGAAACAGTTCAAAATGAAAATCGAGTTTTGTGGAAACCCCAACCGTCTGGTTTTGAACGCAAGAGCCGTAATTCTTTCCCATAATCGATACATGTTCGATCATAAGATCACAAATCCTCAGATTATCAACACCGCGCAGGACACCTTTATATTCAGTGGGATCAGTCAGCTAGATGAGTATGTTCAGCATACGGGAGCTATTATCACCAAAACTGGTGCGGTGGACTCGGAGTCTGTATGCTATTCAAAAATGCAGAATCTAGTAGTCAAATTGTCTTTGGATATTGGATATCCCGGCTCAGAACCATATTTAGTCTGGCTCAACCGTCTTCGCGAGGAGATTGATTTCGACAAGTTTATCTTGGAGAAGATTTTGCGCGAGATTCTAGAGTTTGTCAGCAAAGTACAGAGTCTTAAAAAGATATATCTCTTGACTGAAGAAGAGAAGATGCCTGGACCCAGACTTGTTGAGCGGATTGATGGTCGGCTCATGGATCTTTTTGCAAAGGACGATGAGTTGCAAAGCCGATATAGCAAGGGACTAAGAATGCCAAAAATTGTGTGTCTGACGACGATGCAATTCCCTCGGGAGTTGAAGAGAGTATGCCGCAGATATGGCATAATATGAGAACTTTATAAATGTACTGGAAAGATCTAATGTAGCTTGGAATTCTGGGCTTCCATACAAAATCTGTATCTGATATCATCATAGCGAGGTGGAGGATCAACAGTACATAGCAATTACACAGACTCCAAGATAATGGTACGATATCATCTTTTTTATTCAAGTGAATTCGTTGCATCAAGGAATAGAACCATTAGGTCCCAGTGAGAAACTTGTGAACCATATAGCGTGATTTGTGTCTCCAACCTCATCTCACCTGCCAATTATCATCTTACAGTGAAGCTACACATGGATAAATGACCAAAGTCTTCTCTCAGATATACCATCCCTAAGAATCTCGAATATCCAAAAATATTCTGCACATGGCGACCTTAATCATAGGTCAAAACGAAGGCCCGAGCCCCGTCGAAGGAACAGCAGAGCTGGATCCGAAATTCTGGAGCCTCAAGAAAACCGGGACAAACGAATACTACCCTCCACAACTCATCGAAGTCGAAAATTACGATTTCACACTTGAAGTACTTGCAAATAAAAAGCCCAGAGAGAGTGGTAATCGGAGGCCATGGATCGTTAATTTCGAGGTCAAATCAATTCTAAAATCACAGAAAATCACAAACCTGGTCAACTTCACTCCTCGCGCTCTGCATCTCTCACCAAGTTGTTTCAAACTCGACTATAAGATTAAGAATCCAATATTATTTCGACCTTCTTGCGACGTTCTCTTCTTTCGGGAGTTTGCTCACTTGCGGGAGTATGCCATAGCAACAAAAGGGGTTGTTACTAGTTATACTGCGTCGACCCCGGTGGCAAATGAGACTTTTCCAAAAGTCGAAAGGGTGGTGGTTAGATTTGAAGTGCAGATGCCAATAACTTGGAGTTTCCACGACATTTTGGTGGAACTTCTTCCAGTAATCAAAGAGGCTGGAACGCTGAAGGGAGTCATATTGTTGGTGGTACAACAGTCCCTTCAAGAACGTGAGGTGGAATTCTTGCGCATTGACGAAGAATTGAAAAAGCTCGTTGAGGAAAGCCCTGATATATATCCACCCCCCGTAGGTGTTTATATGCCCAGGGTAACCTGTATGACATTGGAGACTTTCGAGTCGACATTTGGTTGGTATGGATTGGGTCAAACGGACAAATGAATGTTGCTTACGATTTCTTTTAAGTCAAGACTTTGAGCACTTTTGAACACTAGGATGGGCAGTGGTGGTTCTATCCGGATAATGGCTGGAGGAGACTTACAGCCAGAGGGTGATGTGGTGAGAATAGAAGCAAGAAATGATACGGTGGTTCCCCTATAAGGAATGATGTGGACTATGAATTCTCTGATGTGCAAATGCCGTATTTCCTGTGACTTTTGGGCCTCGAAGTTCTTTTGCGGAGGTCTCGTGGGCAAACTCTGGAATAGGCGAGGCAATAGATGACTCTCGAACCGAATAAATCGAGCAACGAGAACAATTTGAATCTGTTTTATGCCCTGGCAGTCCTATAAAAACTGACATTTAGTAAGATCCAAGCACACACTCTGTATTTGCTAGTTTCCGGGTGATGCCAAGGTGTGGGTCTCATTTATGTTGTGCCGGTTCGATGAGATGAGAGCTTCCGGATACATCGGGTTCCCTGTATATTTGATTCCATTCTTCCGTCACACTCACTCAATCTCCATCCACAGCAAGTCGGATTTCTTTCTATGTTGCTCTAACCTATCGTACAGTATTCCAAAGAAATACCGGCGGACTACAGGGTAGCAATAGGGTGGGCTAGATCCACGCTGAGGAAATCTCCACGGATTTGCCCTTTTGAGCTGGGAGATTGTTGTATGTTGTCTGCAGCAGTCATCAATTTTGTGGTAAGTTTCATCTCTTTAAATCGCCAAACTTTCTCAAGGGTTTATATTATTCCCAATATCAAAAGGCATTTGCGCTTTAGTCCTGGTCATTGTCCAGCTTTGCTGACTAAGCCGGAAGAAACCCCACCAGTGGGTGCACGGACTCACGGGACACTGAAGAGGGAAAGCACAATTTCACACCAAAAAGAGCTGTTTTGATAATTCAATCAAAATTCAAAATTTCTATAAATTTATTTGAAAATCAGAAATATAAATCTAAAGTATAATATTATATATAATCTCAAAATAGAATTGAAAAATCTAATATTGATATTTTTATAAAAAAATATATAATCTTTTACCAAAAAATTTGATAAGAAAACATATTATTTGTTTTTTGAACTCAAATCTCAATTTATTTAAACTATTTTTAAATCAATTATTTTTTTATACTTGAAAAATAATATATTTCAATTTCAAAAGAGTTTTATAATAAATTGAATTTTAATGAAATTATCAAAATTACTTATTTTCGTATGAAATTGTGCTTTCCTGTCACGTTGTCCCGTGAGTCCGTGCACCCCCTGGTGCCCCCTCTCCCCTGCAAATACCTATTGCTAAGCCACTATTGTTCAGTCTTGGTCTCAAGCAAGAAGTACCTAGTTATTACCATTAATTGCATCCAGCCTATATCAAGTCAACTTTCAAGAATACACTTTTGTCTCTTGGGAGCATTACGCCCAAGGAAATCAATCACAACGAGAACTACCTGACCGCCAATCCACCATAACCTTACAACAACCCCGAGAGTTTGAACATCTAAGAAATCATGTCTGCATTCGAAGCAACGTCTACAAGCTTCATGCAAATACCAGAGATGCGACTTGCAATTTGGGAAGCCCTAGTCCCACCGCCCCGACGAATATACATGCAAAAATCCGGCTTGTCTCTTTCGGATAACAGATACTGGGTGGCAAAAGCCAAATCTGATTCCGGGTCTCTCACAATTCCAAATCCGTCTATTCTAAGAATATGCGCTGAATCCCGAGATTATTTTATTCGTGAGAAAGGATACGCTATACTTAGCTGTTGTCTCATAAACCCGATATACGTAAATTACTCGAGAGATCAGCTTTGGTTCGATTCTTTATCTCGTCTTTGGAGTTACGCAAGAAACGTTTCTTATAGAGGTCGCCTGGTAAGACGCAACGGCAAAATGAATGAGGAATTTTTGGAATTGTCTAGGATTAGAAAGCTTGGTATAAGCTTGACTGGCAACGACAGGATAGGGCGGTTCTCTGCTCGTATAATGATTCATATAATTATGAGGCTCCCCGAACTCGAAGAGGTTATTTTTGAGCTTCCAAAAGACAGATTTGACGATTACAAGGCTGATATACATGGAAAACTAAGCGTTTATGAAGAAAGGATGCGGGCCCAAAATACCCTCGATCCGAGAGCCCCTCCTAAGCTTATTTACATAATGCAGGAAGTTGTAGCCCCTCTTGAAAATATATGAGTGCAGACTTCTGGAATTCCCATGGAGCTCTAGAGACGAGAGAGGATGATGAGAGGATTTGTAGGTGACGGGAGGCTGCAGAGTGATGCGTGCTCGGAGTCATTCAAGGTCTCTTAACAAAACCATATTCTCAACATGTGATCCATGATCGGATAAAATTAGGCGAACAAGTAGGAAAACTTGAGACTACCGGGAAAATCAGAGCAATTGATCCAAAACACATCGGCAACGACCAAAGCGAAGCATTTACTTGTTTACCAGCCTTGGACCCGAACTTCGTATTACCATATGCGAGCTAGCAGTGGCCGCTGCAATACTTGCTTTGCCGGAATTGATACATCCATTTCCAAATCAACCAGGACACCCAGAGGATTGTTTAAAAATTGCAAAATGGGCCGACTACCAATCGATCACAACTCCAAATCTTTTGATGACTCTCAATATTACACGTTTATCAAAAATTCCGAGACGTGGCATTGAATTTTTTTGGCTTGTTATACGTTCCAATTGTCAGTCCAGTGGTATTCCGCCCCTCATTCGACTTTCTCAGTTTCCATGATATGTAACACAGGGAAGAATATATAGATATGGGCACACCATGTAATTCTATCAGAACTCTGGGGTCAAATTCAAGAGATTTTCTAGTGCTGCTCATCCTGCCTGGCCAAAATACCTCTCCCATTTCAACACCGTTTTTCGGCAAGAGCCCGTGCAAGATCCAGCTTGGGAGATATGGAAGCTCATCTTGATTTTTGAGGATCTCGGATACATCATCTTCTACTTTCTGGACATTTAATTTTTCGAAGATTCATAGAAGGAACATGGCCTATTCAGACCCCGAGATTAGAGGAGGTTGCAGAGGGGTCTCAGGAACCATGCGCATTGGGAACAAACATTACCGATTGCTTTATAAGGCTCTCCGGATGAGCACAAATCACTGCCCGATAGTTCAAAGCATCCATTACCATCACTGCGAATGCCGAAAATTGAATACATGAACTTGGGAGAAATTTCAGCTGATAATCTGAGGAGCCAACCGTATATATAATTGCTCTGGCAACGTGCCCAATTTGGGGTGGTTTACCCCTCGTTCACTCGAAAAGACTTCGAATACCAACACAGAGCTCATAGTTATTTTAATCGATTATCATGAACACGTTCTGCGCGTTCGTTCTATATTTTGCAAGGTATTTCTGGAAGCTGGAGGATCTTATCGGGTTGATATGGGCCAGGCTTCGAGGTTCCAAGGTTATCTATGTATCGAAGTCCATAATTTATCACATGCCCAAAGCTAGTTGAATGCTATATAATGCAAATTCGTTGGGTTTCGACATGAATAGATATCCCATGGGCTAAACTGCTCTTTACTCATGATTGAGCGTTTTTCTAGTGCTATAGCGGACAAAATATTTGGACTTGAGTGTTTTTGGGAGGAGCACTGTTCAAAGTTCAAAGGTAGTCGGAGATACTAGTAAATACGGACCCAAATACGCTGCTACTATTGCAGTCTTCATTGAAAGTAGGATTGGCGCCAGAACTTCTCTCAGGGAATATATGCTGGTATGTGATACTTCAGAAGATGGTTGGAGTCAAGAAATTGGACAAAGAGAAAGAGAAAGGGAAGTACTTGAGGATGTTTTGAGTACCTCTGTGAGTTCTCGGTCGAGGTAATGGAAGAGGCAATGCCCGGGTTATACTTGATGACTGGGGGATGTAGAACACTTCTATGGCTGTTAGCTGAAGATCTTTTGAGATGAAATTATAGCCATACACATCATAACTCGGATCTATCGCAACCACTTTTCGCCACAATCTAGTTCTAGGTAGCTTTTCATGTCCTCGGAAAGTTGGTGATGCAGGAATTATCAGTGATCCTACGCGGCCCAGTGAGTTTCCTAGTTTCAGCGGCCAGGAATAGAATATTGCTCTTTCCTGAAGGATTCCCTGCGTGATACAACTTTCCACCCTAGTATTTTGTCTCTTAACCAAAGATTCGCCAGAATCTTTAGGCAATTTGCTGCGCTGTATCTGTAGAAGAGCTTCTCGTCCATGTTGTACTTCCGTATCATTGAATTGAGTTCGTGGAAACTACAAGAAGGTTACAGTAGATCTTCTGCAGGCAATCTGCACAGATTCATATCTAGAATAGTAAACCACTGTGAGGGCATTGTAGAATCTGCATGCTTCATGCGTAATTCTGAAGAGACTATATATGTTGATTGGATATCCTTCATTTTCTCAACGAACAATGAGCAATAGATGCAGCATCTTCAGCCTTCACAGCAATTCCGTTCAATTTAAATGTGGGATTCTTTGGTAGTTGTAATACTTAAGATCTTGAGTTTCAAGGAACGAAAATTGCGACGAATATCCGGTATCGAAATTTTCGTTTCTGTAAGCCTACGACAGTAAGTTTGTTAGTCGGCTCCTATTGAATATCCCCGAGAATCTAGGCTTGAGTTTCCGCGAGTACTCTTGGAGGTAAATATCTGGGTACAATACATAGCATACGGTTGACAAGCTATAGTGTCATCGGCTACGGAGTCATCGATACATCTGCGCTAGTATTCGGAGTTCTGTAGAAAGAACTCTACGTTCGGTATTCAATTGTCATTCTATGATAGTCTAGACGGGTCGTTCATGATGAGTCTGCTCAAATATATACTGACATGATGCTAGTAAGTATTCATTGTTCCAAGGATAAAAGAGTGATGGCGACAAAGCTTATTATTCAACTACATTTGCGGTGAACAGAATCGACGGCAGATTTTGTAACTCGATGTAGAACAATGGAGATAGATTGGTGCGGGCAAGAATAGTATGCTAGACCCAGGATGCGCGAGTTGGGTTCGAATGATTTTGCGGAAATATTCTCGCAGTACACGTTGATGGATCGATACTTGTGGGAGATTTTCTTAAAAGCGAATGGCATTTTATAGCGACTGATCGTCTGTATAGGAGAAGCCTTGAGTTAAGCGCATTATTTCTTTTGTGAGAAGAAATAGCCTTTTCATCGATCACTGAAAATGTTCATTCGGGAACATCAAGCTGTCCGGAGCCTGCATACCCTTGAATTCTTGAGGTACATTGCAGAATCCATCTTGTGTGCGATCCTTCTTTCCAGAGCTCTGATTATAGTCGACCTTGAGTTCTCCCTAAACATTCTATCATCTGCATTCGCTGTGTCCCTTGAGATTGACTTCTTCATCTGTAGGACTAGCGATTTTGGCGCAGCTTCTTAATTTCGAATACATAACGCCGTTACTCGTCGATTTCCTTGGCTTCTGGGTGTCACTCGAGCTTGATACGACTACCCACGGCTTTAGAAGATGACCTTGTTGTACCTTCTAGCATTAAGAATAGCAACCAAGTGCCCTGCAGGATGTTCGAGTATTTCAGGTGTTATTGGTTGGTATAGCACGCGATACACTCAGTTCGCGATTGTAGGCTCCCACCTAGTGTATTCGCGATTCTCCTTCCTGTTTCAAACAGGCGTCCAGGCGATCATGTGTACATCTTTGAAAGTTTCCAGCATCTAGATCTGAGGTTTCTGCGAAGCTGTGGTATCTATACACAAATTTCAAGAGCCCGGTAACTTCGATGTGGTGAGGCTTCTCTAGACTCTCATGTGTTGCAGCCATGTGAGTCGATATGGTTCGTCACACAATAATTGATATTATAGCCCTTTGCTACTTTTGTTCATGAGTCCTTGTGTATTTGTAGTATTATTTTCGCTCTTATTCTCATGGATATTCTATGGAGACCACGGAGGTTCTGTAAATTGAATTGTCAGTGAGTGTCCGTGAATATTTTACAAGAGTGCTTATCATGCCTTTCAATATTCAGGCCCATAGCTTGCGAGAATGCCCTCGAGCCTTGGAAAGTCAAACACCAAGTGATTCTGTGGGAATAGAACCTGCTGTATAAGATTCGAGTGCATCTAGGACTCTTTCAGTAAGTTTAATCGACAAAAGATGCTGACAACAAAAGTAATCACGGTGGTATTTTCCAATCAAGTCAATTATATCGTACAAAGAGAAGTATCTTATAATGAGTACCTTCAAATAGGAATTTTAAATGTGTTGTTTCATTATGTAACAACTGATGACTCTTTAAGTTGGTAGGCCTGATTTGTCTTTTAATCAAATTTCTCGCTTCGAAAGGGGTAAGAAACATATCTAAATTAAACTACTCCAAACAGCATTAAATCATTAAATCCAAATCAGATACAAAAAATCAGATATTCAGTCAAGAAATCTAATTTTTTCACTGATAGACCAATGGGTACTAGCGCAATCTGACTTGATTTCGCTCAGCCCTGGCAGACTGTCAATACTTTAGACCAGCAGAACAATCTTTCACGCCGACCGCTTTTCACAACACGCAATAAGCTATCCATTTCAACAAAAATCAAACACATGCGAGCAAGTCTTTCTCGGCTTTCCATCTTAGCAACATCTCTTCCGTCTCACTGTATCAGATTAACTGTGCCGTCCAAATATATCCTTCAGAAGCCACGAGCCAAGAAGAATAAGCCGTCATGGATAACACCCGTCAAGATTCCGTAGGTTCTATTTCATTGTGAATAAAGATTATTCGTATATGAGTAGCTTGCTAACTTTTTAATGTAGGGATCAAATGCCCACCGGGCTGCTGGCACACCCACTATCCAACAAACCAGCCGAGGAACCCAAACAGGCACTTTTACAACACAAGTCGCGATTGCAGCACAGTTCGACTCTTTTGTGCTTTTCAGAAATTTGCCAGCCGAATTGAAAGCAAAGATCTTGAACATCGCCGCCCGAGAGGTTCGTCGTACCATCGAGATGACACCACAAGGAAACCACCGAGGATACGCACCAGCGCTTCTTGGAGTCAGTCGTATGGCCCGTGAAGAGGCTTTGAAAGTTTACAATGCCTTGCGACCAGGATCTTCACAGCCTATCTACTTCAACCCGGACAATGATACCCTCATATTGAATATTGCACTAAGGACGTCAACTATTTCTCTAAGAGTGCCCCCTGCGTTAACACCAATAGTATTGCCACCATCTGGAATGATTCCATTCTATTTAACAGTACCTGCGCTGACACCAATCGTATTACCACCACCTGGAATGATTCCATTTTCATCAACAGCACCTGCCCTGGGTAGATTTAGGTCTGTCGTAGTCCTTGACCTTAGTAACATGCCCGACTTCCAAGAATGGTTGATTTCTTTGGGAATCAAATCGTTTGTAGTTAGGTTAGGATATTAAGCCCGTTTTCGGACAGATATCGTGGATGGCTCTGATTACATGCTGGAGTTCTGAATACGGAAATATCTAGCTCTTTTTTGGGCTCTCTCTTGCTGAATGGAGTATTTGGGAAAGCTTGAGTCATACTTGATGGTCTCATTGGCACACTCTGCCTTATTCAACGGTTCACCTGTCGTTTTTCGATCTCAATCACCACGTTGCTTTCAACGCTTTCAAATCAAGTACTACTACCTCGTTAATTTCGTCTCAACCTGGGGAATACGTTCCATCTCCAATCAATCAATCATGGCAGCGCTCTCCTCCTCTCACCAACTTCCAAAAGTTTTTTCAGCCTATGGCCATTTCGATTTTCGGAAGCAGCGGGCACTCACTTTGCGAGTTGAGTGCTGGCTAACAATTTCGCAATTTCGAAACAACATTACAAGCAGCGGAAGATGTTCAGACAGAATTTTCAGGAAGGTTGTTTTGGAGGAAAGGATAGCTGCTGTGACTCTCAATACCATCAGCTTAGTCACTTACTTGTTTTTTCATGGATTCAGCTTTCTGGGACATAACATCTTTGTCGCTTCGACGACAAGTGTCTTATGTTTTACTTTCCTTGCTCTTTCTATCAATTCTGGATATTTTTGTCCAGACTTCCCCTTTGTTTTGTGGCTCATGGTGCATGAGGACGTCTGCCAAATCATCCTGTAACTTTCAAATTACATATGACAAGGCACAACGGTTCAGAATCAATAGGCTTTAGCGTTTCTTTCAATTATTTGTGTGTACTTCATAGTCTCAAATAAGATAAAATATCTCATGCTTTCAATTGTGCAACGTGAAAAGCGTGGCAGCGATCATGGAACTTGCGGATGTAACGTGAAAAACCAACGCATGAAAGCCTGTACTATTTCAAGACCCTTATATCGACCAGCAACTCTTCGATTCTAATACCAAAAATTCAACCTTTCATGGTCGGCTGCATGATGAAGTATGTGTGTGAAAAGGCTAGAGATCAGGCTGGGAGTTGCCTTCGGTGTATTTTGAGGCGAAGCACACGGGCACTTGCATTGCATCCGTTGCACCAGATATGCACACGTAATAATGCACAAGGCTATGTTTAGGCTTCTCAATGAGGTAATTTAAGAAGTGCATGATTAGATGGCATGTGTCAAAATTTGCTAAATAAATATTGATCCTGAGAGAACAGATTGCGTACAAAATCGTGGATCTTCAAAATCCTTCTCGCTAAGCAGTTACAGTTTAAAGTAAATGAAATTCGTGATTGTCAGAAGTACATGCATGCAGTTCTAATCGACGTCTGGTATCCCTGAAATTTTGAATACCTCTTGACTGTGAAAATATGTCATATGGACAGACGAAGAGAAGAATCTATTGAAATTTTACCTGAGAGTGATATATTTCAACCGCTCAAAGCTGGGGCTACCCATTACCTTGCAGTTTTTTCCATATCCATGGGTGTCGCGAAATCCGCGGCTCGAAATGATTTGAAGTAGACATTCTGCAAAGTCTATCTTTTAGCTTCAGAGCTCTCACTACAACTCAGGTCGAACTAGTAGTATATGTGTTTTCACGCCGGAAAGTTGGCTGATCACCACCGCACAAGCTGCCAACCATATTCATTGCCCAGTCCCTCACGCCATACAAGTAAGCTGTTGGTAAGTTCTGTACGCCAAGACTAAGCCTGAATCCACAGTCCAGAATTGTCGGAATCCATTGAGGAATAAGAGTTGAAGATATCTGAAGAATCGACGAGAAGAAGTAAAACATGAGTATACAGCATCCCAGATGCCAGAGGGCGCTCCCAAGGGACTGTCAGTAAATGAATTAATCAATGAGGAAGCTAGACTTACTTGGTAATGTCCAAGATTCCCAGGGGTTTCATTCTAGTACTCAAAATAAGACCGATAGGAAGTAGGAGGAGTCAGAGGAGGAAGACGCTGTCTCCATGTTAATTCCCTGATACTTTATGAACTCCATAAGACGGGACTTACCAGACGAACACTAGGCTCCATCCTTCGCCCTCTGGTGCCATCATCCCTGACAAAATGTTGACTAGGGCGAGGAAGCATTCGAAAAGGATAATAGCGACTAGAACCCTTCTTCTTCCTGGAGAAAGAGAATGGGTTGAATTCGGACTATCGTGGTAGGCACTCGATATTGATATCTACTGTATGGCCCTCAAGTATGTTTTCAATTTGAGGCAAAGATATTTCGGATATTGTAGCCATCTTTGAAGCGCAACTGTATAGGAGCGAAATTGCATAGGTGAGCCAATAATTGCAAACTATCCGTCTCAATGATGTATAATATGGGTTTGATAATTTGTGTTTCCTAAACAGCAAATATATGAATAGGAAGGTGGGAAGTTCAAGGTATATGACAGGTCAACTCCCTAGTAATATATATAGATATTGGTGTGTGTAGATTATAGCGCCAAGATTTGAGTGAAATTTGATATCCTGAGTGCGTAATTACGGTTTCGTTCACGAGGAGCCACTGATCACATCTATTGGGCAAAAGAATGCCTTATTGCTGAACTCCTCCGCACAATGATGCTGAATGACCAGGGCTTAAATCAATGCGTCATGACTGCTCCTTGTCCCACTGCAGTATTGTGAGAGATTAAACACAAGGCTTTCTTGGATAGCAAGAGGCGCCAGACCTTAAGTCGTGAAGCATCTCCCCTTGGGATATTCCTATCCGAGGCTCAGTGGTCGGTAAGGCATCTGTCGGGTGTCACTACATAATCCATGTTGTGTAAGTTCATGTTTGTTCGAACACAGCGCCTTCGCAGGGAGCACCGTTTTAACGCGGATACGAAAAGTATTGATGCCGCAAATTGTGCAGCCTTCTCGCTCCATTCATATATCAGCACTACACCCCAGAGTAGAGGATGCCCAGGTGGTTCAAGCAATCATCGGGAACACAAAAGCCAACTTCGATTTGCAAGCGATATCATCGAAACTGAAACGAGCAGTATTTCGTAAGTTCCGATAATCATTTTTGATGCTGAGTAATGTTGTTGACTTTGCAGTAGTGGCGTATTAAGAACCTTACCCATGGGAAAACCAGAATATATTATGAACATGGAGGATGAGAAGCCCATGCACCAATGCGGTGACTTCCATTTGTGTCAATTTTTACCCCCAGATGCATCTCTCTTCATCAGGAAATGGGCTTTGAGATCCGAGTTTCTATCAACTGATATCAATTCAAACATTCATAAAATGGAACCCCGGATTCAAAATTCCCATACTTCAATTTTGACCATTGTGTCCCGCCGACCATCATGCCAATCTCTCTTCCTCTTGATTTTCGCACTCCTCAACATCAGCTCTTCACTTCTCATGAGCGCAGCCTTCATCTGTCTGAATTATAGCAGAAATCTAGAGACACCCAGCTCCACTATGTCCAGAGTAAGTTTTTCCCAAACCCTCATCATAGAGTGACTCTAACAATTGGAGATCACGACTTCCATTCTGAACTTCTTAGATCTTCAATTCACGTCTTCACATGATGTCATTCTATTCTGCAGCTTCATCCTCGCAACAGGTGTTTTCACTCTCACAATATTTTTATGGATGTCACATGGGCCCGACTCTTCATGTCCGTCGTGGCTTTTGCTAATTCAAGCGTATGGCTATTGGATAGGTTTTAATCCTGTGGAGTTGGTGCTATGTATCTTCCCCTTGAGTGTTAGCGTTTGGATGATGCTCAATTGGGCAGTGGAATTTCTCCAGAACCGAAGAAACGGACAATATCTTCAACAGGTAGAGGTTAACGATAATGCGGTGTATTTGGTTTGAGGTGTTGTGGGCTTGAGTTTTTTTTTGGAAACAAGGGCAAGCGTTCGGGGTTTTTTTGTCGCCATGAGAGGCTGTGCTGGTGAAGAGGTCCGGGAAACGCTGGCGAGACCAAATACCCTCCATGAACACATGTTGCGTTGAAAGGCAATTCAAGAAACTGTTTCGGAAAAGTATGCTTTTTGAACTTTGTATATGAAATTTTTGTTTGGGTGTATCCTTCCGATTTCCCTGATCCGTTTCTCCTGACTCGTTTCCTCTGACATCAAAAGTTTGAACATGTGAACAAAAATTAGTCATTGGGTCCCCAAACGAAATTTGAAACTAAGAAGTCTTCACATCTCTCAATGCAAAATCTTTTTCCAAAAAGTGACTGATATGATTTACTCGGTCGACTTTCGTAAAATGGTCTCGAGACCGTCCCACCTACCAGCTCTCATAGGATCAAGCTTTCTCAATTCCGAAAGCCAGGCTTTACAATCTTGTAATTCATCATGTTCAGGCAGGCGCATTTCCATTTCACATACAACAAGTGTGTACTCGAACAAAGCATCAAAAACCCACTTACAGTCCTCACCTCCATCAAGAAAATCCCTCAGATTGATAAGTTGCTGCTTGATATATTGAATACGATCTTCTCGAGAAAAGTTTGGAGTTATGGTTGCATGACCAACAGACTCGGTGAGATTTGACATGAGAAATTGATGATAGAACCATACAGACTGATCATACGGATACGCATCATTCCACATAGCTTTAGTGATAAGATCAAACTCTGAAGAAATGTTAGCATAACTTGTAACGCAACATACTGGACTCAAGAAGTGTACCATCATCTAAAAATTGCCGCCTCTCAGTCGCGGTCGCGTGCCGCTCTTCGAGCAGTCTTGGTATTAGTTTACTTCGGTTGTGCCAAGCTGAGAAGTTCTTCAACTCTGCATTGATCATTCTGGTAGTGTATGCAAATTCCGATTCGACCATGCTTGAGCCATTCAATTTGGGATCCTCTAATTGTGAAACAACAGTACGTCGATATCCCCAGCCATGGAAATTTCGATTATCTCTTGTCAACATCTTTCCCACTAAAACAAGTTCGCGCTGCCACAATCCTCTCGCGACATCGGCAGCCAATCTGTCATTTGCTTCCTTTAATAACCACAATCGATAGTTCCATATCCAATAGCATTTTGGCCAGCCCAACATCAATGGAAATATAAAATCTAAGTCTCCCTGTATCAAATCAAGAATCGTAGAATTCTTCCCAGGATTCAGGTGGTGCGGGTCTGCCCGGGTCTTGGTCAAGTCCTCGGAAGACGCAGAGGTAGAGGAGGATGAGATTACGCCAGACGTCGAGTTCTCGGACAGCCCAGAAGAAGGCAATTGGGTATCCAATTCCGATGATGACTCCGATGATTTCGAGAATAATCCATGAATTAGCAAACGCCTGCGGATGTTCCATATCGTATAGTATTCGGGATTCTTTGATAGTAATTTGGAAGTTAGGTCGAGTACCTCACGGGTATATTGGCGCTCTGCAACCTTTCTAAACATTAGAAATACCATCAGTCAACTGAGTATTGACATACCTTGAGCTGAATCAGTTCTACCAAAGTTTTGTATTCTTCAATATCCTTTTGTTCCTTCAGCTGCGCCGTGATTGATTTTTGTTCAGTCGTCGCAGTTCGTGGTATTCCATGCTATAAATTAAATCAGTCTCAAGCTATCACGAAGTCTTAAGTGACATACACTTGCCATCTTGAGAACTTCTCTTTCTATTCTTAGAGGCGACAAGCTGGCTGAATGATAGTTGGCGGGGTGGCTGGCAGTTCAGCCTTGTGAGATACCCCTTGGAAAGTGCGACTCATGAAGTTGGAAAGTGGGGCCGGAGCTTTGTCATGTAAGTTCCGATCGACTATGTGTATGTCGGCACAATATCGGCTCGAGATCGGTTCACGTTGTTAGTACTTGCTTCCGATAACATCAATCAATGTCTCTCGTCCCATGTCTTGTTTTATGTTCTCCTAGCTAATTCTCCTCTCTTCATATGTCCAACAACGGGACCGAAGGATTATCACCATTCTTACAGTATTACTAACTTCAGCAGTATAGCATTACATTATCGGTAATGCCTGATTTGAATGTTTCTGAGGGTCATTTTATTTGTGCTGTTGTCTCACCATAGGCTTCGCCGGTGCCCTTATCCGGTCGACATTCTTTAGCCATCGTCAGGAAGAAGTCATAGGATAGCTTCAAGGGAATTCCCCGCTGGAAACTTACGGACCTACCTATTTCTCTCTCTTCGTTCAGGAAATCAGCGTGAGGTTCAATATTTCTATTTACTTTCCATTGTACCTTTCCACGAGAGAGCGTCGATAAGCCGCTGTTCCTTTGCATCTTATCGTTGTCCTCTTCGATTGTCACTCTTCATAGCATTGCTATGTCTTCCTTTTATAATGATTGGTGGATCAATAGCTCTCCAAAGATCCTCTGTTCTTCGGACGACTCAGGTTATGACAGTTCATCTCCCAGGCGAAGGTTAAGTATATTAAGTGGTGAGCACCGTGTCTACCTTTTGATGCACGTCATTGTCTTATAGATCTGCAGACACTCCTTCGACCCATGACTCTCTCCTGCCACGGTTTCGAGATGAAAATGGGAAAGAATGGAAAACGAGTCTTTCCATGCGAATCAAAAATGTGATCAACGGAGTTCCTATTGACCAAAATCTGTCAAATATTGCTCCAAATAGTCTTCGATTTGATGGATCATCAGATAGCCCCAAAACTCCAATTGTTTCATCCTCTTCGACGGTACCTCGACCCAATACCAAGTCAAGACCAACTCTTTCCAACGCGCTCCGGGCTCGAACGTCAGTTGACTCAACCCCAACCAGAAAGTCCACTAGCTCCTTGCATTCTCCAGATCGATTTCTTCCTGTTTTGAAAAGATCTGATTCCGCGACACAAAGCTTTCGCGCCAATAAAGATCCTGGAAGTCTTTCGCCTTACGAAAGATTAATGAGACATAGCAGTGCAAGCCTTGATGCTTTCAACCCACGCCGACGTGCTACATCACCAATTCCCCTAGCTTCTCGACCCGATTCCAGAAGAATTGTTTCTGCAAATCGCGGCAGAGGTATGAAACAGATCAGGATTGACTGATTTTCATTCTGATTAATTCATAGGTGCCACTGCCCTTATTTTTCAGAGAAGTGCTCCAACAACACCCTATGGGGAGAGGCAGGTGAGTGTAAGTTCGATGTCCATATTTCCAATGATTCTTTCCGCCTATTTAGTAAATAGCTGTGCAAGATGAAGATTTAAGAAACGCTCATCATTTCTCTGCCGTACTGATTACCACAGGTCAGTGTAGGGACCGTATGGGCCGTCGGAGGAGTGGCTCCTGTGAGCGCTGGCATCTCAGATGGACGTGGCGGTATGCTTGGCAGTGGAACTAACGCACCATTATATACAACATCCTTCTCCGCTTCACGTCCAAAAGCACAAGAAGACTTTGAAAAGCATGAAGACAGGCTGGCACAAGCATTAAATATTGACCGTACACAGCGCGTTTTTGAATTTCGAGACCCATTAGCCACACCACCCACCACTCCACTCGATTCTAGGTCCAAAAGGCATATATTCAACACCAAAACTACATGGAATGGAACAGAGTGGGTGCTTGGTGGACCGGAACAAAGTCCGTAATCTTGTTTCATGCTTTCCATATGTACGGATTGGGATTCTGATGACTATATAGAGCAACAATTGCCACAAGAACCTCGCACGCTTCCCGTTGCCCCTTTCAAATAAGTTTTGCATTCGCTGCTATATAGTCTTTACTAATCTTCAGCACAGTTCTGGACGCACCAAATTTACGAGATGACTTCTATTGCTCGGTTCTCGCATACTCTGGAACAAGTCATACATTGGCCGTTGGTCTGGGCTCATTACTTTATGCATGGTCCGAAATGGCAGGAGTTCATTTACTTCACGGTGGTACTTCAAATGCATCTTGGTTGACATCTCTGGCATTCTCATCCACGCAAGGAGCCAAATCAATACTTGCCTTTGGCAGGTCTGATGGATCGTTGAGTTTGTTATCGCTCTATGATAGTTTGTTACCTAGATTCGAGGTCCAACAGCCTTGTCCTATAGCTTGCGTCACCTGGAGGCCCTCGATAACAATGCGACCTTCCCGGAATCCACTGGCTTCGGGTATTATGGTGAAGACGGAAGATCTGATTGTCGGAGATGAACAAGGAAATATATACTACTATGCTGTTGAATGGCCTGATGCATGGGAAATAACTCGCGATGGTTGGTCTGGTTCTATGACACTTATTGCAAAGATCTCCATTCACACCCAACAGATATGTGGTCTCTCATTTTCCACAGATGGCTCGTCATTCGCAACTGGAGGTAACGATAACCTTTGTTGTCTCTTCCGCACACACGAAGTCACTCGGCCCTCTCGTGGTCAACTCGGTACCGCAGAAGAGGTATTTCTTGCCACGGCAGGTATGCGTCGCATACACAGCGTTGCAGGTCAAAGTCGTGTTAAAGAAATCACTTCAGGGGCAGAGAAACATCGTTGGGTTCATGGAGCGGCTGTCAAGGCAATTGCATTTTGCCCCTGGAGAGATGGCCTCATCGCAACTGGCGGTGGAAGCAACGATAAATGCATCCATTTCTTTCACACCTCTTCCGGAGCCTGCCTAGCTACCATTAGTGTAGCGGCTCAGGTTACTTCTCTTATCTGGTCCACTACCCGTCGCGAAATTGCAGCCACGTTCGGGTATGCGCAACCTGAACATCCATATCGAATCGCCGTTTTTAGCTGGCCAGACTGTAAGCAGGTAGCTGCTATTCCATGGGAAGGCGAGCATCGAGCACTATTTGCGATTCCATATCCAGGTGGCCCAAATGAAAGCCATAGTAGTAGGGAAGGAGGAAGAGCCTTGACAAGAACGGCCCAAGAAGGTTGCTTGGTCGTGGCTAGTAGTGATGAGAGTGTTAAGTTTCATGAGGTGTGGACGAGTAGTATGAAGGCTACAAGTGGAGGTGAGGGCTTGCTAGGTGGAAGTGATATTCTGGAGGGTTTGGAGGGGATTGACAAGGAGGGCGCTGTTATCAGATAAACATGTAACATGGCATGAAGATGGAGTATGGCGACGCGAAGACGACTGATTAAGCAATGTGTAAGTAGATGACGTACATTGTGGGCTGTACACCTGTGTGAAACAAATTGAAATAAAAGAAGGAGAGAAGTGGAGAGGAGAGGGGGGAAGTTGCTACATGAAAGGAACGATGAATTAGAGAGACCAAGGGATGGAGAGATGAAAACACGATACCACACCTGCTTTTCTTTTGGAAGTTGCAGACACGAGTACATACAAATTTGCTTATTCTTCTGAATTGAAACAAATAAATATCCATTACCTGAAGCTATACATTGAATTTCATGGGTTTAGAATCTTCGATTCTTCGAACTTGAATGCGTGGAGTTTGAGTGAGTCCCGAGAGATATGAAAGAAAATATGAGGAGAAAAACATGGGAGAGGTCACCGGGTGAATAGGTATGCTAATACAGGAAAACCTAATGTAATGATGGGGACAGCTCAATGGAAGTAGCTACTGAGGTGGATGATGGGAATGATTATAATGATAAGATAGTAGTAAGGAGGGAAGATTGAAATTTTCAATGAGGACCTGGAAGGTGTTATTATTTACTTACCTAGGTAGCTAGATAAGTAGGTAGATAGAAACTTATAGAAGGAGGTTTTTAGAAGTACTAACGCCATATGTATTATACATTTAACATTATGTACTAATGATAATACTAGATATCAAGTCAGAAATTAAGTATCTATCTATAAACTTATGGTATGTGTAGGATATCTGGAAGTTTTATAATTGACAGGAGTAAGATATGAGAGAGATGATAGATAGTAGTGAGTAGGGGCGTGATTGGATAGGAAGATGGGGATGGGGATAAGAATGGGGATAGATGAAGTATTGTATTAGTTTTACTCACTTACTCAATAACTCATATACTTATAAGAGAAAGAGGGTATACTTATAAGAGAGCATACTAGGTATGTAAGGTTTACTATATAGGTATTAGATATTAGATACTACACACTTATTTCTTTACTCTGACTGCTGATATAGATGGGAGTTAAAGAAGAAGAAGAAGAAGAAGAAGAAGAAAAAGAAGAAAAAGAAGAAAGAGGGGAGAGAGGGAGGAAATGAAAACTAATCGAGCAGAAGAAACGAAAACCAAAAGGGAAAAACAGAATCAGAATCGGGATTCACCGGGAGCGTGAGGCAGGAGAGAAGATTTTAGTCATGTGACTGGTCGCACATGATAGATACATATATTAGTGCTAGTGTCTTGGCGGGGTTGCGGCGCACGGTGTACTTGGTGGGCGGGGGTGGGGTTTCTTCACAGTTTACTCATATTCGTAGTCGTATGTATTACTTTAAACAGCAGGTTCGTTTTCACTTTAGCTGACACACTACCACACGGCTACACATTTATACAACACTCGTCATGAATTTTTGATATGGTTTTTCAATTTTGTATTTATCCATCTACATAGATATGTATCTCCACGCTTCGATCAATCGATCAGTAAAAATCTGCTAGATCGACTTGTGCCTCTTGGGCTTACTTGCTGTGCTAGCTTCCACGATGTTCACTCCTCCACTTCTCCATCCAACCGCTGTACCATCGTACCATCTCCGCGCACTTTGCAGCAAGCTGCACTATCAACTGCTCAATACCCAATCCCAGCTTGCAAAGTGCTTAGCAAGCCGGTAAACATTGCTTCTTCATCAAGTTGCCCTGGCAAATATGATGATCCGAATGTTGAACTCCAAACACCTTGCTCATGTGGAAAAACAACGATGGGTGGTATTTCTTGAAAGAAAAGTAAAAAAAAAAGAACGTTCGGAAATAGGCAGAAAAAAGCGGGAGTGCATCCTCCTCGCAAAAAGTCATATGCTAAGAGATTTCTCGAATTCTTCTTGTGATCTGGCACGCCAGACTAGCAAGAAGGATCTTGGATTTGAGATGCTTGTAGACTGTTGTCTCGAGAATATCTCTTGGGGGGTCTTTCTCCAAGACCCCCAATGGTGGTTTGATCGTTGTTTTGCCCCTCGGCATGCGGCATATCTGTAGAGATGCTATCCTATGTGTCATGTTTCTTATACGTAAAGTGGAGATGGTCATTGATAATAATTCCAGGTGTTTTTGACACTAGATCGAATCGCGAGGAATGCATGCTCAGTATCATCGTTTTGTATCTGGGGGATTGAGTGTTTCTCAATCTGAAAAAAGTTTAGATGTAACTCCTGTAATCCTCCCAGAACCGTTTCTGTTTTCTGAAAATTTCGGAGACAATTGCCATTCTGGGTGAGACTGACTATCTTGCTGAGCCTTTCCTGCGGGTATGGAGAATATTTGAACATTAGACAAAGCACATTTTAGGTACGTTAATACCAATAGCATGATCGCATTATTAGTTGTTTACAGGAGCAGATGCAGACGAATCTGCATCTGCAACTGCACCTGCGCCAACCTCTGGAGAAGAATCTTCACCAATTTGGAGAGTCCGGGCTTGAGCTTGTGTTTCAATTGCAGCCGTAGGGATTTCCACGACCGGAACGACTTGTGCAGTGGTTTCCTGGCTCTTTGGTTCGGCTGCAGTCGGAACGTTTCCGTCCCCCATTGTACTTCCTGGGACTGGTGTTTGACTGGGTTGAACTGATTGAATTTCCGGCTGAGAGATAGCTTGATTTGGGGCCTGAGTCGATTCAATATCCTTGACAACTTCTTTTTCGCGACTTGGATCTTCCGCAGGCTTTAGGGCGAGATTTTCTACCTCGGCTGTTTCCTTGGGCATTGAGGTTTGAGAAGCGGGAGCTGTTTTTTCAACTACCGTTGGTTCTGGCTTTGAGGCTGAGACTGGCAAATTGTCTTCTTTCTTTAGTGGCGTAACGGGGTTGACAGCTGGAGCCTGACCACGGCCCCATTCCAAAGTTGGATTGGCATTGTATCTATTGTCGGAGATCTGTGCGGAATCCAAAGAATCTTGCGCATTGTCTCCATTCGCTGAGGCATTTGCTTTAGTAAGATCCTGATGTCATCAAGTTAGTGATGAATTCGTATCTAAATTTCAATGATCAGAGGAGCACTACTTACTCTGCGGGCTGGTGAAGAATGTGCAGCGCCTGGTGAACTTTCAACTCCTCTCGGATTTGACGATGGTTGGGCAGCCGAATCTTCTCCAATGTTGATGCGCTTTGAAGAGCCTCGAGAACTTCCCTTCCACCAACTCCCCATGCCGACACCTCTAATCTCTCCATCACTCAAAACATGATGTGCATCTCCATCACCCCTCATGTTGCTTTCTTCCATTTCTATGTCCTCTCCGTTTCCATGGTCCATAGTTCGCTTCCCATTTCCATTCATTTGTGTTTCCAGCCACAACTCGCGGTCTCGATCAACTTCCTGGTATTCTCTATCCATGTGATGTTTCATCGCAACATTCCCGCGCTCCATCCCATTAACTCCTTCAACCCACCTAATGTTCATGATCAAGTAACTCAAACCGTCGTGAGCACGGGTATTCTTGCCTCCCCATTCACGACTCTTGATACCATACCGGATCGTGCTAAAGTACTTATCAAGACAACCCAAAACAAGCACTGTAACATGAAGATCGCGATTGTTACGAACTGGCATGGGACCTCTGGCAGGAGGGCGATCAAAAAACTCATCCGGTCCATCAGCCATCGTGTCCAGCTCTGGCTCTACAGATATTCCTTCATCTGCTTGATAAAGATCTAGAAGTTTGACATCGACATCTTCGCTCCATTTTCCGCAAATCCAGCCTTGGTGAATTAAAGCCGCAATTATGTCCGAGTCGTCCGAATAGACATCAGTACCCCATAGATTTTTCCGAGCTGTGATCTGTGCTCTGCTTGGCGGCTGAAGATGAACACGGGAAATCTTAACTGTAAACGTGCAATTGATCAAGTTCTCGAAATTTGCGCTGCTCCTATTCGTGCCAGCAAAAGCGCGATTATATGGCACTTCGCCGGTAGAGTCTGAGCGGTATAATGAGAGATTTGCTTGGTAATATTCACCCCCAAGATGGCAACGAGGGTGCTGTGAAGCATCATCAATGATCTCTTGTGAGTGAACTAGATATTTGGGCATGTGGAGATGGTTGTTCATAGGAGGAGGAACTTTTGGTCCTACGGAATTGTGATTTGGTCCTGCGGAATGGTGATGGTGGTGGTGGTGATGATGAGAATGTGGATTTGAGAGATGATGATGCGGAACAACAGAAGTTTCTCCGTGTGGTGGAGATACATCACCATTGGTTCTTTTGACACTTTTAAAGGGTGTTACCGATTGAGATGAAGGTGGTGGGATGTGATCCAAAGCACCGGCGACTCGGTGTTGGTGACTGAACACGTTAGATGGATCATTTAGAAAACAGAATGTGGGAATGTGAACATACGTATGTCGATGTGCACCGTGTTTTGTACGCTTGCCTCTGCCATTGGGAGTTTGTCGTCCAGTGCTGCTATCGTCGTCGTTTCTATCTTCCTCCTTGAGCTTACGGCGTCTACCAAATGGACGAGGTATTGTAGAGCTACCATTTTCAATAGGCGAATTGTGAGCAGAAGGAGAATCGAGATCTTCACGGCGCGAGCCAGAGAAAGGCAAACCACCAGTAGTAGATCCCGCAACAGGACTAGATAAACTCAAAGCCACTCCACTTCCAATGCCAGGAAATATCTTACCAAACTCACTCTTGATACTAGGTTCACCGGCGGGACCAGGTTGCTGTGACTGTGCACCTTGTACAGCTTGAGGGATAGGTGAGACTCGACCTCCCCTACGGTTGTCTTGAACACTCAAAAGTCCTCTTTGGTTCTGATGTTGCTGCATCATCTGAGGTGGTGCTTCTTCAGCCAATCTTCTTTGCGGGGAGTCATGCTGCGGGTATTGGGGATTAGGTGGCATTGATCCAGCAAATGCGGATTGTTGAGCTTTGACTTCCGCTCGTTGTCTTGCTGCCGATTGATGTTCCTGTTGCTGTTGCTGCTGCAATCTGTCCTCAAATGTTTGCTCAAAATGAGGCCCTGGACCCGATGCTTGTTGCTGCTGAGAATGTGGCGGGTAATGAGAGACATGAGCGTAACGAGGATCGCGTTGATCATGATTAGAGACAGGTTGATAAGCAGGGTGAATACCATACTGAGGAGCCGCGCTTCTTGCCTGGTCGTAGACATTGCCATGCTGCGCATAAGATGGTGGTGGTCGCTCATATGGCGTTGGTTCAAACCCAATTCTTTGTTGTTCATGTCCAGGACGTACCCAAGCTGCTTGTTCACGGGCATCTGGTTGACGACCATAAATCTGGGGATGATTTCTTTGAGACATTTGGTGTGGATACTCCCCGTGCATGCCCGGTCGCGCCTGTTCCTGCATGGCCATAGCTTGCTCCCGCTCTGAAGCAGACCTCTCCCTCTCCCTCTCCCTCTCCCTCTCCCTCTCCCTCTCCCTGTGATTCAACATCATGGCTGCTGCTGCTGCTGATTCCCTCTCCGCCCTATCCCTCTCTCGCTCTCGCTCCCTCTCTCGTTCTCTGTCGATGTGCTCGAAGACCGGGTCATGTCTACTGCTGAAACCACCGGGTCTTTGGTGAATCGGCTCTCCTCTAGTTAAGGTCTCCATCCCTCGAGGGTCTTGCTCTCCTCTCCTGCCACCAAGTTGTGGTTCGCCATGAAACGTAGAACGATCTCCAGGGCGAGACGTTGAAGAATGGTATGTCATGGGCTGGCTGTTTGGTCGCGGAGGCATGTTCGTGTTGCTACCTCTCATGCTTTGCGAGTCGCGCCGATCGTCCGGGTGCTGGGTGATTGGATTCTGAGAGGGTCTGTGACCGTAATGCTGAGGAGTAGCATGTCGATGATCAGGCGTTCCATATTGCCCCGTACCTGGTGGTGATCCTGCAGAATTCGCTCGGTGATCTCGATGTTCGTACCGCGCATCGGGGGTCCGAGGACGTCCAAAAGACGCATAGTCATTTGCCGCCGAGCTAACGCGGGGTGAAGCATGCGTTGCACTGCCATACATGGGAGGTGGTGCCGATGTGGTAATCGGGGATGTGTATTGGCTTGGCATCTGTTCACGAGTAGTCGGTGTTGGACCTCCAAGTAAAGATGAAATGGACATGTTACTTCCAGCCGTGCTGGGTGGTCTATTCAAAGGCGGTGGCAACTCTCGGCTACTTGGAAAACCGACCGGGGGCCCAACAGACACTGGAGGTCCTCGAGGATGTGGTGGTCCATAACCATGTTGAATGGGCCCTTGGTGTTGTTGTTGTTGTTGTTGTTGTTGTTGCGGTGAAGATGGTGGAGGCATACCTCGTCCTACAGGAGTCGAATGCCCAATCGAGGAAGAGCTCGGGTGCCTTGAATGACCTCCCCCATGTAACGGTGGCCCTTCTTGATAACGCGGTTGAAAGTATTGCCCATCAGAAGTTCTTCGTTGATGATCCGGGTATGAAGGGGGGCCACTCGGCGGATGCGACGACGGGGGATATTGTGAAGGTTGTCCGTTTGGCGCAGGTGGAAACGTAGAACGCGCGTATGGAGAGGCCGTGTTTGTATTCCGCGAGAACGGCAGTTGCGGAGGTCGACCTTCCATGACGAGAGGTTTGTCTATGTGCTATGGAGGTGAGAAGCTATTCGCTATTTGAGCTTTGTGGAAAAGGTGGAAAAGGTGGAAGGGGTCGAGAGGGTTCTAGGTCCGAACTAAATAAGGAAAAAGCCCACAGGGTTAGTGCCGGTAATTGTTATCTCCTCTCAAGGGGCGAAATGAGTGAATATGCCACTTACGATCTTGAATGCGGGAGGAGTGACGAGGGTGTTGGATCGAGCAAGAATTGACTAACAAACAATGGACCCCGCTAATCAAGTAGTCGTAGTGAATTCGCAAAGACGTATCTCTTGAGATCTGCCAGTCAAACGGATGAATATTGTGCCACCGATAACGGTCAAAGGGGAATTATATGGCGCAGGGACTTTTCGTTGTGGAGGGTGGGTGTAGAAAGAAGCAGCAGGAAGACTTTTGAGGGTATCCAAAATAAAATGAAATGAAGCCAAATACCAAACAATCCGATATCGATCGCGTTTATTAAAAATACCTAGTAAGTAGTATATTCATCCAGTGGAATATGAAGCATGTTAATATTGAGTGAATTATAATCGAGATTGCAAAACCGAAGCGTGATCTTTCTTTCTTTCTTTCTCTCTCGTGATGATGAAGGATGTTGATGACTTGGAGTGGTGAAGTGAAGTTAGATTTAGAAACCCAAGATCTCGGTGTACAAGAATCTTCTTTTCCATGAAGCTTTGATGATGAAAGTCAAACTAGTTTAATCGATTTTAGTTTGAGTTTTAGCTTTAGTTTCCTTTTTTTTTGATCACTTAGCGTGGACTGGTGGTCTTACTCAATTAGTGAATAATGGAGAAAAGCAAGTGTGCAGATACCGGGATCAACTCACTAATGATCAATGTGAGCTAGGTGATAAGTAGTACTAATCAAGCATGGACCATTCCGAAATAGAATAAGCGGAAAACCCCCAGGGGTGGGCGTGCTCAGTGAGCTAAGTATTTCTCATGTATTTCTATGAATCAGTCGACGGGAATTTCCACCTTTTGTCTTTTTTTTTTTCCCATGAGATGATGCCTGCTGAACTCCTGACACCTGTAAGCCAAAGTGACGCTAAGATGGAACGCTAGATTCGATGAAGATTAGACTTGAGCTTAAATCCTCAAAATGGGGTAAGAAACAAGGGCACTAGGATTAAATCAATGAATTTGTTTTTTTATTGTTGTGATTGTTTACTCCGTAAAAAAAAGGTTTTCATGGAGAGAATTATCAAGTAGAAATTGATTGAAGATTGATTACGAGCAGAGATTTAATCGAGATTTAATCGAAATCCATTATTCATGAGAGCACTAGTACTAGACAAGTATCTTTCTATGATCTAGATCTATCAATCGAGGTAACTAACCTACTTGGGTAACTTGTAAAGGATACCTATTGCATTTCGTCCCTTGGCATTTCCTCCCTAGGACCCCCAGACAGGCAGGTATCCCTTCCCATATGTTTCTCGACCGCACATACCCGTAATGTTGACATACACGCTCCCTAGGTCCTTATGCTCGCTACCTTGCAGCTTATCTCCCCAGGTCGGTATGTTGGAGTTACAGCTGACGTCCTTTCTTTCTTTGACGATAGAAGAGCTTGGATATACCTACAAGGTACCTAGGTAACCTTATGTAACTTCATTTGAAAAGGATATCGCACTCGTTATCAATCTGTCAAATGTACTCAATAGTAAATGGCTAGATACGGGAAAACGACTACGACTATGTATCTATCAACTAATATGACTATCAAATCAATCTCCAACCGATCGTGCCAACCAAAACCTAATAAACCTAAATCTGCTCCAATATGCAAGCCAAGTACCCGCTCATTCTTCCCTTCCAATAAAGCGCGTCATCAATACTCTCCCCTCACCATTATGTAATCTTACATGTAATAAGTCTGAAACACATATCAGCAAACAACACTGCATACATATAAACCTACATACATACTTCATACTTCATACTTCATACTTCATACTTCATACTTCATACTTCATACTTCATACACACACTTCATATACATACCTAGTACCTACCTATCTAGACAAACACAAAACACCATTCATGCCCCTCAAAAAAGAAAAAACATCCCATCCCAACAATCCCCCTTTCTTCTCACTTTCCTTACCCGAGCAGCGAATACCTACTATTTTACATTCACTACTCGCTAATCAGGAGACCAAGATTACAACTTGGTTCCTGAATACTCAATATGTTCGCCAAGGGTTGAGTGAATGTCTTGTTTCCAGCCACGTTCTATGTTGTGTGTGTGTTCTTTGAGGGTGAAGAAAGTGAATCTTCATTGTCGTGATATGACATGATATCATTTACGAGGTAGAAACTTGACCTCCGTTTTCGGGGTTAAGAGGTGTACATAGAGAGAGGAAAGAAAATGGTGAATAGAAATAAATACCATTATCATTATCATCTCATCTCATCTCATCTCATCTCATCTCATCAATCTGGACTTCTTACTACGAGACTACAGTACCTACCTAGTACTCACCCACTCATCAATCTGGACTTCTTACTTCCTACGAGACTGCCTCGACTGCCTCACCAAATACAATCCGGACGGAAAATGTGGAAATCCCGATCATGTACCGGTACCTGAACATGCCACGCTGACCCTTGCTCACTTGTCCACCCATTCCCATTAAAAATTGAGACCATGATCACAGCTTTCCAAGGTTCCAAGCTTCCAAGCTTCCTTGTGCTTGAGAAAACTACTAGGGAGAGATACGACACTTCGTAGATAGATACCTTATCGCTACCTTATCAACCGTCAACCAAAATTCAAAGACATTCAATGTGAGACATCATATACACATTTTGCTTTGCTCGTCCTATGCACAATTTCAACATTTCATTTCTCAATTTTACTCGACATGACATGATATGATTATCATTCAACGGCAATGAACAGATCTTCTTCATCTACCCGTCTATCGCTTCCACTCCCCGGCTCCCCAGGATCTTCATGGGCCATGTATCGAGCGAGATTTGCGGCTATTTTTCACGGCGCAGATACGTCGGTTCTGATGGCTTTTTGGTTGTTTGGTAGGTAATCAGGCTTGCATTTGCGCACGGCAGACTGAGTCGCACAGCGATTCTTGGGCTGATGGTTCTACAGGTCTGATCAATAATGTTTTGTATGTGATTATTTTGTCGGCGGCCTTGGATTTGGTTGGTAAGTTTGAGTTGCTTCCCCTTTTTGACTTGATGCGCAATCGAACTGTATACCTGGATGTTTGGGATCGCACAGTATTTTAGTCACTAACCCATCATATAACAGGTCCTGATATCCCGAAATCTGTCGTTTTACTTGCAGATGTTCTACCTTCTTTCGTCACTAAACTCGTCGCTCCATACTTCATTCATAAAATTCCTTACTGGATACGCATCATTGTCTTCTGCTCCTTATCCTCGGGGGGTATGCTCCTGATTGCATTAACTCCTGACGACAAATCTGTATCGACAAAACTATTCGGTGTAATACTTGCGAGTCTCAGTAGTGGTAGCGGAGAATTAAGTTTCCTAGGTCTCACGCATTACTATGGACATTTCAGTCTGGCAGCATGGGGGAGTGGAACAGGAGGGGCAGGTTTAGCAGGAGCTGGATTATACGTCCTTTTGACAACTATCATTGGACTGTCTGTTAAGATCAGTCTTCTGGCTTCTGCTTTCTTGCCTTGTATAATGCTTCTCTCCTTCTTCGTTATACTACCTCAAGGACCCTTGAGAAGAGCATCTCTAAGGAAAGATTACAACACACTCCCTGGAGAAGATTCTCTTAATCAACCTCTCACGAGTTCAGATATCGATGATCTACCACCTGATTCAGCAGCGGCTTCTCTACTTGCACCTGGTCCGGCCATCGCATCAGAAGCCTACTCCTCACACTCTCCCCGTCCCTCTTCTCCGGGATTATCTCATCATGAACCGAAATCGACTTTCCTCTATAATCTCCACCGCGCCTCCTCTCTTTTCTTTCCCTACATGCTTCCTCTCCTCCTCGTTTACATAGCCGAATATACCATCAACCAAGGCGTCTCTCCTACTCTGCTCTACCCTACTCCTTCCTCGGGAAATCCTTTTTCTCACTACCGCTCCTTCTATCCCACATATGGATTCATTTATCAACTCGGCGTTTTCATTTCACGCTCCTCTACACCTTTTTACCGAATCCACAATCTCTATATCCCGTCATTCCTCCAGATTGCAAATCTTTTCCTCCTCATCTCGCAGGCGTTATGGTTCTGGATCCCAAGTGTGTATATCATCTTTGTGCTGATTTTCTGGGAGGGACTTCTCGGTGGAGCGGTGTATGTCAATACGTTTGCAGAGATTATGGAGAAGGTAGGAGAGGCAGATAGAGAATTCAGTTTGGGGGCCACGAGTGTGAGTGATAGTGGGGGGATATGTATAGCAGGGTTTGTGGGGATGGTTCTGGAGGTTGGTTTGTGTGAGTGGCAGGTTGAGAGGGGGAGAGGGTGGTGTAGGATGACTTAGTTAGGAAAGGGGAAAGGGGAAAGAGGAGGGGGAGATGGTTAGATTGATAGAGGAGAGGGGGGGAGAGAGAGATAGAGATAACTATATGATGAGGGGGTCACCGGTGTTAGGGATTTTACGTTTTATACCACGCATGCATACATAGATACCTTTCAATTCGAAATTTTGTCACTTGTTCAATAATTGTTTTGTAAATTCGTCTTGATTCCTATCTTGCTACTTCAATTCTGTAAACTCCTTATTCGCCAGAAACCTATACATAAACACAACCATATAACACAAACATCGACCATCATCCATCATCTGTACACATAGTCATCATTATCATTCCCCTCAATACTAGACATGGAGATAGATTCCTTTTCAATCTCAATTACTAAGCATCCAACTGTTATGTTATCAAGGGCTTAGATGTGACTAAACCCCCAATATCCACTTAGAGTTACACCCTCCATGTACTCTCCCAAATCCAATGTTAGTTCTTCAAGTATATGGCCAATTGAATTATAGTGAAAAAGGAGGATGAGGTAAGATTCAACAAAAAGACTACAAAGTGTGAAGTGAGAAACTAATAATAGCTTATGCATCCCTGTGCCTCTCAGCCTTTAGATCTACAGCCCCAGCCATTCTAGAATACATGGCACCTATCAAAAAAGTCGATAAGCAAATGTGATAATGTAACATCAAGATCAATTGCATCCGTGTGTGCGGTGCGGACGGCGCTGCTTGGACAGATGCGATGAAACGACTATGTTTGATTAAATAAAAGGGTAGGTGAGGTAACGTAAAGGTTAATTGTCATCTTATATTTTTACTTTCATTCTCCTTTTTTCGTCGTGCTTTTATTTTTATACTTTCTTTCTCTCCTGATCCTTCTTTTTCTCTGTTATCTGTTCATCGCATTCGAGAATTATCAAAACCCTCACACATCTTACGGTATTCAAAATGCGTTCATCATTTCTGCTTCTCGTAGGCGCAATTACATGTATGCGATCAGCATGTGAAGCTGCTTATGTACCAGGAGCAGCTTTCGATCGATTCTTTACTATCTGGCTCGAAAATCAAGTGCGTTCTTACCCTCTTCTTTCATTTCCCCTTTATATGCCTCAACCCCCTAACTTCATTTTAGGACGACTCAAAAGTCGAAGCCAATGCGGATATCCTCAATCTCACCGCACAAGGCATTCTCCTTGAAAATTACTACGGACTCACTCATCCCTCTCAACCAAACTATATCGCATCAGTTGGCGGCGACTTTTTCGGTCTCAATCATGATGAATTTGTACGCATACCGCATAATGTGACGACGGTGGTGGATCTTTTTGAAGATGCGGGAATTACTTGGAAGGGGTATTTTGAGGGAATGCCAGGACCGGGATATATGGGAGAGGGAAGTACTGCACAGGATGGGAAAGGATGGGATTATGTGAGGAAACATAAGTGAGTTCATACCCCGAATTGCTTTTCAATTGGATAGTCTGCCTCCACGGCAGTGGCCCTCGGAGAGCCAGCGAAGCGTCATTCTTTTCAGGGAAACGATCACAAAAACCAATGCTAATTAATTCGATTGAATAGTCCTTTTGTGAGTTACGATAGTATAAACACAAACGGTACACGACTTCAAAATCTCCTCTCCTTGGACGATTTTTCCACGACCGTCAAAAGCAATCCATCCTCTTTACCACAATATGCACACATATCCCCCGACATGTTGAATGACGGACATAATACTTCTCTAGTATATGGAGCTAATTGGACGCGATCATTTCTCACTCCTCTTCTTCAAAATGAAGCATTTATGAATAATACTCTCATCCTTCTCACTTACGACGAATCAGAAACCTATTCCAAACCAAATCGGATATATTCCGTACTTTTAGGTGGTGCTGTTCCAGCAGACAAGAGAGGAACTGTTGATACAACCATTTACTCGCATTACAGTATCCTTTCCACCTTACAAAACAACTGGGGTCTTCCGAATTTGGGTCGCTACGATGTTGGCGCCAATGTCTTTGACCTCTGCGCTTCGAAAACAAATTATACCAATATAAACCTCAATATGACAATTCTCAATAACTCTCTATCATACCCCGGATTCTTAAACAACGATCCCGCAAAATGGGCACCAGTCCCCGTCCCGAATCTTCAATTGATAGGCGCAGGCGGAAAAGGTGTAGATGATTACACACATGCCGAATGGGTTAGTGCTAAATCAGAAAATACACCATATGATGGAAGCGGAGAATTTTTCGACGGCGGAAATGGAGTGACTGACGAGCGAAAACCGGTATATGCAACGCAAGGAGCGAATGTGGTAGCCACAGCCACAGTAGCACAGCCATATAGCGCGACGGCGACACCTACTAGTGCTAGTACAAGCATGACTAGTGCGAGTGCATCGGCGAGCGCGACAAAGGGGAGTGGAGCGGAGAGGAGTAGAAGTATAGGAATGGGTTGTGGGAAGGAGGTTTTGGGATTGTTGGTTGCGTTGGTTTTTGCAATTGTGGTTCTATAGATTAGATTTGATGGGTTGTTTGTTAGAGGGTTCATGGGATGTGCATGTATATTATTAGAGGAGTTTCTGGGTGTATATTTAGGAATGAGTTATGATGGGTAGATACCAATGGGGAATGGAATTTTAGGTTGGTTTTTGAAGGGGTGAGCTTAGTTGCGCATTCTTGGTCGCTGAATGAATGAATGGTCTTTGAACAGTCTCCGAATATCTTGATCTTGAAATCTTGGTGGTTCTTTTCTTTTCCCTCAATGTTGAAGTTTGTGTGTGATATTCCTTTTTTAGGAATTGAGATTTGTTTCTTGTCTTGGTCTTTGCCTAAGGGCGCGTTCGGATCGATTTTATTTTTATTTGATGAAATCTCTAATAATGATAAAATGATAACGATATTTGAAATATTGAAGCTAATGTATTTGAAGTGATATTGGGACATGCGAAGTTGAGCTCAAAATAAAGGAGTTATCGCTTTTCTCAAATATATTCGTTCCACAGCACCTCAGAGACTGCTGTAGATCACTATATGAGAAAGGTTGATGCATTTGTCACTTTAAGATTATTAAACTCAATAACTTTATTACTAGCTTCAATATTCCAAGTGTTCAGTTCAAGTTCAGCTATATATTAGATCTTATATATGGATGGATATTCAATTCAGTTTCACTATTGTATTTATTCGGCAAATACAATACAAGATAAGGTTAGGCTAATATTTCTAATATATCAGGTAGGTCTACTGGTAATATCGAAAGGGAAAAAAAAATCAATCCGAATATATTCTATAATCTGGAGATATCGAAATAAATTTAAATTATATATCTGGAATTCGATTTATCAGACCTTGGTTTGGTTTTCTTTTGTAATTCTATAGTTCTATGATTTTCTGATGTTTATATAGATTTGGAGTTTTATGGTTCTCTGCTTTTGATTATCTGGTTCTTGAATTCTATGGCTCCCTCATTCTATGGCTCCCTCATTCTCTGCTTCTCTGTCTCTCTGGTTCTCTGGTTCTCTGTCTCTCTGTCTCTCTGTCTCTCTGTCTCTCTGTCTCTCTGTCTCTCTGTCTCTCTGTCTCTCTGTCTCTCTGTCTCTCCATCTTTCTAATTCTTTGTTTCTCTCATTCTCGCTAGCGCAAACATCTATTCCTATCTATTCCTATCTATTCTATCTGTCGGGATATCGATCATGTGATCAAAGAGGGCACTGTATTAGCTAGCGTCGCGCTAGCGCTACCCTATATTAAGTACTAGCTTCCCATAGATAATAATGATCAAGAACGAATACAACCACATAGAACTAATAAGTACTTACACTTATATCAACCAAGTTGATACCAACACTATCCTATCCCCCCTTTCAAGATACTTTCTCTCGAATATATTGAGAAGGCCGTCGCAGCTCTTTCCGTTGATCTGTAGGTCTATAGATCCGTAGGTCCGTAAGTTTTTGAGTCTGTACCTAGGTCTGTAAATCTTTCTTCCAGGGCCCCGGGGTTGGCACTTTAATTGAGGATGAATGAGGATGGGGCGGTTTTGGAATTTCCGGGATATTCATGTTTTGTTGATATTTCGATTCGATCCTAAGACGACCGATCGGGTCGGGTTGATTAGATTTTCTTCTTCTTCTATTCCGTTTTTCTTCTTCTCGAGCTTGACGTATTAGTATAGTAGTGCTATTAGCGTATCAGTGTGTGAGTATGTTAGTGTAATAGTGTAGTAGTGCTATTGTTTCCTATAGCTGGGTGCTAGCAATTGAGGTACTGGTTGTTATAGAGACTCTGGTGGTGGTCGAGGTTTTCGTGTATTCTTCAGATTTGAATTGTGAGTTGGATTGCGTGAGTTGGAGTCTTTGATTTGTATCTTCTTTTGAGGTGGAGTAGGGTTATAGATATATACGCCTAGATAGAGTAGATGCTTGATGGTTCTAGGGCGATGGTTTTTGAGTCTTGAGTTTTCGTCTTAGGCCTTGATATCTGGTGTTTGGTGTCGGGTGGTTAGTATAAGACGTTCAGTACTCTGTACTCAGTACTCGATACTCGATACTCGATAAGAAAACTTAGTCGTAGTCGTAGTCTCATTAAGAATATCCTAGGTACCTAAATAGTCGCGATCGTCTGCTTCGAATTAGGGAGTTTAGTACTGAGTAGGTTGTCGCTTGTCGCTTGTCTATAACTTTATAGACAGGTTTCGTTTGAGCTTACAGGCTTTGTTTTTCGTTTTCGTGAATTTGTCGTATTTCGTTAGCTTGGGATTCGGTATTCGCAGAGTCGAGTGTAAGTGCCTATAAGATTCGTAGCTTATAGATTATAGGTTATAGTTGGTGAGTTATAGATAGATAGATAGTCTTTCGATTAATCTTCTATTAGCTTCGTTGATTGCGATATTCTTCTTATTTTCGTCTTGTCGGCTTTTCTTCTATAATACTTTCGTAATAGTATTCTTATTCGATCGTTAAGAATTATAAAAAGTCGACTTCTTATTTTCTTATGTCGCTTCGCTTATTTTTTAAGCGTCTATCGCTTTTAGATCTTTTTCGAGACATATCGATCTTTAAGTCGAGTCATCGATTCGATTCGTTTCGTCCCGCTCTTTTTATCTTAGTCTTGAGATATAATCTTTCGATATCTTATCTTTTATTAGATAGTCTCGTCGGGATTATTATCTCAAGTAGTAGATACGTCTATATTATATCCTATATACTCGTTAGAATATATATTGTATACTCGTAGTAATATAGAATATAACATAGGCGCTAGAAAGCGGTTTTAAGATCGATAGTCTTTCTCTTATAATTTTATAGGTTTATAGTTCTTACTATCTAAACACGTAGAAATAGATAGTGGGCGTAGATAGTCGTATGTTCTTATCGAAATAAGTATATATGCGGACTTACTTAACCTTTAAAGTTAAAGCCGATATATCGTAGGGTTCGTATCGATTCGTTGGTCGTAGTTGTAATATCTTAGTCGAGATATCCTTTCGGTTTCGATCTTCGATTCTCGATTTTCGTGTAATGTTTGCTTAGTGGCGGTAGGTATAGCATATGCCCCTATTCGAATCTACTCTTATATTCTTGATTAGTAATTCTAACTCCTCTTAGACTTGTATACTATACTCGATTTAGTTCTCATTCTCTATTTCAGGCGTGCTTTCTTTCGATTCGTTGTCGTATACTTTATCTTCAATTTTTCTTTTCGTAGCTTCGTAGTTTTGCGTTTTCGTTTCTTCTTCGTATCATCGTGTATTCGTATCTTCGTATCTTTATGTTTCCGTTTCTTCATCTAGTCGTGTATTCGTAGGTTCGTATATTCGTATTCGTTTCATTTCTTCGTTTCCCTATATACCCCTATGGAACCTATTGGCTCTATAGGCGTATACAGGTTCTGTGTACCCTGTATATCCTATGTATTCTGTATACTATGTATACTCTATACGTGTTCTATGCCCTGTATTTCTTCCTGTATACCCTGTATACCCTGTATGCACCCTGTACATCTTATATGCCCTGTATTTTCTGCCCGCGTACCCTGTATAGCCCAGTATACCTCTCCCTATATACTCTAAGATACCCCTTATAGAACCTATAGACTCTTTGAATCTATAGGCGCTATAGGCTCTATGCTCCCCGTATTGCTTTCTTCCTTAGATACCCCTTATAAGACCTAAAGACTCTTTGAGTCTATAGGCTTTATAGGCTCTATGCTCCCCGTATTGCTTTCTTCCTTAGATACCCCTTATAAGACCTAAAGACTCTTTGAGTCTATAGGCTTTATAGGCTCTATGCTCCCCGTATTGCTTTCTTTCTCTCTGTCTTCTTTTCCTCCTCTTCCTCAACTCTACTTCCATCGCTCCCTCCCGTATACCCATAGACATCTCATTTCTAGATTCTCCACGCACAATGACTTTTGTCGAAAAAAATAATTTCCGACAAATGATTTGCACGTATTTTTCTTATTGATGAGACCTTTTCCCCTTAAGACACTCATGCTTGGAGTTTCAAAGGCCGAGATGTGAGTGCCTCACCGGTAGTTATATCCTTGACTCTGTTACTCACCGGGGAGATACATCACTGACCTTATCATTCACCGGTAGTAATGTCTTCGATTCTATCGCTCACCGGAGAGCAATGTCATTAAAACCAATACTCACCGGTGGTAACATCATTGATCTCCTTACTCACCGGAGAGCAACAACATCAGCCCCATTACTCACCGGTAGCAAAATGCTTGATCCCGTTACTCACCGGGGAGCATCATCATCAATCTATCACTCACCGGGCGTCCGTTCTCTTAGATTCAATCTTCATTCATCGGGAACTATTTTTGTATGAGAACTTGCTTTTTAAGGGAGGGTTAAGGGAGGGGGTGAGGAGTAGAGGAATATACGGATTGGAACTTGGAGAAGAAACGGTGATGAGGAAAATGGGTGGAAGGAGTTTTGCAGGACTTGTATGGTGAGCTTTTCATTTTAGCTTTTCTGTTTGGAGGAGGTGGTGATTAGTAGAAGTTTGAAGAGATAATCAGTTGGATGTATGGCTAATTTCAATTCTCGAAGCTCAGCTATATACATAGAAGCTATATACCGCAGAAGCTTTGCATGTCAGCTCTTCCTGTCTTCTCCATTCTCCTCATCCCATCCTACCCACTCACCAACCCCCTAGGTCTCAACCACCACCCCCCAATAACTCCCGCACACCCCGCCATACAACAACCTGTGTAAATAACCATATCCCTATACCTCTCAACTCCATATCCCCCAAGCACCACCTTCTCCCCCAACAACGTCCCACTAATCGGACCAACCAATACATTTCCTACTCCCTGCAAACAAATGAAAATCGAATAGATACTCACCACACTCCCAGGATCACTACAAATCAACTTCCCCATCGCTACTCTCATCGTACTAAATCCGTATCCAAAAAACCCATACACGACTCCATACGCAATGAGCAAACCCATCGATTTTGCAAAGCCCCAAAGTAGCAATGAGGAAATCGTCGCCATGATTGTACAACCCACCGCAAGAGCATTGACGGAGAAATTCTTATCAGATAGATAGCCGCAAGCGAATTGACCTGCGACTTGCGCTACACTCATGACTGCCAAGATTGCAGCACCTTGCGTACCACTCAATCCGATATTTGTAGCGAAAGAAGGAAGATAAACCCCTGGGTAGAAGAATCCCATACCGTAAATTAAAGTTGCGGATCCATAAATGTAGAAGAGTTTATTTTTCAGAAACCCCCAATTTGTGCGTGCCAATCTACTGCGTTCACTAGGTGGCAATCTCCCTTTCAAAAGCGGCAGCAAAGGAACCGTCAAGATTGTAATCCCAACTGAGATAATCCTCAACGCAGTCTTATATCCATATTTCTCGAGCAGAAATTGAATGATAAACGGCATTCCGGCTCCACTCACTCCACTCGCCGCACTGATGAGTCCAAACGCCATCCCCTTCCTCGCAATCCACCATTCGTTTATCATGCTTACGATAGGATATGTGAGGGTGAGGAATCCGCAACCGTACATTACGCCCTGGGTCCAGATTAATCCCTGTACCGAGTCGCAAAAGGAACCGGCTACGAGTCCCAGGATGCATATTGGGAGCCCGAACCAGATTTGATGGGTTTGGTGTTTGGGAAATCGTTTGGTGAGGGAGGCGGAGAGAGGGGCGCCGAGGTAACAAAGACCTTGGGAGATGGTTCCGATGAGGGCGATTTGGGATTTGGAGGTGGCGAATTGGGGGAGTGTGAAGTAGTAGTCCTGGAAGACTCCGAAAGAGATGGGAAAACCTTGGGTGGTGTATGTTAGTTATTTCTCGGTTACGACTTGATGTAAACGTGATAGTAGGACGAGTGAAGAGTATAGCGAGAATCGGTGTAACATTCGGATAAAGGAGAAAAGGAGAAGAAAAACAAACCCCATAATATCGCCTCGAATACAAATGCCGCGATCAACAATCTCCAAGCTGCTGGTCCCCCATCTACAGGTTTGAGTTGTTGATAAACTCTTTCCGGATCCTCCGCTTGGAGTTCTACTTCGGTGTCGCTTGTACTACTAATTCCCTCTCCTACTCTTCCGGCATCTGCATCTATATCCGTCGCGTTTGCTGATTCTAGGTCTTCAACATTGGAATTTGTGGGCGGATATGAAGTTTTATGGTTTTGGTGCGGGTTATCGAACAATTGAAGTTCTACTGGTATATTTGTTTGTATCGCTGAAGAAGATTCATTGTGATGGTGAGAGGTGTGTGACGTCATCTCGGGGACCCAAATGAATTTCTACAATCTCATAGAGTTAAATGGATTGAAAGGTATTGAAGACTACATTTGATTTTTGAGGATTGACCTTATCTATATATTTCCATGCATGATCAACTGATAGTGAAGCGTGTAGGGTTCCGATGACGGCAGGCATGACTAGAATGGAGTATTTTTCCGCATAGATAGCTTTATTTGTGGAGTGTTTGTAGGGCCGACAATATGCGTGGTGGAGTTCGTGGGGATGATGATTAATTGACATTGACACGCCCTTCATGAGTAATAATTTTGTTCGTTGGTCAATGCGGAATATTTAGCGAAGGGGTTTATGGAAATGTTTGATATGTAATGTAGAGTTGTATTATATTGAACTGTATATACCCTCAAGTCTCGCTACACAACAAAAGTAATATATCCAGCTGTTCTCTACACTTTGTATGGCTTGTCATAGATGTCCAAGTATCGCCACATCTAATCCCCTCCCTGCTTATCTCATCCAAAGCTCTAATTATAATTCGAGTCGAGAGTGCAATGCTCAATATGCCTCATCACTTCCCGTTCTTCCCTCCAAAATTCGCTACCCAAAATAATTCATTCTTCCATCGTACTCCAGAGTTTCCCAATCTTTAAATCGCTCAAATAATTCGAATCATGTACTCCTCGTCTTCCCCCACAAATAACTATAACATTGTATTCCTTATAAACTGCATGATGTGGAATACAATTTCGCTCGCTTGCAAATTAAACAATTTGAATCATATACTCCTCGTCCTTCCCCAAAAAACTATAACATTGTATTCCTTCTAAGTTGCATGATGTGTGATAAGATTTCGCTCGCTTGCAAGTTCTTTCCAAAAGGATAGGAGCCCTTAAGCTATCTATACACATAACTTCGTTGATTGATTAGAAATGACACCAACAACATGGGTAGATTGATACTTACTTCAATTTGTAACAATAAATTGACGATAAAGCAAATCGATTTAATTGTTAACCTTCAATCCTGCTTCCCATCATTTGCGATGGTTCTTTGTCATTATCTGTCTCGTAATCGGTCTCGTCATCCGTCTCGTCATCCGCGTCGAAAGCTATCTCGTCATCTGTCACCTCTTCCCTCTCAACACCCCACTCAATATCTTCATTCCCTCGCAATACCCTCGCCCATTGGTAGCCTGCCAAAATTAAGTAAACCCTATGTTGGTGGATGTAGCCTTGGAACAATTCAAGCGTGACTGGGTAGATAGCACATGCGTGAATCAATGTCTGCTCTATTCCTATATCCAAAGCCAAGACGTCTTGTCCTAATTGGATTCTTTGCTCAACTAGAGCATCTGCGTACGAACACATGAACTTGATGTCTCGCTCGAGTATGAGACTCGAGGCTGGAAATCCGGGAACTTGGTCACTTAGAGCTTCCTCGTAATTTGGCAAATACATTTCTTCTTCGTATGATGGCGGTGTTGGTGATTGAATTGCCTCATTGAGGACATCCGAATGCTGCTCGGTTGAGGCGACGTTTTGCAAAGCCATCGACATGTTGACAAGCGGTTGACTATAATTATTGCTGGCGGGTGAAGATATATTGGCTGTTTGTAATAGTAAAGTCCGAAAGTAATTTTTCGTCAGATGATAGTATGCTGCGAGTATTTGAATATCTGATATTTTGGATGATAACAAGTAATGAATCTGGATTGTTGATTGACTGGGGAAAAAATTTGTGCTTTTAGAAGGAGAAGAAAATTGCTGTGATACTCAGGAGTTTTTATATGAAGCGAATTAAAGCTAGGGCATACTAAGTAGGTATTTGACCTCGAGTGACAAGTGTTATCTGATGGCTGACTATTACTACTAAATCTCTTTATTTAGTAATAGGTAACATTAGACTGCTTCTCGAGTCTTTCACCTCGATTAAGCTTTTAGTTTAATGTCTTTACGTCACATGGAAACGGTGCATTCATACATCTTGAATTATTATTAGTGTAACGGATGATAGCCGTATACCGAGATTGAAAAGTTTGACGATGAAATAGTAATGAAGGGATGAAGGTGACAGTCAAAATATGAATTCATATAGAAGACACCCTTCGAATCGTTGCTCGAGTACGTGACTTCTATGTTCGTTTTAAGTTTTCCCCAGAAATTCGTTTTGGATATCTATTTATCTACTTGTACCATCCTGATGCGAACTAAGAATATAAACTATCATTACGCTTATTCACGGAACACATCTTTCTTTACAATGACATCAGTTTTCCCTTCAATTCGCTCTCTCTTTTATCTTCTTGGCCACATGTAAAAGCGATTTTATCACTCTTCAAAATGAGACATGTTGATAAAAAGGGGTTGAAATTAGATTTGAAAATGTGTACAAAGCTTTTTATTTGGAATGACTTGATTGGGACTTGAAAACTAGAACTTGTGTTTCTAATATTCACATCTTATTCTTGCTTTGTATCGGGAAATTAACGAAAAATACCATAGGAGTTCAGCTGGCCTACCTAGTAAATGATCTAGCTCGCCTAGTAAGTGATCTAGCTCGGCTAGGGATGTCAGATTGTATTCTTAGGGGAAACATGATTGCTCGTCAGGTGAAAAAGATAAGAATCTAGCAGATGAGATAACAGATTGTTTTATGAATAAGACTGTCCAAATGTTCCTTATGATCGCTATGAATTGGAGAGGCATATGAAAACATACAACTAACACACAAATGAAGCATTGAAACAATCAGTGGGTGATTCTACAAGTAGGAAGCATCATTCAGTACATGAAAATCCATCCCGTTAACTCTGGATGAAACTAAGGATCAAGCAAGAAGACATTATTTGCAGATGTGCAACAGGATTGAGCGTTAGAGTAAGTCGTTTCATCAATATTTGACGGGGGCGGGGAAATGGGGCGATTAGAATGCACTAGCTTGGTAGCATATTTCCCCGGGCTCTGGCAAGTTCAAGAGATGGTTAAAGTCCATATTGTATGCACATAATACCAAGTCTAATCAGAACCTCCATCATCGCACTTGAAATAATCATGCAACCCCCTGTGCTGTTCTTTTTATGCAATTCACAAAGTCCAAAGATGATCTATAAATTGATACAAGTTCAGGTAATTTGGTATCTCGCTCGAATGGTCGACATGCAACAATCGACTTAACAGGTCAAGGATTAACAAACTGGGTGGTACGAAACGGATAGACTGCTTCGGGTGAGGCATTGAAAATATACTACTCGTCCTTTGTATTCCTGAGAACTAATGATCTGCAACTGCAGTCGTAGATGGAAAATGAAATCCCAACCGGTTCAAATATGGTAGCGACTACCACTGAGCTCAATGCAGATGCCAAGCCATTAGGTACTCAAGTCTTAATCCTATAGTGACCGCACTAGAATGAAACCACTTGGATTATATCTCGTGGATACCTAACCTTGAATACAGAATTATATGACGAGCCACCTGGGATCAACTTAACTCGGGACAACAACAGTCAAAGTTGAAGACCACAACCTAGGGGGTTTATAGGTAAACAGAGGGTTTCGCAATTACAGCCAGAATTTAGGCTCGAAGCTTGGTTAGCACGATGACTTCAGTGAAAGAGGGCATTGGATTAATCTGATTGTCCTGCCGCTCAAGCATTGATAGTGGTTCAAGAGCTATCGTCTTTACTTTGTGCTGTTGATATAGTCGCTGCGAAATAACTCCATCATTTGTTAATCATGAAAAAGGTGCGTGTGAAAAGATGGGACATGAATCCATTTGGGTGTGTATAGAAGTAACAATCCGTCACATTCGAAGTTTGTATAACGAGCCTGCATGAGATGAAGTAATTCAAATTTTGTACGGGGAATGCCGTGTAAATGATTTGTTCCCACCCTGCAAATGAGGGAACTTCGCGGGGTACATAAGTTCATATCAATATCTTCACTTTACTCGATATTGAAAACGAATTAAGATATGTCAATTCTACGAAGGGAGTGATGATTTTGATATTATTATCCTATTAATTTCATACTTCTTCATACTGGACCTTAGTTTGCGATGCCATATTCGTAATGTGCTGTTGCAAAACGGGGTTGTATGTCTGAAAATCTATGTTGTCTGTACGAATATGTTATATAATCTAGCTACCAAGAGCATTTAGGTTTTGATAAAATTGTCTCAACTGTCCCTCGATTGGTTGCTCAAAGCTAACCAGTACCTGTTTCTAGCTAGCAGCGTGGAAGTGTTTCTTTACTCACCAGACTGTTACGAACGAGAGTGATATAGCTGAAACCAATACGTGGAGATTGAACTCAGGTTGAGCTTACTGAGCTGGATGGAAGACGAATCGAACTTGCCAATTACGGAATGAGTTGAATCTACCGGAACAATTTTATCAAAACAGAAAATTCAATCTTTTAGAGTTCTTGAAATAGAGCTGTTCCTTGCGGTAGTGTCCTTGGCTACCAGTAGCTTCGGGTATAGTACTTCTTACTTTCTTGGATGGGGGCATCTAGTCTTGATCCGAATCAGCTAGTGGAAGTTAAGAGTACTGCTAACTTGGATGAACTGAGGCCCTTCCGAAGATAAGAAAGAGAGATGGGGAGTAGCTGCACCGCATTCCTTCCTGTTCAATCAGATATACAACAAAACTGGTTATTTTCTGGCCGAGGTAATTGGAATTAGGTAAGTTTTTTCACTGGAAGATCATGACGAAGTGCTCAAGTACCTAGCTCTGACTAGCTTGGCACTTGTTCATGTTAGTGGGTTTTAGCAAATGTGGGATACGGCTGTGGGATATATATATATATATTGAGCCATATCACACCAGATTAAGCATCTTCATAAAAATCCAACACACAATGGACCCCCTCGAAGATGGATTTCTGGATCGCTATCAGCGTGACGAACAAGGTGAATTGTCCAATCCAAAAAAATTATCCATTTCAGACCCAGTTCTTCTGGTGGGACGAGTATCTATCCAATCACAGATTTTTAAACTACCTCGTATACCTAGCTCAACATTTATTCGGAAGTTCATGCCCGGATCTACCTTATTAGCTCTCACATCATCGACTGTTTCTCAGACAATTCATTTAGGAGGTCTACCCAAGGAAATATTTGGTATCATACTAGGACATTTACCCCCATCGTCAGCTACGTCGCTAGCACTCACCTGTAAAGGATTTCTCGCGGCGGTAGGAAATGACCCTTTCAAGGCATTGTCGACGGACCGTTATGAAACATATGTTCTCCTATGGCTCATTGCAAAAGACCTGCCCCATCAAAGTGTCTGTCATTCTTGCAATAAACTCCATAACAAGGACATTGCATTGAAACTTTATCGAGATGGAAGAAACGTATGTGGAGAATCTCAAAAGAGGCCCAAAGCTCTGAAGTGCCGATTAGACACTCGTTTTGACTGGCACTACAAGGGGTTGTTAGATGAAGATTTCAGTCCAAGGATTTTCAACATGGCTATGAAGCATTCGCTCCACAACCCAGATTGTGAGAAATTTTTGGTTGCACTTTCTGGAGAGCGTATAGCTAAGGGTTATTGGCAGGGGTGGATCAAAGAATCCCAAACAGATTGTCGGATTCTCCGGGGATCCTTCATTCATCGTACTCAGATGGTTTGGATCAAACCCACGGTTAGTCGAATGCCATTCGGTTTGGCTATGGAACAATGTGCTCACACTGTGGTATGCTATGTGAACGGGATGGTTTGTACAAGGTCCTACGGTCTCTCGCGTAACGAAGATGATGCAGATCCACAGAGTCTTCGGTTCGATTTGGACTCTCCAGAGATGACTTTGAACTTATCGAAGTGCCGTCGTTGCTCTACACAATGCCAATTGACCTTGAAACCCCTGGCCATGAAAGGACCGGGAATGGCAATTTACATTACTAGATGGGTTGATCTGGGATCCGGTACATTAGACGAGAAATGGCAAAGATACTTTCAACGAGGTAGATTTGAATTCGGATATCAGCAGCAACCAGATTCGTTATTCTTGTCTTCGGCATTCGAAAATGACGGTGGATTTCGAAGCAAGATAGAGGATCAACGCTATCCATCATTCTTCCATTCTCCAGTGACTGAGAACTGAGAGACACTATTATACGTGGACTGAATGGTTATTTGGAATATTTTGTGTATTTTGACCGTTCAACGGAGAGGACATGAGGTGCAAACGCCATGATCTCTTCCACAATCACGGTCATGATTAGTCATCACTGTATCATCAAATACCGTGGTTTTGATTCGTCGTCACCACCAAAATGTATCAGTGATTCTGTGCCGCGGGGTAGTTTTGGACCAAACAGATATTGATAGGATTTGAACATGCAACTATTTTACTTAAAAAATATGATTGTATGTAGACAATAGATAGCTACTCTGTGTATCATAGTTACTATTACCTATCTAGGTATATATCTGGGTAATTTCATCAATATTTAATATTTAAAACCCCCTACATCGTTTTTGATAATGTGATGAATTCCAGACCTATGCCCCGCCATTAACCGATATCCCTACATCGTACACGTCCCTGTATCGTGTACGCTTTTTTAGTTTTCAAAAATATTAATATTATTATCTAAATATCGCGATAATATATCTTCAAAAAGCTATATAAAGCTTGTACTAAATTATATTAAAAACTAAGAATATCCTAAATATATTCAAATAACTTATTTATATAAAATCGATTATATTACATTCTCAAAATGATATAGAGACAAAACCATTTTCTATAAGATAGATTATATCAATATATATCAATATCTTTTATTAGAATAGAAAAAGGTTTTATTAAATCAGATTAATAAATTAATACAAAGATTTATATCTCCTACAAATATTATAATTAGAAATTTAATAAAAGAAATAAGAGGATATTATATAAAAAAAAACTAAATAGTCAATTTTATTAAATAATATAAAAATTATATTCAAAATTGATATTTTTATTATATTAATAATTTATATATTAAAACTAATAATATAAATATATTTGAATACTTTTATAATTTTGTTAATACTATTTTATATTATTATTAATTTATATTATTTAAAAAAGCTTTTGTTAAATCCTTTTTTTTATTTATTTAGTTAGTAAAAGCAATTATAAAATATAATATTATATTAAAAAATATATATAATTGGAATGAGAAAGAATTTCTGATTAATTTTAGAAGAGTTATAAAAAGGATAATGAATGTTAGTATATATAAAAGAGGTAGAGTTATTAAAATTAAGCAAAATGAATCAAGAAAGTTTATTATTCTTTTAGTATATATAATTTTTAATAATATAGTTTTTCTATTTATTTTAATCTATAAAAAGAAATCAAGTAATCTATAAGATATATAGATTAATAAAATGGGTATAAAAGATTAAACTTATTTTGGAATCTCAAGTAATAAGTAATTATTTAATACTTTTGGGCTTAATTGATTTATAAAAGTTTTTTAATATTATATATATCTAAAAGCAAGTAAAGAATACCAATTATTAATTATAAGTAATTATTATAATTATATCAATATAGAATTTATATCAAAATATAACAAATTGAAAATCATATTATTGATTCTATCTCTTTATTCTATATATCAATTATAATTATTTGATATAAACTATTTCCTTTTTCTTTCAATAAATTATGATATAAAATTCAATAATTGAATATATAAAAACAAGGGTTTAATTAATATATTGAAATACAATTTTTGGATTATTTTTAAAATGATTTGAACTCAATCTATAATTTCATAATATATTATAATCCTTTGAAAAAATGAGCATTTATTTATTTAACAAAAAAATTATTATATTTAGTATAAAGCTAAAAAAAGCTTTTATATTATTTATATCAATATAGCTTATAGAAAATAAAATTAAGATATTATATATATCAAAAGCTCTATATCAACTTAAATTAGAATTTCAATGAAATCAGAACTCTAAGATTATTTTGAAGCTTTTTAAGATTGCCTTTACTAATACAACTAAAGCTGATATTCAATTGTATAGAGTAAAAGGTTTAGAAAAGGTTTTAAAAATAAAATAAAAATAAAAGGATTTATTTCAAGTATTTAAATCTTATAAAAAAGAAGGCTAGTAATACTTTTTTATATTTCTCCTTTTAGATTAAAAAAGCTAGAATTATTTAATTAAAGAAGAAGCTTGTTATAGAGTAGGAAAAGGAAACTAAGATATAGGAAAAGGCTAATAAGAAAACTAAAAAGAAAAAAAAGATAATTGAAATTAAAAAAAGAATAGTACAAAAGAAGGTAGATTATCAACTTGCAAGAAATACTAAAAAGGAAATTAAAAGAATTTGTAAATCAAAAGAATCTTCTATTAAAAGAGATTTAAAGCTTTAAGAAAATTTATATATTATAAATCTAATATCTAAAAAAACTATAAAGCTTTTTAATATAATAATAATAAATAAATTAATAATAGAAAAAAAGGAGAGGGTTATATAATCGAAATAAGATTAATAGATCAAAATTCCTATAAGATTTAAATAAAAAAGTTTTAAATATTCTTTTTTAATTTATTATATCTTATTATATTCTTAAACAATTTATAGCTTTATATCTTATTAAATACATTTATTATTAAATATTGAAATTATTGTAGAGTGAGTTTAATGTCAGGATACGGGTAAAGACTTATATTGTATTATAAAGGTAGAAGAGCTATGAAAAAGTGAGGCCCTACTTATAAGAAATAGGGTATACTAATAGTCTATATCTAAGGTATAAAGGCAATTATAGAATATATAATTAATATTATGATAGTATTCCTTACTTAAAATAATCAGTTTATAATTATAATCAAAATATTTTAATTTCTATTATTGAATTAAAATAAATCTTTTTAAAAACAATAATTAATTAATAAAGTTTTTTAGATTTATTTTGATTTTATTTTAGGGATATATTTGATATATCTAATATAAATATTGATAAAGGATTAATAGAATTAGAAGTAATAGATCTTTTAAAATCTATTTAAATCAATAAATTTGATTTATTTAGATTTATTAGATAAAAGACAATAATTATATTTTTCTGGTTGTAAAAATCTTTAATAAATTATCAAAATACTAAATAATGTTTTTATTTGATTTAATAATAAAATCCGTTTTTATTATAATAATCAAGGATTTTTTGGAATTTTTATTATTTAATTTCTTTATATATTTTATTATTTCTTTTAAAAATTCAGTTTTAATTTCTATATAATTTAGTAATATTAATAATATTTTGGTTTAGTAATTCTAATAAATAATAAAATGGTTGGAATAATAAATTATAGAATACTAAAAAAATCTTGAAATTAATTAAAAATTGAGATAAATAGGTATATTTATAAATCTTAAAAACTTTATAGAAGCTATTCTATTTATTATTATTTTTTTTATTAAATAATTAATTTTTATATTCTTTATATTTATCTATATTTTATTATTTTTTTTATATAAAAAAGTATTGATATAGATTTTGTTAATATAATCTTTATATTTCTAAATTAATTAAATTATAAATATTTTTAATTTAGTTAAAATAAGATTAAATCAATCTACAATCTTATTAGCTTTAAGAAACTCTTATTTTTTTTAATATAATAGATTTGGTAGAATAAATATAAATGGTTTAATATCAAAATATAAATAGAAATTATAATTAATGAAAAATGGGGATATATTAATAATTTCTAATATAATATTATTTAATATAAATTTTATAAATAAAAGCTAATTAAACTAATTATTCTAATAAAAGTTTATAAAGGTATAAAGATATTATTTAATTATAATATTGACTCTTTTTATTTAATTATTAGATTTGGGATAAAATAAGAAAAATTATTTCAAAATAATTAATAAATATTCAAATAAATATTTCCAAAATTTAGAAATAAATTGTAAACTTTTATTAAATATAATATTATTAGATGTGCTATATAAATAATAGATTTTTTTAATAAATTGATTTGTGAGCTTTTTTATAAATAGTTTTATAATTAGTATAAAATATTATATTTTGGTTAAATAATAAACAATTATAATAATATATTAATATTTTTTTTTATAATATTTATTAATTAACAATAATGTAATATAATTAATAAAAATATTGAATTAAAGGTAAAATAGTATTAACAATAATTCAAGGAATCTGGGTATAATGAAACAAAAAACTTTTATTTGAAAATAGAATTGATAAATTTATATAAATATCTCAATCTTTTTTAATATATTAAATTATTAATATATATAAAAAACAAGATTAATAGTTTTAATATAATTAGAATATCTAGTTGATTTAATTGAATATATTTGGTATATAATTTATATATAAAATTTAATAGAAAAAGAAATAAAAAAGCAATTATAATAAAAGATTTTATTATTTATTAATTTATAATCTTATAAAATTATTCAAAAATCTTTTTGGATTTCTAATAACTAATAATAAATAAAAGGATTTCTAAGTATTATATATATAGTGATAATCAGTTTAGATAATTCATATACTTTATTAATAAGATTGTTAATTGATTTATTAATATTAGAAATAATTATATCTATTAAAACTATAATTAGATTTAAATCATTATTTGCTTATTAAATAATATCTTTAAATACAATGATATTGAATACTCTTTTTAAAAAGATTATCTATAAGTAGTTTTTGATTCAATTGTTATTAGAATTAGTATATACTAAATAATCTTTTATTTTGTAATTCAAAATATTGGGGTAAATGGCTTTATAATTAGATTAATATATAATATAAAAATTAAATCCAAATAAGAATTTAGTTTATTTAGTTTATTATTGATTTAATATTTTTATTAATATAAAGTATTCGAGATTTTTATAATTAATAATAATTTCAAATAACTTTTAAATTCTATATAATTCTAATTTCCATTTTTTTAATAATTTTATAATAATTAGGAGTTTTTTGTTATAGATTTTATAATTATATTTAGTAATATTATATTTTGATAAGAAATATACTATTAAATGTAGATATTTTTTATTATTATATTATAAAAGAATGTTATTTATAATTGTTACGG